AAGTGTATCGGTGCGATCAGTGTACATCGTTCTTCGAGCAAAGCCTTGGAGACTTACAGGGTTCCTTGGTCGGTGAGGCCGGAACATAATGAGCAATAGGTGGAAGGACTACGCTAGGCATCGTGGTCGCGGTTCAGACGAGGCTAATTCCTGGTCGTTATCCATACTCCCACAACGCTATATAACTCGTTCTGCCGAGTCCAAGCGCTTCCGTGCTTCCACATGAGCCTGTCGTGCTCCCGGGTCTGAGAGTGCGCACCGGTCCAAGAACTCTGCAGATAGGATATGACGCGTCTTCCTCGCCCTATCGACACACGCAATTCCGGGATACGATGAGCACCTAGTGATCCCGTGACGGCAACTGGTGCGTGCGCTGCGTCGAGCTGGTCCCTGGAGAACCGCCTTACGAGACTTTAGTTCCATGTTCTTCTCGACGTTGGAGTTTGTCCGAAGAAGCTCGTACCTTAAGTGTCGTTCGAAGTGAGCGTGCACATCCAATAGGTCGTAAGATGGGCCTTGCAATCGATTCGAGCGCTGAGATGACACGCCGGATTAACAGTTATGAATGGGCTCTCAAGTAAGCTCCTTTGTAGCTCCAGCAGATATTCGGGTTGATCTGTCGATATCAATGCCTGTACATGTCGCAAGACTCAAGCATGGCTGGTGCAGTAACACTTGTAGATGATGGAGATGAGCTCAAGGGCCATAGTCCAGCAAGCGCCCGTGCGACTTCGGTTACTTACCGGTATATTTCTCCACGTGACCGCGGTTGTGTCGCGTCGTTCTCGCCGCGGCGGGTGGTAGCATGTTGTTAGTCCCGTCCCGATACCATCCTACGTGTCTGTCTGGCTTAGATCACTCACAGCTGTTCTACATGTCTGTCTAGCTCTTTGATAGGAAGGTTCTGCGTTTCAGTCGTCCGACACTACGCGAACTTGAACGGTACGGACTTCCTGAGGCATCCGGGGGGCTAGTACGCAAAACTGCATTACGACCGTGTTCGACTACCTCTCTCAATCAAGCTGCGTCTGGAGGCCTGAGGGTGTGCACAAACGACTCGCCTAAAAATTGAACGCTATGACCGACTACAAGACGTCGAAAGAGGCCTTCGTATCTGGCATGACAGGGTCCAGCATCAGACACATTAACATGATCTCTCTGGCTGCACTCGTGAGTCTCGATGTGTTCTGTAATCGCGACATACAACTGATTGCAATCTCTAAAGTCCTCTATTGCATTGTACTCTGCGCTCCGGACGCGTCTGCCCCCCAACAGGTCCGAGCATTTTGCTTTGGAAATGCTCACGCTCGTCCTTCCGCTCCTTCTCTCGATAACCCTATACGCGAAAGCTCCTGTAATTCTCAATATCATGCTGCTTCTTCCGACTACGCTGCTGCTACTCATACCGCGCCGCGAGACTGGTATCCCGCTACCATCCACTCTGCAATCAAGCCCCTCGACTTCGCCTTACCGAGGCAGACCTCGCACTCCAGATCCCTCTGGCGGCAATTCGCCATCTACCAGCGCCCTCATACCACGACTGCCGGCTCTGACAACGTATCGTGCGCACATGCTGCTGTTGACGTTCCTAGCCATCCTCGCTGTCGATTTTCGCGTGTTTCCGAGGATGCTCGCGAAGTGTGAGACGTATGGTGTGTCGCTGGTGAGTGGTGCCTTTCTCGGTATATGTGCCAGGCGTGCTCATGTCGTTCAGATGGACATCGGCGTAGGGTCGTTCATCTTCTCGCAGGGCATTATATCCGCCGTACCTCTGATCAAGAACCCTGCGTATCTCACCCAGCCGCTCTTCCCAAAGGTGGTCACGACGGCCCGCAAGTGCCTGCCCATCTTCGTGCTGGGCTTCGTGCGGACGTTGTCCGTCAAGGGCGTAGAGTACCCCGTACGTGAGCTTGTCCATAGCTGCCGCTGTAGGGCGACCATAACGGTCCGTCGTAGGAGCATCAGACAGAATATGGGACCCATTGGAACTTCTTCATCACGCTTGCCTCCATACCTATCCTTGAAGTCCTTTTGCACCCGGTGATGGTCCGCTTGCCGATCTCGCTTCTAGGCGTCTCAGTCGCGCTCTGTACGTCCGCACGGGCTCGCAACCTTCATTCACTGACCAAAAGCCAGTGCAACAACTCGTATTGAGCCACGGCCTAACGGACTATGTTCTCAACGCGCCGCGCACCGGCCTAATCAGCCAGAACAAAGAGGGCATCGTCTCCCTATCTGGTGCGTGTCTCCGTCGGACATGCTCTACCGCGCTGACTCCGAATCAGGGTATCTTGCCGTTCACTTGCTCGGGCTCTCAACGGGGACGCTGCTCCTCCCGCCCACGCCGTCCTACTTCCGCAAGCGCCAGCAAGAACTCGCTAGAGCGCGCTCACCTCGCCGGTCTGCGCACACGCACGACAGCGACTCCGAGAGCGACGACAGCACAGGCCCACAGCGACTCCGCCAGACGCACGCATCGACCGTGGAGCGGCGCGAGAACGACAAGACAGCGATCGAGCTGTGCTCGTACGCCGTCCTGTGGTGGGTCCTCCTCGGCGGGAGCAAACTGCTCGGCATCGGCGACGGTGTCTCCCGAAGACTAGTAAGCGCACCTCGTGTCTGCCGCCGCGGTATCCTGCTCACCGTCTCCGCAGGTGAATTTGCAGTACATCCTCTGGATCGCGGCGTACAACGTGAGCTTCATCCTCGGCTACATGTGCCTCGACCTCGCGTTCTTCGCGTCGCCCCTCTCCAAGTCGACCTACTCGCCGTACTCGAAGCTCAAGGTGCAGCACGACCCCGTGATGCTCAAGAAAGATGACAGGCATGGGCACCCGGTCGAGGGGAGCGCGCCGGCGCTGCTTGACGCGATCAACAAGAACGGGCTGGCACTGTTTCTACTGGTGAGTGTACGATACGAACTGGTTCGGGACCCGGTGTGCTGACGTGGATGTGTTGCGCGCAGGCCAACCTCGCCACCGGCATAGTGAATTTGTCGATGAAGACGATGTACGCGTCGGACGCGGTGGCGATGGCAGTGCTCTCTGCGTACGCGCTCGCTATCTGCGGTGTCGCGTGGGTGTTTAGAAATAGACGGCTTTGGCACTTTTGAAGCTCTTGCTTGGTGGACGATGGGTGATAGCAGATGGATCACTCATCCTGGGGGTGAAATGAGTATGAAGGTCAGTGTCTTAGGTTCACGTCGCCGATATAACCTGGAACTGAGCGTCGTGTTTGGTTGCTCTCGGGTGCTTCAATGTTGGTAGGTACTAAGAATTACGTGCGTGGTCAATCATCCATTAGAGGGTGCTCTCTGCTCGTACTCAACTTCGTACGCATGGCACATCTTCATTGGCGGCGTCGCTGACCGATCTTACCAATAAGCTGCAATCAGGTTTCAAAGTATGTGCGATCCGTCAAGAATTGAATGGCGAATGAAACCGTGACGATTGAAGTCATGGCAAGAACTTTGGCTTCTGTATGGTTCCTGATGTGCTCTCACTTATATTTGACCCTGGACTGTCTCGTTTGTCATCTGGAGATAGGAACTGAGCTCAGTGATAGTATGTAGCCATATCCCAGTTTTATGGGAGCACAAGGCTGCTGGAACACCATTTATCGACAATACTTGTGCATGCCAGTTAACCACCAGTGCTGATCAAGCGATTGCAGCTGGTGCTCGCTGTCACTGTCAAGTTTTGCCGTTTTTGCCGTCGAGCCTCGGATCGCTGCACAGAATAGCTGGCGAGATAGCTACTATGTACATAATCTGGACTCTGAATGTCTCTATTGGATGATCGTAGGCCACATGGCCACTGTGCATCAATACGACTTGCCGTCGGCTCCCATCAGTCGTTGTATGTCGCGTGTCCTCTCTGCCAGTGGTTCAGACGAGCCTGAGTTGACTCTGAGCCTTTCAGCCATGCCCTTGGTGTCAGAGAAGCGGCCCCGTGCCCATGCTCACGTTTTCATCCCCTCCATTTCCGACTTCAATACGCTCACGAAAGTCGATGACCCCGACGCCTGTACTCTCGAGGTCTCAGCACTTCCATATTCAACCAATGTACCCACTGGCGTGCAGTTGGTCCACTGGGTAACAGGCGAGCGTACACGCACGGTCTGTCGTGTCCTCATGCAAGATACAGCCCGTGACAATGAGGGAAGCATCAATCGTAGGACCGTCATCTGCAAAGTGATTCACGGTGGCAAGCGACAGCGATCGACACTGCATCATGAGAAGCAAGTCTACGCCGCACTGGAAGAACTTCAAGGGGATATTATACCCCGTTGCTATGGACTATTTGAGGGAGAACTAGGCGGCGAGCTAGCTACCTGTTTAGTTCTTGAATATTTCGGGGAACCTCTGACTCGCAACAAGTCGGCACACGAGGACGAGGCATTCAGGTGCGTTGAACCATGCCTTGATAGTCCGCGAGATAGATCTCATTTGGAAGGCGTTGTCTATGACAGGATTTACTTGATGTCTGCCGTTCTCGAATTTCATAGAAGAGGCGTACGACACAATGACTTGAAGCCAGGCCACATTCGCAAGAAGAGCGACGGAAGTGCCGGTATCATCGACTTTGAGGCCGCTGTGATGAACCACCATTGCCCGGTGGTTGATGCGGACGTTGTAGACAGCGCGGCAACATTCGAATTCGGCAAGCTGGCACTTAGAGAAGTCGAGCTCCCTTGTAAAGAACTGTGGGAGACCGCGTCTCACATTGCAGCAATCTGGAAACCAAGTGAACCCTCCTTCTGTACCTAGTATCGTAACCCCGGATGCTCATCAGTCTTTGTACAGGCACAACGGGCTTCGGTTCCCAATTGATCAGTGTTCACCAACTGTCGCGCATAACCGATCCAAATGACCGCCAAATCGCTGAAATATGCTACGCGTACGAAGTCGAGGCCTGGGAGCAGAAAGTCGACTTCACTCGACAGGAGTTGTTGAGAAGGTGGGACGCCGCCGGGCTGAAGAGACCACTCAATGTGTAAAGGTATTCATGGTTGTGTGTAATCCGCAAACCGGATGCTATGTGTCACTATACATGATTAGCCCGGTCTTGCCAGAATGAACGGAGATCGGGCACACATAGGGCTAATCACTGCCAGCATGGATTACGAGCTAACAATGACGACTCCACGTCTGATAAGTGATATGACCAGTACTGTAAGGACTGACCGACAACAGAACAGCCTGAGGATCCACTATGAGCACCGTGGATAGCGGACAGCGCTACCGCGTCCTAGACATGCATCGCACTATTCATCGACTTCGCCACGCACATGGTGGGGTAGCCTGAGCAGAATACAACGGACAGATGTTCTAGAGCCGAATCGGTCACATTGGTGACATCCGGAGGCACTGGCATGATCCAGAGCTTCGCTCGTAGTGAGCTGCCTTCACAAAGAACTTGTAGTTAAGGAGCATGCATCAGCAGAGGATGCTACGTCTCCTGACGCCACGTCACAGGCTCAACCGGGTCCACTTTTATCTTCGACTCGCGGGAGTTCGATGGTACTGATGTCGTCTTCGGATTTGTCTTCATGTATGTTACCCAGAGGCGATGAGATCCATCGAACGATAACTGTGAGGCACAGGCTACTAGGATCGATTGAACAGCATCATCGAACTTGAGGTGACGAATTGACTTTGCTGTGTAGCCGCGTCAAGACCTGAAAGCGACCCGTGTTAGCCCGTATTGTCGTCGAATCGTCGCTTCAAGTTCTGCGACATCAATAAAGAACTGACAAGCGTTACGCCGGGCCACATACTCTTGTAGTCCCATCTAGTGAGTTCTTGTGGCTTCGAGCGTCTCTGAAGCATAAAAGCCTGCATGCCACGTACAGCACTCATGGAATACATTGATCCAAATCCCACGACCCTGTCATACACGACAATGTCCGATGCAAACTTGTTGCGGAGAGAACACCCTACCGCTGTGCTGAACAATGAGCTTGATATGCCACAGCGCACAAACTGTCGTGAGACTCGTACCTCGTCAAGAACCTTGCAGCGCTGTGTAGCAAGCGAAGCCCATGCTCTCCCAAAACGGCCCCGTCTTAGGAAAGCGCCTAGTATATTCAAAGAGGCGGTCCTGGGCCTTCCGTATGTGCTCGTAAGGCAACCATTGCACGTTCTCGTTCCTGAGCTCTGCGCCCACACGACGAGCGATATCCAGAAGCTCTCGGATGTCCTTGACGTCCGATCCCTGTTTCGCACGCATGTACCCTTCGGTATGATTCCGATGGTCGTCCCAGCCCTGTAGTTTCAACAGGAGCAAAGGCAGAATTGGTAAGACGGGGATGCCATCCCGACTTTCGATGTAGGCTGGAGGGACAGGTGGGATATTCAGGGTCGTGACGAGACCCGGGATGAGGATGTCGACCTTGCAGCGACGCTCGGCCTCGCCTCTGATGCGAGGTAGTTTGTACCAGAGGACCTTGTATGTAGCTGCGGGGTCCTTGGCGTCGACGAGATAGAATGATGAGTTCGCCTGGGGCAGCAGCCTCTTCAGGCGTTCTGTATCTAGTTCGTCTACGAACACGACGAGATCCACGTCCTACGATCGACGTGGAGCACCTCAGTCACGCACAACGGAGGCAGCATGAGCTTACGTTCGGTGTTCTGGTTGTTCCATACAACGCGCATGCGGTGCTTCCGAAGAGGCAACATGAATATCCATGTCTCGTGTATATTGATACTGCCTCGCGGGAAACGGCGCAGATTTCTGGGTATGTTGGCGGGCGGGACTTCATCTTTCGAGCTTCTACTCGTTAAGAACTGTTGGCGACGTTAGTAGTAATGGCTACGTGGTCGCTGTGGTACCACTCGCTAGAGCCTTGTCTGAGTGCGTTAGAGTTCAAACGTTCACGTTCAGTTCACGTTGTCAATCCAGGTGGCTGAACCTAATTGACAGTCGGCTTATGTCATCATAGCACAAGTCGATACAGTTACTTCAGGGCGAAACCGTTCCGGTACGTGTTCAAGTGTATTGCAACTCAGTACAGCTGAGCGTAATGTCTTCAGAAGCTATGACAACAGCGTGGAACATAGTGCTAATGATCACAGCGCATATTCAAGACAATCGGGGGATTTCAAGTTGGACCACATCAACATCTATCTTGCGATGCTCTACGACCCTGTATATAGCGAGCCGACTCGGATCACGCTAAAGGACGAGATTATCAGCAGGGATGTCTCTCGACAGAGCACTCTACTCGCACCTGGAGTCGGCGATGAATCCAGACTTAGTATGATTCGAAACCGAGAGTCTGCCATTCCAAGGCTGAGTGCGGGAACTCGTCCACGTATTCGTAGATACGCCCCTGGGCGTCCTGGACGAAGTCCGCGGGCAGCCAGCTGAGGCTGTTGCTGCTGACATGTGTGTGTGTACCGCAGGCAATCGACAGGAGCTCGTCAATGTCCTCGACATCGACATGTTGCTTCTCCCGGAAGTCCCGCCGGTTGGAGTCGCGATGATCCGTCCATCCCTGCAGCTTCAACAGCAACAGGGGGAGCAGTGGCATTACGGGAAGGTAGTTTTTGCGCTTGACCTGTCCTTTGGGGATGTCCGGGATGTTCAGATCGCCTGGGATCAGGATGTCTACCTTGCACTGACGCTCCGCACCGCGGCGGGTGGATGGTAGCTGGTACCATAGCACCTCGTAATTTGCGCGACGATTTCTCGAGGGTACGAGGAAGAACCGTCCATCATCGTCATTGTCCACCAGGAGCTGCTTCAAGTATTCGGTGTTCTCATCAGGCGCGAGAACAACGAGATCCACATCCTATGATCATGACTGTGATCAAACAACATCGAGTCATAGGAAGTGAATCTGCGCGTACGTTGGGACATCTCGTCGTGCCAAACAGTGCACAGGCTGTGCTTCCGAACAGGCAGCACTCATAGCCCTGATCTTTGAATATGGTGACAGCCTTACTGGCGATATCGCAGATTTCTTCATACGTCGGAGGGGGAGCCATCGCGTTTGCTGCTAGCCGTGTTATGTGTACAGCGTCGATGGAGCAAGGGTGTACGAATGTACGAAACTACAAAGGGGGACGATAGTAGCTCAGTCCACAATACCCGCTCAGCAGCCGCTTCGAAGCACACCAATGGGTCATTGAGATAAAGCCTCGTGTACCTGCTGTTGAGGGTGAGAAGAAACCTTGCTCGCATTGTCCTCGTGGCTCACCCGATTCCGTACGACGCGCACATCCCTCCATGCTACTACATTTATGGAGAAGTTACATGAACGCTAGCAGCGCACGTGCGCAAGGACGACTCGTTTTCACTCGCTCTGGCAGCCCGTTAGATACGAGCAGCAATTCTCCACGCCTGTCAAGTCCTCAGGCGGCAATGACTTCCTCTATTGCTGTTTCTGATGCCTTCTCGGACACGGACCCTTTGTGGTCTCCCTCGTGCAAAGGCCCCTCGATAGCCTCGGCGACTTCCTTGGCCAGATCTTTGTTATCGAACAAGGCCGCGGTTTCTTCCAGGGTGCGGTTCTTGGTTTCCACGAGCAGGAAGTAGATGAACACGAACTCGAAGGCGATCCAACAGCAGTAGAAGATCTGGGATGAGTCGACAATGAGACCGTGAATGGTTATACATGACGACCGATAGACGCACGTAGTACTTCCAGGCAAGCCTCTGTAGGGCGACTGGATTGACATATTGGTTGAAGATCAATGCGAGCGAAACGCCGACACTGTATATGGTGAGGCCCTTCGCCCGGAGCGAGTTCGGCATAATCTCGACGGTATAGGTTACAATTAGAGGCGTGTAGGCAAGACTGGTGGGATTGCATGTCAATGGTTGCGCGCTTCTCGTATGGGAGAAGAAACTCACTCATAGAATCCGTAGTATAGGAATATGAACGCGATGACAGCGTGCGCAGCAGCCGGCTGCTCGTGGAGCGCGTATTGCGCTGAGCAGATGGTCTGCAGAATGAAGAATACAAGACTGCCCCCGGTCGCCAAGAGGAAGAGGGGTCGGCGTCCGACTCTGTCGACCAGGAACGAGGCACCGATTGAGATGACGAGGTTCCATATAGCGAGGATGCTAAACACGAATCAGTATCCACGTAGCAGAATGCGTTCTGATACTCACCCAGTAATGAGCAGTTGCGTAGAGGTACTGGTAATTCCGATAGTGTCGAATACCTTATTGAGATAGTATGACACAAGCCCATTACCGGACCACTGGGAGAACCATCCAATGGCGACAGCAATGATAAGCCGCTTTCTGTTTCCAGGAGTCTTGAAGAGACTGAGCCAGCCGACGTCCTTGTTTACTAAAGTAACATCGAGCTGAAGCACATAATAAGTTCATAGGGACAGTGGACGTACCTTCACGATCAAACGCAATGGCGGCTCTGATCTCTTCGAACTCGAACTGCACAAGCGGGTCTTGATCGTCACCATCGGCATGGTAGTAAGCGAGGACCTGTAGGCCCTCTGCCTCTCTGCCCTTGGATATGAGCCACCTAGGACTCTCCGGTGCCAGAAGAACGAAGAAGAATTGAATAATTGACGGTATCCCCTGAATGATCGACGGAATGCGCCACGACCATTCATTAGGGATGTAAGCCGTGCCATATGTCGTCCACGACGCGCTATGAGACAGGGTTCTTGACGTCACTGTACGCTATAGCTTTGGCAAATGGGACGTACATCACGTTCCCGGAGTACCAAAGCGAGTTGTACACAGACGTGAGAGGCGCACGGTAGGTGGGATATGAGATTTCGGTGACCAGCATCGGCGCGGCATTAGCTATATACCTATCTCGTGAGTTTGCATCCCAAGCGACAGCGATTTGGCACACCAGCGAAGCAAACACCGAACCCGATGAGGAAACTGGTCACTGTCGTGAGTCATCGTTCTGCTCGACATCAAGATCGACGTACCGTCCTCCGATGAACATGCCAATATTCTGCGCGGCAGACTGGATGGCGACTCCGATGAGAGTAATGATTGAACCAACAAATATCGTTGCACGGCGTCCAATCCCATCAGACAAGTACGGAGCGAATGGATATGCGGCAAGCGAGCCTATATTCTGTATTTCCCTTCAATCACTCTTCCTCGAGTCAAGAGAAATGAAGTGACCTGCATAGCACTAAGAGCGCCCAGGAGAGACCCAGACGGGTTGTTGAAGTAGCCTTCCCATTGCCACAGCGATTGAAAGTTATTCATGAGACTGCCGTCGAATCCATTGGCAGAAGAGATGATGATGCTATGAAAAATGTTTGTGTTACGATAGAACGTAGCCGGATAGCTGTATCTGACGTACAAGAGAACGATCCACGCATGCAGAGTAATGAGTCTACGGGAAGTGAATGAGCACCGGCGGCAGAAGGGGAGACACCGAAATGAAAGAGCACGCACCGCCGATTGTTGTACCACTTCCTGTTCGGGTTGAGAAGGTGCGCAACACCTGTAGTCGCTTCCGCAGATACCGTTGCGCCGACCGCCATGCTGGCTTTGCGCTCGTCGTGAACAAGAGGAGGATTTTTTCAATGAGAACGTGAAAGCTCCAGCCCGCCCGTCCAGGAAGTGCATGGATTTATATTGGCAGGACGTCCTCAGAATAACGACTGAGACGGTCAGATTCAGTGGACAGGTGATACACTGTGGTCCAAACATCCAGGAAACGAATGCCTCATGATCACCCCACATTTCCCCGGATTGACATTGCCACGAGAAGCACCTTTCGCCTCGATCTCGTGGACCAGGCACATTTGCATTGCCTGCGACTTCGCACTGGTCAGACGGTTGGGAGAAAGGCAACTCAGCTATGAAGTGCTTACGGAGTAACTTGCTGCATTGCGTTTTGCTGCGAGTCGACACTGAAACTCGTTCCAGTACTGGCGCGTGCCCCTGCATGTTATTTCACGCAGAGTAAACAACGCCAACCTACAGTAGTGATGCAAGAGTTACAGGGTCTTCCGAGGGCAAGTGACCTTCGGAAACAAGTTATACGGAACGCCGGCGGCAGATAGAGACCCGCAGCTTCTCTGAGCACTTGCACTCAGTGCGGGCTTAGACACAGCCCCCGGACCAGCGGCTACGACCTGCCGTTGTATACAGTGGAAGCCTTCATGTAGAGTCGCAGGAAGAAGGTGTCCTACCGAGGAAACGGGACGTTCACGTAGGCGGTAAGAATGGAGAGTTGCTCCTGTTACCACGACCGCGCCAGCCAGTGTGAGTAGTATGACGGAGACAACAACGCCAGCGAGGCGATTGGACGTGTACAAACGCCAACGTGACCTGGTAGCCGCCATCTTGTACCTGTTCGATCTTCGCGCGAATGCGTGTCTGAACTATGTCGATGGTACGACCAGTCCAGCAGTCAGGATCGCTGGGATTAACCTCGCTGATTCAACGACCTAGGCAACGCTAATTGAAGATCACTTCGTACGACGATGGCTAAAACTCACCTTCATTGAAGTTCGACGCGTTTAAAGTCGAGTGTTATCCGAAGAAAGAGCGGCCGGAATCGGGAAAAGGTCGGGTCTTCAGCTTGACGCGTGGACAGAGGCTTGATTGGTATGAATGGCACATACAGTTGTCTAGGTCGGGTTCAACGCCGTCTTTACTGTTGACATCCGAGGTTCAGCTAGTCTGTGCCTGTTCTGGTAATGTGTAGAACTGGAAAACATCATGTAAGGCAGATCCGAGCCCACCGGTCCTTAGACCAGGACAAAGCATCGTGTCATTCACGCATGAAAGAAGAATGCGACGAAGCAAGTCGATGGGCAGAGTGAATGGACCACCCAGCCACACCCAGCCATCTTGAAACAAGCACATAAGGATTGGGCTTGAATAAGCAGCAGCAGATAAGCAGGGAATGCACGGAAGGTTCCAATGCCCTGGACGCAGGATGAGAACGTTCTTCTAATCTGGACGATCTGCGCTTTGCGAAGGCGGAAGGTGCCTTCCCGTGGCACCAGAGTACGGGCGACCAATAGTTGTCGATCTGTCGGTACAATGGAGTAGCGTTGAGGCGCAACAATCCCAACTTTCACGTCTTGGTGGCGTTCAAGGGTGAAGCATGCCTTCACTGGCAGCACGAGCCCGTCGTCAAGCTTCATCCCGTCATAGTCGCATAGGCCCTACCAATTGCGGCACAAGCATAACCGTACTTGTCTCGAGACAAGACTGCAATCACCCAGGAAGCATGCGTGCTATCATAGTGCAGGGCAGCCGTCATGGTGAAACCAAGAACAGTCAACGTAGAGCGGCCAGCAGCAGTAGACAATTGACTCACCTACCTACAAACATTCTCTGGCGCGAAATTCACACAGTAGCGCGAGAGTTGGCAACGCCACTGATGGCGTTGAACTTCACAAGAGTGTTCTAGATCCGGAAGCTGAACTAATTCGTTTTTCCAGGTACTCCGGAGGACATTGAAACACTAGCGCTACCCGGAGATGAAGGCCGAATACGCAGTTACTGCCGGCATATGCACTCGAAATCACTGCGATACTGTGCGCGAGCGTAGACTCACAGAAGCGTGCGTTGGACATTGAGCGGACATGACGCATGACAGTTCGTCAAGGAGCGAGATTGCGTACGGAAAAGCTGCCGTGCGACTGGGAAAGCAGTCGAGGTACAGGGCTGAGACGATTTTCTGGGCCGGCAGGGTTCAGCAGCGAACGATGGCAGTTGCATTCAAGGCCCCGGTTACATACCAACCTTTGTGGAAGTTCTGCCAGCGAGGCCGGTACTATCGAGATGTCTTCGGTCATTGAGGACAAGTTCAATCGCGGAAGAAGATTGAACTCACCTCAGTTCCCCTGCGGAAGCTCGCTGTCTATTGAAATCAGCCTAACCATCCAAAGTGCTCTCTATATCGAGTTCCGTTCCATATCTCATTCGAGGTATGTGTGCTGCTATCTGATGCAAAGCCTGCCAGCGAGGCGTGCCGTCGTAGGACCATCCGTAGGGCAGGCCATCGCGAATATATCTGTGAACTGTGCGTCCGTAACTTGAATGTGAATACCTTTAGGCTGTGAAGAGAAGAAAACAAGTACGCACGTAGATACTAGAGAAGGAGGAAAGGGTGATCGGCACGTAGAGATCTGGTTGTAGCAAGCCAAGCCGTTCCGATCAAAGTGATCAAATCAAACCGAACTGACCCAACGATGACACCGTGTGGCCGAGGATCCGAGACCAAGCTATGCAAGTAGCCACCGCGACGTATATGAAGACCGGGAGCGAGTATTGCTCCTGCATATCTACCCCCACTCTGCACTCGCTGGGCGAGTCATACAGTCATGTCAGACAAAGCCGCGAAAGTAGCACGGCCAGTTTCCGTCGACGAACTATGCAGCCTAGCAAAGAAGGTCGTGGACATATTCGCACAGCATGACCTTTCGTGCTGTCTCACGGGCGACCTGGCATGTGCCCTGCAGAGCGTACCGAGACGCCCCTACGTGCGCCCATCTGCCTTCTTTGTCAGGACTCGAGATGCTAATTGACCCGGCCGGACGCTGTAGGATCTCGTCGTGGTCGTGGCGTCGGAGGCGCACAAGCAGGAGCAGCTGAAGGAGATGGCGACCGAAACCGACCCCGACTTCTACCTCATCACGCCCAAGGATCCTCGCGCGAAGCACAAGGCCCTCTGCTACAAGCTTCCACACCAGTCCGGGGAGCGCAAGCGTGGCTGCGAAGTCCACGTCCTCGTCCCCGGCATGCTCAACATCCCCGAGATTCCCAAGGACCGCATCGAGACGCTCCGCGGTCTGCCCGTGATGCCCCTCCCCGTTCTCATGTTCATGAAGCTCCAGACCTGGTCTGACCGACGCGTGTCTGTCCAATCGTACATGAAGACTAAGCAGCATGACGAAGACGTTAAGGACATCCGCGAACTCTTGGCTGTCATACGAGGTCGCGGCGGAGATCTGAGCACGAAGGCGCTATTGGAGTGGCTGCCGCTCACAGCTGTCTTCGCGGCGCTGGGTAGAATGACCGAGTTCGCTAACGTTTTCCCGGACTCGGAAACGAACTGGAGGGTGGTCGGCGCTCTGAAGTGAGGTCGCCACGGTACCTGCCTCCACATCTTGATTTGTCTGGTGTGTACCCTTGATTTTGACCTGGGCCGTGCGCTGACCTCCTTCGTAGATAACGTAGTTATCTTGGACTTCGGAGGATACCAGACGATAGAGTTATACCCTCGTTTTCCTGCTTTCGATACATGCCTCCCCGTAACAGCCTAGCTTACATCGGTCTAGTCCAGTCTTGGGTTTGGGAACATGCTATACACGAATGGGGCAATCACTACCCGGAGACCTACCAGTGGGTCACACCTACGTAGACCCAGAACGAGACGCGACAGATCTCGCCGCCCGCGAAGCTACAAAGTTAGGTGAGTGACATGCCATTATCTAGGACTCTTCCCCCGATTACCTCCGAAGTGACAGCGCAGACCAAGGACCGGGTGCTGAGGCTCCCTGTCATCAATGGGAAGCCCTTCTCATCCTGGACCCTGTGAAGTGCGACTCGGATGTCTGGAAAGGATATGAAGATAGCACTGCGAGCGAGCGCCTGGATCTTACGTCGCGGATACTAGTACTATCGAGGCGTTGACGTCCAAGACACCTCCACTCAGCCGAGGTAGGCAAACCAATGTCCATGAAGAATTCATGAACGCGGGCTTCCACATCGCAAAGGCGAAATTTCGCTACACGTTGCGTCCTTCGTCTGGTACGTCGGATAGGGCGAGATAAGGCAGAAGGACGACGCACAAGGTAAAAAGTCGCTACCAGTAGTGACGGGCCTTCGCCCTCCCACTAGCGGGTGAAGCTTAGCCGGTCTGCCTGTGCTTGTGCCGCGACCGTCCGATACTGTGCGTGAGCTATGGTGACGACCGCGGAGCTGCACGACATCGCGAAGAAGGCGGAGCGCATCTTCGCGCGGTACGGCGTCGCGTGCTGCCTCACCGGCGGCGTGGCGTGCGGGCTCTACGGCACGACGCGCCCCGCAAACGTACGTCGTGCCGCACGCCGTTTCATACCCGCGCACGCCGACTCTGTTTACGCAGGACGTGGACCTCGTCGTCCTCACGACGGCGCACCAGCAGGAGGAGCTGAAGCGCATCCTCGTGGCGGCCGACCCGCAGTTCTACCTCGTGGCGTCGAAGGACCCCTACGCGACGTACAGGGTGCTCTGGTACCGCCTCGGGTCCGCATACTCGCGCTACGCCGCGCGGTGCAAGGTGGACCTCCTCGTGCCGGGCATCATGAACATACCCGACGTGCCCAAGAAGTACATCGAGACGCTCGGCGGGCTGCCCGCGATGCCGTTCATGCTCCTGCTGTGGATGAAGCTGCAGGCGCGGACGGACCACCGCGGCTCGCCGAAGCCCTACATGCGCCCGAAGCAGTGGGACGACGTGCGCGACATCGACCAGCTGCTCGACATCGCCCGCCGCCGTGGGGAAATGATCAGGGCGAAGACGGCGTGGATGCCTGCGAGCTTCGTGGACGCTGCTCTGGCGAGAATCAGAGAGTACATCGCCGATTTCCCAGCGTCGAAGGCGAAGTGGGAGGGGATCGGGTATGGTGGAAGGCGCAGCACATCTAGGTTAGTCGGGGTCCTGTGATTGTCAGGATGCTTCGGGCTGACCTGGCGCAGCCGCAGTGCGTCGTCCAGGCAGCACGGCGCACAGGAACAGAAGGCGTACAAGGCTCTTCTCTCACGGGCGGCGCTCGGCACTTGGTCCGCACACGGGCTCGACGACCTGTAGTCGTAGACGTAGGCATGACGCTCGTGGATATTGTCACGCCTGTACATATGTACACAGCAGGGTATGGTAGCACCCGCAGCCTGAGCAGACCTAGTAGAGAGTAACATCGACGATAGCGAGGGAGAGCGACGACAGCAGCAATACAAAACAAGCGACGCATACACCGAAAGCAATATTTCTACAAACGCAGAGCACTAAAGCATGAGACGCATTCCGCACGCGCACGCATGTACCTGTACATGCCACTGAGCATACGAAGCCCGGTGGCCACCGCGACCAGCGAGACCAGTAGTGGGCACCGCGGGGGGATCCTAGGGCGCGGACGTCTCCATCATGGAGGAGCCCGCCCTGCGCGCACCCGCCTTCCGCGGGCCCACACTCGAGTCCGAGCGCTCCCGCTCCTTCCCCGCGCGTCGGCGCGCGCCCTGGCTACCGGGCGCAGACTGACCTGCGGACGGCTCCGGCTCGGCCATCTGCACGTTCATCGCGCCGGGGTCGGACGCACTGGCATCCGCCTCCGCGCCCTCGCCCTGCTCCCGCGCCCTGGCCGCGCGCGGGAAGCGCTTGTGCATGCCCCTGCGGGACTCCTTCGGGTACTCGCACAGGAGGTCGCGGCGCGCGCACTGGCTGCGGGAGACAAGCACACATCCCGGCATCAGCACCGCGCAACCATAGCAGACAGACTAGGACACGGCGGAGGGAACACGCACTTGCACCGATGTTCCGAGGAGCCCAGTGTCGGGGGCCCGCACGCGATCTTGCGCTCGCGGCAGAACAGGCACGCCATGATCGGCTTCTTCTTCACGGGCTCCTTCGCGGTGCCGGGCGACGTGAGCTTGAACATCTGCTGCCCCGGGTGCTCCGCGCCCTCCGGGAAGGGGATCTCGTCCAGCGACACCTGCGGCTGCTGCTGCGGCGGCGGCTGTGCGTCCGCGGACGTGCCGGCGGGCTCGGGCAGCGCGTCCATCCAGCGCCGCTGCGGGCGGACGTCGTACGCGGCGCCCGAGGCGGCGGGGCCGGGCGGCGGCTGCACCGGCGCGTCGCGCGGCGGGTAGGGGTAGTTCACGGGCGGCGGCGGGGAGGTGCGGGTGGGCAGGGGATGTTTCCTGGGGCGTCCGCGCCCGCGCCGGATCGGCTGCCCGTGCGAGCTCGGGGCCTGCGGCGTCGAGGCTCCCGCCTGGGGTGCAGCGCTCGCTGCCGACGGCCCGGGGTTGGCAGCGGGCTTCCGGACGTTTGCGGGCGGCGGGGGGTGGGCTGCGACGTCGGAGGGGTGGGGGAGGTAGTCCATGACGGGGCGGCTCCTGTGCGACGGGACGGTGGGCGTGGGCGGGTGCGGGTGCGGCGGCTCGGCGGCGGGGGCAACGGGGGTCATGGCGTTCTCGAGCGTGTACGACCGGTTGTTCTGGATCGGCGTGGGGAGCCGGGCGGCGTAGTGGGCGCGCTCGTACAGGTCGTCGTCGGGGGACTGCGGGGGCGGGGTGTAGTACGCGTAGGGCCACGGCTGCGGCCTGGCGTACGAGCCGTCCTCGGCGATGTAGGGCGCGGGCTGGCGGGGGTCAGCCGGGGTGGTACCTAAGACGTGCGTACGAGGGGACTGACCATGAACCCGACAGCTGAGTCGCCCTGACCGTACTCGTGAGCGAGCGCGTCTTCAGCGGAAGAGCTGCTGCCAGTGTATTGAGATGCAAAGCCGACAGACGGATGGGCCTCGTATGCAGGTTCCGCCTTGACATACGGGCCATAGTCCGCGTCGTCCGTGCGCGAGGAGTCATAGCCGCTCGGAAAGTGATCGTTGTCTGAGAAATGCGCGCGACCCGGTGGCGCGCTGAAGGGGTCCTGCGCACTGGGTGACCCACGCCAGTCCATGTCCTCCTCCTTGACTTCCTGCTTGACGTTGGCGGCGGTGGCGTCGAGCTGGGGGTGAGCGCCACGCGGCGCGGCGTAGGCGTGGGTGTGCGCTACGACCGGCGGCACCGCTGCCTGCTGGTGTCCATACGTGCCCTGATAAGACGGCGGATCGATTTCATTAGACGTGCACGACGCAGCCTATCGGATGGAGGCGATCACGTACGCGTGGGCTGGGGTTCACCGCGCAGGTCGTCACAGGCATCACTGCGTGGGCTGCGTCGCCGCCTGCGAAGGGCGAGCTGGATGCCGCATCGGGCGGGTGAGCGGTCGTGCACTCCGCAGCGCAGCGAGCGTGCTTCGCGACGCACCTGTAGGCTCTGTCCGCGCCGCTACCGTGGGATGCGTACGGAATGCCGTAAGCGCGGTTCTGGGATGTCGGAGGCGGCGGCCAGGACCGGGCGGCCACACCTGCGTGGGTGCTGGTCGAGTCGTCTCGCCGACGATCATGAGTGCGGGGCGGCGCCGCGCTGGGCACGCCGTACGCTGCGCGCGCCGCAGGACGTGGGGCGGTGTACATCGTCGGAGTCGGAGTTGGGCGGGGGCGTGCACGGACGCTGATGGCTGCGATCGCTGGGGCGCGGACGCAGATTGAGCAGCGGGGCCAGCGGGGCAGCGCGCGGGCAGCGGGGCTGATTGCGGGCGAGCGGGCGGGTGGAGATCAGACAGAGCGCGTATGTTCTTGCGAGCCTTTGAAGCGAACTCGGGCGGACTGCACACACGTACCGCACCGGTGGGCAGACCGTGACCCGACAATCGGCGGACCCTGACCTACGCGCCCAGGTCGGCGAGATCCCGCGAGATGTCGCATTATTCCCTCGACGTAAGCGTATCACGCTCGGGCGCCCGAGCCCAGTGCGGTAGGGAGTCTGCCTGGTGTGGACAATTGCCCCCGTGGCATTTCTTCCCACAGGTCCTGCAGCGGGAAAACCACACGGAGTTAGCTTCGCGTAGTCCGCGGCCCCAGTCATCCGGTCTAGAGGCCAGTCGGTGCAAGCTCGCCACCCCAAAAGACGTAGCGCACTACCGTGCCCACTGGCAGCAGCATACCGCATGGGCCCTGCGCCTGCCCGCCGATAGCCGGGCGACGCCATCGACGACGACGTGTCGACGAGAATGGGTTAGCCAAACAGGCGGATTGCGTACGCAGTGAAAGGACTTCGGCGGCACGTAGCGCGGCATGCGCCAGGCGCTGGACTAGGTGCGCAGCCGACGACGCGAGTGCTGAAGGAAGGGCAGCCAATCTTCGTCGGATCTCACCCGTCCGAACGCGGATCCCTTCTGCGAACAACACAGACGCCCGCGCTGGGCCCGTGCCCACGAAGACTCAAGTTGGTTGTTCAGCTCTTCAGCTTGAGGCGCTGCGTCGGCGGCGGTGGCACGCACGGCACACTGGCAGGTACTTACTACGACGCACGAAGAGCGGAAGAAACAGGGTCTCTCCGCCCGCTTGCTGTAGCACCTCGAAGCGGTCGTCCGAGGCACGGGATCTGCATAGAAACGCCTACCGTCGTTCCTGCTGTGGCACTGCGCACTACGCCAGCGGCGCGGGTCGTGATTCGTGCGTCCCGGTGATCACCCCTCGAATTCAATCCACTTCGGTCTTGGCTCTGGAAGCATGGCAGACGTAACATGGAAGCAGACGTACATAACAGCCCGCCGGCGTGGCCACTCGTCCAGCGTGCACTGGCGTGAGTGCGCGCTTGGCATGTCGCCCTAGCGCATCCTTCGTCCTTCCACGCGCCGGGGCGGGCCAACCCCCGTCAGCTGCGGCGGAGATAGCCCTGCACGAACACAGCGGCGCTGCGTCACTCCGACGACGGCCACCATCCGGGGTCCGGGCACCGTGGGCTGCGCCGGCGCAGCGCACAGCGCGGTCTCGAAGACGAGCTCGCGCCGATTGAACCTGCCTTCACGCGTCACGCTCCACCATAAGGCGGTGTCAGTCAGCATCCCTGCACGGGCCCGTCTGGAGATAGCGAACAGATTCCTAGTTGCTTGCTTGCGCACCGCACAAACGCTCGCCATCGCAGCCACCGTGGGGCGCGCCTTACCAAAGACCGCCGCATCACTCCCAGCCGGTGCGCTTCCCGACCCCGTGAAAGTCGGATCCTGTTGGGCCGCCAGGCGAGGAGGGCGTGCGACGCGCGCAGGGCGCTCAGATGATCGCCCTGCACATCCGCCCTGTGCGGGAGAACGCCAGCGACTCGCAGCCGCGCCCTCGGGCGCGTGCGCGTGGGCCCCTCGCAGGCGTTACGAGAATCTGATAACGCAGCGGCCGCGAGTTATGCGTGCGAGGTTGGATCGAACTCTATCGCCGGACGCACAGGAGGGGCGTGGCTACTGGCCAGCAGCGTTGGCGCTGCAGCTTACGGCACGGCTCTACGGCCGACCCCCCACCAGCGCGATTTCGCCCCGATGCCACCCCGCGCTGGCGTTCTTGTTCCCGAGACGTCCACGCAGGGAAAGTGGAGGGCCACAAGCAGCGGGCGCACAGTCTCGGTATCGCAGCTGCATATCCCCTTTCGACTCTGGAGCTGTGAAAGTCGGTGGCACACAAGCCTTATAAGGCGGTGCCGTCAAATTCAAGGCCACTCAACACTCACCGACGTGAGTGCGAGGAGTGTGTGTTCTGGCTCATCCGAGCACGCCACGATGACGTTCTCGAACGGGTGCTGTGTGTTCAGTGCACGCGGCCACGGACGCAGAGGCGACAGGTTCGCCACCATGACCTTCCCGGCGTCCAGCCACCAGGTGCCTGGCGCGGGCGTCCCAACGGCGCAGTGCGAGTTCTGCAATGCGTCGCGGAGATGAATCAGCGCGCGTCATCGACGCTTCCGGCAACCATACAGCCCGTATAACACGCACACTATCGAGTTTGAGGCTTCCGGTGACCGCTGGATGGCACGCTAGACAGTGGAATGCACCATGCGGGCAGCATCGAGCCTAACTTAGTGCCCTTGGGCCCTTGGGCGTGGGTCTGGTCATCGGATGTCGGTTGCATGAATGGCTGGAGGCTTTCTTGGACTAGACGAAGCCGCCCGCGCCGTCGAGATAGCACATCTGGTCTCACGCGCACGGCTCGCTCAGGCTGCCGATCGTGACATTCTGCGGCGAGAGAGGGCGTCAGCTTGTCCCGCGAAAAGACGGAGATACGGCCACACTACGCACCTGAATCCCAGTCTCAGCTGGTGGATGCGATGTAGCTGTGAAAGTCCAGCTCGAGATGACATCCGTAGTGCCTTGCAGACCAACTTGGGCGTCCTGCGGCACGAGCATAAGATCGCACAGCGTGACGCGACGTGGACGCAATACGCCCTGCGGTACTAGCCAAGCTCGTTCGGTGACTCGAAGTCCGAGAGAGCGTACGGGAGAACAACTAACCACGACGAGCTTAACCTCGTAGAACCCGCCGCTATTGCACGACCATACGTAACACGTCGGCTGCGTCGCCTCCTTTATGCTGCAGAGCCTATCCAGTGTGGCTCCACGTACCGTCCACATCGCGGCTGGTGCCATGCCCATGAGTTTGCGCGTGGGCCACACGCGGCAAGCCATCAAGAACCATCAATCTATCTAGTTAGCGGGACTGAGAAAAACACGACGCGCTAAGACTACCTGCACTATGCCGACGACGTCATCACGCCCGGACATGGTGACTTTGGGCTTCAGCTGTTGACGAGTTGGCTGCGCGCTGGGCCTGCTACACGGCAGCAAGTCGGCATAAAGTGGCCTGTACAGGTGACAAAATCTTCGCATCTTGATGGCATGAACCGCGTTTCGATTCCCATGAACCCCGTCAGTTGCAGCAGGCGAAGTCGTCGAAGGCGTGTTCGATCCAGCGTGCGCTTCGACTTCTCGCGTGGGCATGTCGGCGCGGAGGCCTCTTTCCTCTTGCTCTCGTCCCCGCTGGCTCCCACACATCCGGCGGAATAGAGCCTAAGTGATGTCCGCAGTATTCAGTTCGGATGCCGGGAGGATGCATCAGAAAGTAACTCACCTGGGGACTTCTTGGAGACGTTCTCTTCGCACCTTACTATACGAAGTTTGTGGATGATCTAGCGCCTTCGAGCAACCGGTCCGGAACTTCGAGTATGTTGCGCGACGCTTGTTCAGGATGCTCTGCAGATGTGACTCTGTTACGCTCTCGTATGTGTAAGGCATGAAACACAATCATGCCAATGAACTGGACGAGATGGTACTACGTAGCCATACATAGCACGTGCCTGGCTCTCTTTCTAGTGTCTGCACAATGCAATCGATGAGGCTGACGACCGACAACAAATAAAAAAACCCAATCTGCCGACCGTGAAGTGAGAAACTTTGGGATATTCGCTTGCTTGGAGTATATCGCAGACACTCGCCTCCTATTTAGTACCTTTGCTTGGCGGCGGGACTTTCTGAAAAGAACTTATCATAGTATGAAACGAGTAACTATTGCTACCAGCACGCCGTTATCAATGAGTTTACAGACAGACGAAGGCGTTTTCATGACGTACCGATGCCGATTCTTTGATCATGTATGCAAAGGTAGTTCTCAGACTGTTCTGTGCTGTCGTCGATGGAGACTGGGGATAGTTAAGCGCCTAGGATGTTCTCCTAGTACCAGTCACGTGCGCTACCATGAGCCTCCGAATCATGGGTCTGTGCACTGGCAGCGTGCCTCCCTTTCAGCTTCAGAAGCACTGTGCTTCCTTGAATTGTACAAACAGCACATATACATGCACAGCAATCAAAGATGCCCGCTGACCGCACTACAGCGTACCTCCGAGTACTACTGGTCGGTCCGACTCGTCAGCGGTCTGCCACCCGGAGCATGTCATCAAGGCTAATATGTCCCTTCCATCGTTTGTCGCTGATCATCCCGATACAGACTGAATAAACATTCGCATCTTCGCCAAGACCTCATTCAGTCGAAGCCGCCCGTCGAGAGTGACGGTGGCAGCGCCTGCGGGCCATCTCCGCAGGTGACATTCGCGTTGTCGGTCAGCTGCAGCTCGATCGTCGCGCCCGTTTCGAACGCGCTCCAATCGATATAGCACGTCGAGTTCCACGGCTCGCCGTTGATGGTGACATTCTGTTCGGAGAGCCGACGTGTCAGATCGTGCCCTTGAAATGTGATGACGGTGCATCAGGTTGCTTACTTCAACGAATATTTGACCCGTGCCATCGGTGGGGTTCCCTTCGAACCCGTTGGCGATGATCGTTGTCGTCGTATTGAAGACCGGGTTGAAGAAAGAGACTTTCGAGAACCACGGCGAGGACAAGAGGTACTGGCGCGTGGCGGGCACAGGGTACAGACCGAGCAAGAGGAAAGTTGCCCATGTGCCCATCGCGCCTATACAGCCATCAGATCAAGTCGATCAGCAGTCACGTCAATTTGCACACCAGAGTCTACAGATACAGAGTCAACACCACACACACAACAAGAAGACCAGCCGCGTACCATCGTTCCCAGGAATCCCGCTCACGGACAGGTTGAAATTCCCGTTGACGACCTGCCTCGCCTGGATCGTCGTCATCCCGGGCGCGTTCGCATAGTTGTACATAAACGGGATTTGCATGGACGGCTCGTCGGTAGGATCAAAGTATTTCTACAGTCCCAACATTAGTACCTCGGTTCTGACATGCAATGACATTCCACACGAACATCATCGATGAGGAAGTTCAGCCTCGAGATGAAGGCGTCCACACCGCCTTGCAGTTCGACCAACTTGGCACCATCTTGCGGCACGTACTGAAACAAACGGATCGGACCACACCCCGCGCATTGCCAAGCAAGAACCATTACCTGCGAATACTAGCGCAACAATTTGTCAAACAGTATCTTATCAAAGTATAATCAGACTTACCACTAAGGGCGAGCTCTCATAGAATCCGTCGGTATTCGTCGGCGTCAGATAGCACGTTGATTGCGTCGGGTCGTTCACGCTGCAGTGCCGAGGGTCTGTGTAGTTCCACGTACCGTTTAAGAACCGTGGCTGATGTCACGTCCGTAGAGTTGCGCGCGAAGCACACGAGGCAGGGCCAAGCGAGATGTATCCATTCATCAAGTGAGCGGGACCGAGGAAGGCTGCAGTGTGGTTTAGGTCACACGCACCTGCATCATTCCGACGATATCATCGCGCCCAGGAACGGTGACGTTCGGGTTCCAGACGTTGACGAAGTTGCCCGCGCGCTCGGCGTACTACACGATGTCGAACGTGGCATGCTAGTCAGCTTAAGTCGGCTTACACAGGTGTGACAAAGACTTCGCACCTTGTCAGCATCTGCAGTGTTTCCCATAACCCGCGCTACTTGCGAGATGGCGAAGTCACCGAAGGCGTACTCATCATCTCGTGAGTGTCTAACTCTCGAGCGGCGCGTCGGTGTTGAGACAGCTTACCTCAATCGTTCGAGACACTTGCTTAGTGTTGTACCCGTTGGCTCCCACACGTCTGAAGGAATATAGCCTGAGTGGTACATGTCAGCATTCTCCTCGAATAGCCGGGTGGCCTTCATCAGACCGTCGCTCACCGAGGGTCTTCCAGATATTCGCCTGGCGCCCTACCAAATCCCAGTTGGGCGGCTGGTCCTCAGCGTCCGCCAGCAGAGCTGCATACAGATCCGTAGCCGACACGTTCAGTTCGGCCGCATGTTCGTAGTACCTAATTATCAGATAAGTATTTCATCGGGAAAAGGAGGCAGGCGGATGGCCTCGGTCTGTGTGACATACTTGACCATGAACTCTCCCAGGATGGGGTCACCATCTACATGACATCAGTTCGTGGCATGTAATAATTGCAGTCCACACGCTCACTGCTGCCACCCTGGACGTATAGCTGAGTGAGGGAGCCACGACACTCGGGAATCCACCCTGTGTCCATGGTCACTTCCAGTCATGCGGCGCCGAACTTGATTGTGGTAACTCACCTTCGTGCTGCTGTATATTTATCATCCCTCTCACGATCCGTGCAAAGTTGAGGGGATCGTGCAACGACAGGAGTGGGTACAATGCACGGAAGGTGTCCCACTAGGCCGAGGCCATGAGTCCCTGTCGGAAGAGCGATAGGATCCTGAATGTTACTCACATTGCAATAGAACGAATCGTAGTAGGGTTCAGTGGAGTTCCAAAGGGCGTTTTCTCCGGTGTCTTTCCGACACAATGGCGATCAGAGATTAGCATGGCCGTGGCACAATGAAAGCGTACAATCTGCGGGGACGACGTGGATCCTATAAAGCGAGCTGTAGAACAATGAAACGGTGTCATTGTTGACGCCCGCCGGGTCCACTTGTATACGACCGAGCAGTTCGTTCCACTCAGCCCGAGCAGCAGCTTGGATGCCATCGAAGTCAAAGGTAGAGATCTCCTCTTCGGCGTTCGCACAGGCCTGATCGACGGATATGAAGGAGACTCCTGCTCGAGCGAGGATAGTCGTTGTACCTTTAATTACCATTGAGTCTAGATCAGTCTCCATGCGTGTCTGACTAGCCGTACCATTCGGGTTCGGGTTGAATGTGAAGAGCGCCCCCAGCTCGTTGCGAAACCCTAGGGCATAGAATCAGCACAAGCAGCGCAGCGCGAACACGGGTTCCCGCGTGGTATGAGTCGAACTCACCAAAGTACATTTGCTCAATGTCGACGCTCCCGGGTATTGCGTTGTTGTTGATCCATGCTCCATATTCCGTAGGCCTTCCCTGGACACCAACCATAATTGCACATGGATAAAAGCGATTGCAAGGAACATACCAGTTCATATCCGTCGCCTTCGAAATCGACGCATGTATATACTCTGTATCGCCGTGGTCCAAACGAGGCCTGGAAGTCAGCGCCGCCTATCACGGACATAACGTGTCAACGTTTATAAGTGCCCGAGTAGGCCCAAGTTGAAGTGCTCACCCACGACACGCCCAATAGTGGAGTTCAGTGTCATTATTGGGTTCGTGTTACTCTGCTGGCCGTCGTTCGTAATATCTACCAAGATGCGGGGATTGACAGTCCCTTCCGGGAACGTATACCTGATGAATCGCGACTAGGTCAGATCGTGACAGTACTGGAGGTACAACGAAACGTCATACCGATGCAGTGCAGCGCGACGCGTCGATGTGAGCTCGACACGTATACCCGTCGACTAAACAACAGTAAGCAAGAGTGGATCCTTCAACTGGGCGCCACAGACCAGATTCGATGCAAAGTACCCCGGAGAGGCGGCATCATCCGGCGAGCCTTCACAGTGAATGTCCAATCTTGAGTCATGTATCCCTCAAATGCAACATCAAGTCGTACCATCGGGGAGTACGTTGCGCAAAACCTTCCTATTTTCCTCCGCGGTAGGGCACGCTAGGAAGGCGTCGCCATCAGGGCATGACGCGTAAGGCCAAAGCTTGAAATTGGACAGAGAGACGCCCTTGAAGATGCAGGTGATGAGCGCGATCACGTTAAGCGCGCGCGACGCGCCTGTGGCACTCACTCCTCCTGTCCCTTGGTCGTGCAATTGCGAAAAGCCCCATGCGTTATATGTTGGATCCGCATCGTATCCGGCTTGCTGGAAAACCATCGTTTTCAGCAATTGGGTCAGCAAGACGAGACGAAGGCTCGAGTTACTCACGTTGCCTGGGGAGTCGGTATCCATACCAACTTTCACCATCCCATGCGGTAGCGTCGCACCTAGAGGCGTGCTCAACGCGTGAGTCAATGTACAATAGGGACAAGATAAGCTCAGAGGACTGACCCGGAAAGACATGGCCGCCATTCGTAGTGCCGATGAACATGTTGACCAAACTCGCAGGATCCTCGATTTGAGCAAGAGACACATGAGGGACAGAGAACACAGACAGAGCAACAAAAACGGTCCAGAAACGCGAGGCCAGCCAGGTACGCATGGTGTGCGAAGTTCACAGTGCGACGATGGGACAGGTCCTCGATCGACCGGAGGCAGGAGCCTGGGGCTCGGCTTTTGACCTTGCGCGCGAGCCCATGTGCCCACCGCCGGGCGTATTGCGGCCTCGGTTGCAGCATGACAAGCTTCTGTGAGCTCTGCAGAACGCATGGACGCGGACTCATGACTGGGCTCGGCTCCTCTGATCGACCCATACGTTGACCTCTCTCATACTGGAACAACGGAAATCGAAGCGAAGTAACTGTCCGTGGGAAGATGCATGATGGTACCCCGCACCGGTGTGATCAGTGTCGGCACAGCGCGTTGTCATTGAAGGTAGATACTCAACGCATAGCACTCGGGATGACATCCTCGAAGGTTGTTATGTCTGTGAGGCAATTGGGATGCAGGGCCGGTGAATAATATCGGTTGGAGGGGCCTTGGGTAAGTGAGACTTGGGAAACATCCCTCGGGTACAGTGCGACGCCTTCGTTCTAAATCGAAACGCTATCGTGAGTATTTTAGTCCTCGCCGTACGCATGCAATTAGTCTAAGTATTAAGGTGAGCGGCTTCTATTCCTCGGTGAACGCTGAATGAAACCTCACCGGTCCTCATCCGTCCCCATTGCGGGTATGCGAAAGAGCACATGAGGGGAGCACGTTCACGAGTTCCTAGGCAAAAGCAATGACAAGAAGAGATATACAATCAATATACAATTATACTGGCGTCTACGTTACATTTCGTCATTCTATTGATACATCGCATGACTGGCAAAAGGTAACGTTAGACGAACAGTGGCTCTGCAATGGGTATGCCCGATACTCACCTGGTATCAAATTGCTCCATGAGATCCAGGACTTGCCTCAAGTGGGCGTAACCGAACTTCTCCTGTCGACCCACGGCAAGCGCGCCGGCGGTCTTCACGACGTTCTTGATCTGGCGCCCGTTGATTTTCTTCTCGCCGAGCTCGCGCAGCTCCTCTGAAGAGAGGCCTCCATTCGGCAAGGCTCCGTTCACCTTGGCCATGAAGGCAACCCATATCTGGCGGCGGGCGGAGGGCGTGAGGTCCTGGTAGCGGAGGGAAACGTGGATACGAGATTGGAAAGCCTCGTCGAACACGCGGACACGGTTGGTCGTCAGGAAGAGGATTCCGCGGAAGTATCTGTATACGGCAGGTCAGCAATGCCGTGATGGTATATATACTAAAGGCAATATTCTCACTCTAGTTGTCTCAGGAAGACGGCGACCATGGCATTACGTTCCAGGAATTGGAGAGAACGTTCCTCTAGGAATACATCAGCCTCATCGATGAGGACCACGGCTCCCCAGGCTGCAGAGATCTTAAAGACAGTGGTCAGGTTCGCGTCTACGGCTTCCGCGTTCGTGCCAAGGTCTGCTGCTCCGACGACGTAGAGAGGTTCTGAGGGTAGAGATGGTCAGCAAAGTCCTTCTATCATCACTTTATACGACTTACTGCGAACATCTAAAAGGCAGTATCAGCGAGTACGGAACGTGATATCAGGAAGCAATCACTTACGTTCGCTCATGGCCTCCGCAGTAAGACTCTTGCCTACAAGAACAATTGAACTCAAGCATCCCAAAGACTAGTCTGGGGCTGCCTTACCAGTACCAGGGTTGCCGAACAGATTAATGACGAGGCCAAGACCTTTCCCAGAGATGAAGTCATCGAACTTCGTAGTGGACCCAGTATTGTAGGTGTCCACCAGCGTCTTGAGTACCATTTTGTGCTGTGCCGGGATAACCAATTGTTCGAACGCCTCGTCGTTCCACTCGAAAGGCGTGACTTGCTCTACAACAAATTCCACTGTTGTTCCGTGAGAAAAGTATCTTAAAGCGTCGAACTGAAAATCACGCACTCCACTGTTTGTCTGCGAGACTGAAACCATACACGATAGGCGTCGTGAGCAAAAGCTCGTCGTCAGTCAGCTCGCGGGCCTCGGAACTTGTCTGGCCCTCTGCAGAGACGCCAGCGCGCCGCGCATGCTTGTCGATCTCCTTCCCATCCAGCGTCTTGGTCACAAACGGGAACCTTGGGTAGTTCGGAGCCGTATCCGCGAAGGTCTCTATTACACAGAGGCGCATGGTCAGATCATAAACTCTCCGTACAGCATCAAGGTTGGAATGACGCACTTCGATCGATCATAATTCGAGACCTGACCTGAAGGCAACCTGTCAAAGCCCCTGATCCATCGAAAGAGAGAAGTACTCACGCTATGCTTGACATACGATTTGGTGTGCCATCTGGACGCGATACCGTGATAGAAAAGGTGATGCACGCCTCCTGCGACGTTCGCCCACTTCTTCCCGCGAGCAATCAACCGCGCCTTCAAGCCCTCGACGCCTCCCGGTCCCGCGTAGTACTCGATAGGAAACACGGGCAGCTCCGAAATCTTCTTCGTGCCGGTGAACGTCGGGATGTCCAAGACGACCCCAAGGCCGGAATAACCGAAGCCGGGCGGTGCGTCCCGCCGGCGCACATCACTCGCGTCGGCGATGTCCGCCTCGACATAGTCGACGACGAGCCGCCAGATGTACTGCATGTTCTGCGCGCCGTCCTGCCGACCGACTATCAGTCCCGTGGGGTCGTGCGCGGCGGGCACCGCACCCTGCGGATCGAGCTTCTGGCACAGCTCCGCGTGTGTGAGACGCACTGCGCGCGGCTCGTCCGTGACGGGGCATAGGGTGTAGAGAATCGTCTTGCGCGGCACATAGAGCGCCCAGAGCATGTCGAACGTGATCTCGTCGTGTGCGAGTAGGGATGCGAGCGAGCCGAGCTTCGACGCATGTGTGGTAGTGAGGTAGTCGATAAGGTGGGTCAGGTGAGCGTGTTTGAGGCCAAGAGGCGAGTCTTCCGGTTCAGTTTCAACCTTTGCCGTCAGAGCTTCAAGGTGCGCCTTCAGCTCCGGGAGCCACCCGAGGAGAATCTGAGGGTTGATCTGCCGCGGATGTGGCGTCAGTCAATTGTCACGCAGCGGAGAACAGAAAGACGCACACGAAGCGGCTTCGCAGTCCACGAGATGCCCTGCGTCTGTCCAATGACTTCCTTCCCGACTTCCACCAATTGCGTGCTGTGTATCTCGAGGAAAGTAGTGACGTTATACGTTTTGGCCCCGAGCTGGCCCGTGGGAATGAAGCGCCGAATCACAGTGAACGCATACGCCGCGTACTTCGAGCTGTCCCGCTTGCTCTCGTTGGCAGACTCTGCGGGCGCAGGCTTGATGATGTACTCGTGCTTCATCTGATCAAACACTTCGTGCAGGTGCTTAACCGCGAGCACTGTCCCTGTGGGAGCGTCCGGGACAGGGTCCTCGTCCACCTGCGGCGTCGCGGCGGCAGGATCGAACTCCACCGTTTCTCCCTGGCCCGTGGGCACCGCCACGGGTGGGTAGTTTGGACTACCACCGTCCGCTTGTGCTGCGATTGAGTCATTAACTGAGCAATATGGACACAAAGAGATGTGTCACTCACAAGCGACAAAGAGAGAGCCGGATTGCATATTGTTGAATACTGCACGCGCCTTCATCCGGTTGCGAAGGTTTTGCAGCTGAGCGTCCATAACAAGGGTGTGTGTTGGCGATGGTCGTGCGGTGTGCGTCTTATATACGTGGCTCCGACTATGAGCGGTGCCGCTGAATGACTCCGACCGATGCGCTTTGTGTTGCTTGCCTTGTCAGGGTCAGAGCGCCGCACAATAGGGCTATCGGTTGTTGCCGGTCGTTTTGTAGTGGGGAGCCTTTCAGAGTCAGATTGAGGCGTCGAGGGAGACGGATGGGAAGATGGCTAGCGCTCGAATGTCATTGTCAACGCACGCAGGCCGGAAGAAGCAATATGAAAGAGCGCGGTGCCACACAGCCTGATGCAATGGTGATGAAATCGGATGGATGCGTACGAGGGCTCTGCATGCGCTGAACACGTTGTAACACGGCCTCTCCGATACGGGGCGATCGTTGGACGACTCGGGGACGACTGCCATTTGCGATACTCACCAGCAAACCTGTACCTCCGGTTGAAAATTGCTGTGCCTCGCAATTTGCACGTAGCGAAGAGGTGCGGTTACAGTACCGCAGGGTGATTCGGGATGTACAGTCTCCACCGGTGGTGGTCGATCAAAGCGAACGCGTTAAGGGCTTGTTGCCTAATAGCCGCGTGTACATGTCCGCGTCGTTCGGAGCGTCGGGTACCGTCATGTGATGCAGCGACCTCGATTACGGGTAGCACCCGCGCAACGACGACTGAAGTGGTGAGAGTTGCCATGTTTCTCCAAATTCTGTTCAGATAAACTTACCGTGCAAATATGGAGACGTGCACGCCTATGTTGTCCCAGCCGTATGAGGTACCAGCTGTCGACTCGGCCTTCGGCTCGGAGGGTCCGACCACCCTTGCGAGTCGCTGCTGCAATCCGTCGTGGTCTGTCGAGCACCATGAGGTTTCATAAACATCTGATCGGAAAGAAACGCACCATTATCCAGAGTCATGTTTCGGTTTGTGTGGTTGTCGAGTCCCTTTCTTGTCACTAACGGCAAACCCATATGTACACTTCTGACTTGACTCGTGAGTATCCCCCTGTTCGTCGTCACGTAGCATGGCCATTCGCCGTAGCTTCGGGCGAGTCGAATGTGGAGTCGAACGGAATGCGTCGTCAGGCCTACCTTGCTGTGTGCGGCCTTCGCCGTGTTGCCTTCCCTTTGCCGTCTTGTCCTTCAGCTCCATATCACTGTACGCGGTTGGTATTGTGGATGTACAGGAATACTTAGTGGCTTCATACTTTGCTCGGCGCGATCAACAGGTCCTTCATTGATCGCGCCGCTGGTCCTGCATCGCGTGCAAGTCGGATTCTTGGTTCGTTGAAGGCCGCACACTCCATCAAGAAGCAGTACACCGTCTCCTGTGTCACTCCGCAGTTCGGGCAAATGGAGGCGTCCGCCTTCTGAAATCTGCGCAAGTATAGCTGCAGCAGGATATGTTCGGCATGGAGTTATATAAGACTACTCACCGGTTTTCGGGGTAGCCTTTCATCCAGCTTGTTCACATCGTTTGGAAGGCATCTCCGGGTCAATGCGGTCCATCCTTCCGCCGACTCCCTCTATCCCTCCCCAGAGTAATGTTGAAAATGCATAAACATTGCTTTGCACTCGGACTCTGGCAAGCCTTTGTAATAATAAAAAACTTGCAGCTTTGCTCAAAAACATCCAGATCGAATAGATTTACAGAGCCTTCAAGCTTCAAGCTTCAAAGTTTGAGGTGTGAGCGAGGTGAGTATATGCGCCCCGTTTCAGGTTCACTATTTGCTTACTGAGTCTCCTCGTTCAATATTGTTGCTATTTCGCGATGATTAAGTCACATAGATGAGTTATATCAGGCCCTATTGCTGTTGGCAGCTTGGAATTGGGAACATATGCTCGCGGCAATGAAGAAAGACGCGAACAATTTCTGTACGCGACAAGTGGTTCATGCACGTGATCGCGTTCCTACGTGCTACCGCCTGGCAGCGCGGCACTCATGGCTGCCCGGTATTACGAACTTGCTTGGCAACGACTTACTGGCAGTGGCCTATGTACACTACGTAGGTACGCTACCATTGACTCCTCGAGCATCATCATGTCGTACCGCACCACTGGATCGAAACATATTCGCCGGCAATTCGAATGTGGTTTGGAATCTACGCTTCAATCTACTTCAAGTTCAATCTGGGACCTATCAAAGCCTCGCTCAGTTTCTCATGTATCTCGTATGTAATACGAAGTGCAACATCTTCACTATTAGTCATCATGACCGGCCAGCACCGTACTATGTGGAAGTACCATGTAGTGTTTATCCACTTAGACTCGTGATGGATCCTCGGAGGCTTGCCACTTCGCTATAGCATTTAAAGTGCCTACCGCAAGACACCCACCGCTCCTCGCGCCCAGCTTGGATACGTACTGTACTAGATCCTTGGTAGATCCAGTAGGTGACGCCGGGTCCTCTGATGCCAATGGGTACGCACAGGCTCGTATCACGCGACGCACCTAGCGCTCATATGCCCCCAGTATGCCCTCTATCTGCACTCCTGATTGCTCTTCCGATGATGCGGTGACACAGAACCAACTTCCAACATGGAATCGCGGTCAGCTGGGTAGGTGTTAATATACAATTGATGTCGCAGTATGGTACGATACGTAACATGAACGAGCTCCGCTCTGGCGACTCGGCCTTTACTTCCTGCGACCAACATGCCGACCCGAGCAAGCTCGACCGGAAGTGTCGATGGCGAGAAGACGGACGCCCGTGCGATGGGGTATATGGCTTCTTCAGAAGGAAAGGAGGAAATCGAGCAAGCGGGACCGCCGGTCCTTACACCGGAGCAAGAGAAGAAACTGTGGCGCAAAGTCGACTTGCGAATCCTCCCAATATTGACGATCATGTACTTGTGTTCATTCATGGATAGAGGTACGTCAAATGCCTGGACTCTGAGCGAGACGCGCTGAATAAGGCATGGCAGGAAATATTGGTGCGCTGACTGCCATCCACTACGCCATGTAGTGAACCTACGTTGCTCATCGTAGTTCTCAGGCAATGCCAAGCTACAAGGCCTGACAACACAACTGAATCTGACTGGTCATAAGTACAATATTGCTTTGGTACGTTTCCTTATTGCCTCGCACTATAACCAGCGGTGTAACATTGTGATAGACGATGTATTTCATAGTGAGCTCGCCGGTCTGGCATGTATCCCACTGTCAAATACTCAGCGCGTGTCCTCGACAGCCGTATTGCATTTTCGGTGTGCCAGCGAAGTAAGCACTGGTCTCACAGATTTGAAGAAGACTGATTGGTTGGCAGTCTTGTGTTGAAGAAATTCCGCCCTTCGCGGTAGGTTGTCCTTGCGCTCACTTTGACGACGTGCTCAAGGTATCGACACACGTAGGTGGCTTACAGGGATCACCGTAAGTTGTAACCGTGTTGGGCTCGTACAGGAGACTCATGCTTTGCTCCGCAGATCGTATGGGGGATAATCATGCAAGTGCTGCATATGCCCCGATCAACGCAACTGTAGCGACGACTAACCATACCCTACAGGACGCTGATGGGAATAGTGAAATCGCGAGTATCCTAATTGTATTCCTGTTCAGGTTGAGCGCTTCTCAATACCCTCTCCTGTACAATAGGTATCCACAGCTAGTGGGCGTCCGCATCCTTCTTGGCATTTCCGAAGCAGGACTGTTCCCCGGGGTGATGTACTAGTGCGTCTTCACCATAATTGTTTGCAGCAGTTCACGACACTGACTTCTCTTCGCTCGTGCTGCCTGGTCTAGTATGACACTCTGGTATCCGCGATATATGCTTCAATACCGGATTGCAATCTTCGAGGGGGTGCCACACTAGCAGGTAGGCACTCCTGAATCTCATTCGAGCCAAGAAGGGAAGATAACTTTGCCCAGGCGCGTTCTCCGGGTTGTTTGCCTACGGCATCTCTTTCATGTCCGGGACTGCAGGCTTGCTCGGATGGTCGTGGATCTTCGTCAGTCACGATGTCTTGCTTGCTTCACTCTGCTATTCATTCATGCGATGTAGATTCTGGAGGGGATCTTGACTGTCATCGTCGGCCTTGCAGCTTGCTTCAGTAGGTCGCTTCCCTGTCTGAGGTGCCGCCATTTGCTCACACACACCAGTCCTGGTCGACTTCCCTGACACCGCGAAGTTTCTGACCGAAGACGAGCGGGCATTTCTGATGTGGAGAAAGAGTAAGCTCACGATCAAGAAGTCGAAGCATCGCGCTTGCTCACTACGTACCCAGAGTATGACAACTCGTCAGTTGGAGAGGAAGAACGGTTTGAGATACGGCATCTGAAAGCGGCCGTACTAGATTGGCAGGTGCGGATGCTTGCATGAGCGACATCGGTGAGCTCGCTAATAATCTGCCATCACAGATCTGGATGCAAATCGTGGTATACTTCGGGATTGTCGTTCCTTGTGAGTTGCTCAAGCACATCGCAGCCGGCCGAATCTAACATTGATATCGGGTACAGTGTATGGCATATCCCTATTTCTTCCGTGAGTCGCCAAATCATGGCTTCGTCCGTGAACCCAAATTAATGTCCCCCACAGATCCATCATCAACAGGTATACTTGCTCAGCTGAAGGGGTGCCCCAGTGACGAACCTCACCTATTTTTCCCTAGCTTCGGGTACAACACCGCCATCAGCGAGCTACTCACTGTCCCGCCCTACGTCTGTGGAGGTACGCCTTGTATCTGTAGCCTCCACACCGCTACTAAAACCCTATCCAGTGATCACACTCATCGTATTCGCGGTATCATCCGACATGCTGCAGATGCGCTCGCCGTTCATCCTCGCTGGGCTCATGATGTGTCTCATCGGCTACGCGATCAATATCTCTGATGCTCCGGTCGGCGTGAAATATTTCGGGACGTTCTTCTGCGTCTCTGGGGCGTACTCCGCGCTTCCGGGCATCGTCGCATGGTGAGAACCAGTCTTATTACTGCGTTAATGTAGACATCTCACAACGAGGTGTGGACTAGGCTCGGTAACAATCTTGCAGGGCAGTACAAGCGTGCAGCCGGTATGGGTATCCAGATCGGCATTGGCAACTTTGCAGGAGCGATAGCCAGCAACATATACCTCTCGCAGGATGCGCCGAGGTATATTCTTGGACGTGCGTATCCCCTACTCACCTAGCATCACGCTCACCGATATGCTCTCCAGACGCAATCGAATTGATGTTCGTGGGCATCGGCCTGGTGTTCCTGCCATTGACCGTTCTGGCGTACAAGTGGGTTAACAAGCGGAGAGACATCGAGCAGCGCCAGTTGGAGGAAAGGGGAGTAAAATACAGTGACGAGGAGCTGAGAAGGATGGGAGACCGTGCCCCCGACTTCAGGTATACTCTGTAGGTTCTAGTATTACACGAGAAATTGCGAACAGGCACATTGGCGCGTGGCTCCGGGTGGTCCATATTATAGTACAGTCACTTCTTGCAATTGAACACCATGACGCAGTCTTCGAAAGTCCTCATTCCTGGTTTTCACAGTCCCTTGCCAGCCACGTTCTCCGCCCATTGCAGCATAGCCCGCCTACTCTTCTTCATACAATCCGCGGGGCTTCCCGGGGCACCGAGCTCCGCCCTCTGCACCATCGCTGTGAGGGCAGCACCCAACCGCTTCTCGCAAGCCCGCATTGTGTTGCCCCCGGAGCGGTGCTCCGCCCTGTACCGCAGGACGATCGCCACCAAATCGTCGTCGTAGTTCGACAGCGTGGTCCGCACTTTGACTCCAGCAGCGGCGATGCTGTCCTTGTCCGCAGGTGTCGTGGATTTTGCGACGCTTCGCGGAGGGGAGCCGTCAGCAGGTGCGGATGCCTGCCAGGAGACGTCGAACATGCCGCCGTCCTTCTGCAGGTTGAACAGGGCGGACCCCATCGCGAAAGCGATCCTGGCAAGCCCGGGGATAGGCCTCCACGATGGTGGGCGATGCACGCGCAACAAGCGCTGATCACCCCGAAGTCAGTTGGAAGTCATCGTCTAAAATGCTATCAACGCGACGCACACTCATCAACGAAACGAGACTCCCGCAATCGACGAGCCAGGCATGGAACAGCTCGGCCTCCAGGAGCTGTGAGCCCTCGTCCTGCATCCGCTGTACGAACAACGCGTGCTGCTCTGCGAGCATCTGCTTCGTGAGTGCATACACCCGCGCCGCCCCCGCGTCGCCCTTTGCGAGCTCCTTGAGCTTCGTCACCGAGTCCTGAGCCACGTCTTCCTCGGCTGAGAGACAGCTGCGCAACAGCGTAGCGAATTCGGCATGGTTCATGGTCGGCCTCGGGGTAGCCTTCGGGGGCTTAGGCGGGCGCGCAGCCTGAGCAGGCAGCATAGGGAGCGCGCTGGGATCAGCCGGCTGGGTGTCCGTCGCTGCCGGTCCTGATGCTGCCTGCGAGTTCGATCCTGAAGGGACCGGAATATCCTCAGCGAATGTCTGGATAGTAGGTGCAGAATGAGAAACAGTTGCGGCATGTGTCGGATCAGCTGGTGCGTTTGACGTGCCCTGAGCCTGAGGCGGCGCCCTAGTAGTGGCCTGCTGCGTGACCTCACTAGCCTGTACTGCAGGCGCATCTGGAGTTTTGTCTGGTATTTCGTTGGATTTAGCGGGTTGCGTCAAAGTCGCAGCGGCTGGCTCAGGTGCTCTCGTGGTATCCACCGAATGCGGTTGAGTCTGATTGGTTGGTTCTGCAGGTGGTTTCGCGAACTGAGGGGGAGGCATCTTCATCTTCCTCGCAAGCTTTGTCACCGTGCGCGCGAAGAATTCTGCCGACATTCTCGCTATCAGCGATGCTCTGGGCCTGGTACCACTCCGCGAGACATACCATGGGGCGAGCGGGGGATTGTGGCGCCAGCAGGCCATATGCGGCCATCTGCAGCAGGCTCTTGCGGCGGGGGCCCTGCGGAAGCGTTTCCAGAGGAGGTGCGCGATGGTGCAGGAGCACCAAGGAAGTCTTTCAGGCTACGGTGGCCCTGGAGGCTGAGCCCCCGCGCCTCACGCTCTTCCTTCCAAGGTGCGGGTATATGCTGCCGTAGCTCCAGTGCACAGTCCTCGTCACCGACGCCAGCGGTCATACCGTCGTTCGAGTCGGCCGATCCTGCTGAGCGTACATCGCGCTCGCGAGTAGGAAGCGTGGCCTCTGAGGGCGCAATCGAGGTGGATGAACCTGCTACGAGGTCATTGCAGTCAGTTTCCGTATCATATACCTCATGTATGCGCCGCTTGCGTGCGAGAGATTTAGCGGAGGACATGGCGGTCGGGGAGAAAGACGCTGTACGCGCGATCGGCTGGCGCCACCGACGCGTCGGTGGCGACGACGACGCGACGTGTGACCGCCAATCACGTGCTACGGACGTTCCTGATTGGCTGCAGCACTTGCAGAGTCGCGTACTTATTGCAGACTGCGTGTCGAGTTCACCTTTCTCTTAGGCACGAATCAGTCAAAACACACCATTATAGGAATACTCCAATAACAGGTACAGCGAACAACAATATTGACCAACTTTCACAGCTTCCCCTTCTCCAACTTCTTGATGTACGCAACCCCAGCACCGAGGCAAACCTGACCACAAACGAGACGAGACGAACCATGAGTTACCAAGCCCCAGCTCACGCGAAATCCGCACTCACCTTCCCAGTGGTCACATCCTTCGTGATGAAAGTCACCTCCGTCGTCCCATCGGGGCCAGGGCCCACCTCCCAGACCGCAGTCTCGAGCGCATCGCCCGGCTTGACGGGCGCGGTGAAGCGCAGCGCGAAGAAACGCAGCGACTTCGGATCGTTCCCGCCGATTGCACTCACGAGGGCGCGCGCGGCGAAGCCGTACGTCGCCAGGCCGTGCAGAATCACCCCGCCGAAGCCGGACGCCTGGCCGATCTTCGGGTCTGCGCAGGGCCGTCATTTCAGCGAGGAGGTTAGAGATGGTATGGATGAGGAAGGGGGCCCACCGATGTGCATCATGTTGTAGTCGCCGCTGAGCCGGTAGAGTATAGCTTGCTCGGGGGTAGTTTGGTCTTGGATGACCCAGTCGGGCTTCCTGTCCTTCGGGACGGGCTTCGCTTGCGGAGGGCCTGCGATGCGCTTGGAGAAGTTCGCGCCTGTAGGCCGTGCGCCAAGGTTGAACGCGGCAGACTACAGAAGGTCAGGCTTAGGTTTGGCATGGAGAGCATGGGTGATGCGCACGTAGAGCTTCGCGTAGGGTGTCCCTTGCCCGTCGACGAGGACAGTCTCATCCTCGACGAGCAGGCCAGTTTCTGCGGCATCGTCAGAGCTGAAGGATCTGGGATCCCATTGCCAATGCTCACTGTTCTCCGTGACGCCGGTGACACGCCTCTTCAGCTTCCATCCGGACCCACTCACTGCCGGAAGTGGCTTGAGGATCTCAATGCTTTGTGAAGCATGCACCTGAGTGGGAGTTACACATGGGCATCACCATGTCGGTGCAGAGCTCAAACATACCACGCGATCCGGGTTCAGCTTCGGCAGGCCTGGCGTTGACTTCCCGCCCGCCATGAGCTGCCGGAAGTCGACGACGTCCTGACTCGTGCCCTTGAAGCCAAGAACGACGGGGTACGTCGGGAACGGCGCCCATGCCTTGTCTTGCATGGTCTCAGCTGCTCTGCCCCTAGCGCAACAGGTCCAGAAACCCCTTACCAAGTTCTATGGTGGCGATTGAGTTACGTTGAGCTAGCACGAAATCCGCGACGCTCACCGTTCGCCAAAGAAAGGTCATCCTTCTTCGCGCCAATACCAACTGCGTAGACCAGCAAGTCCCTTTGGTTCCAGGCAACCTGCACATTCCTGTCAAGTCATGCGATATCCTCTCGGGTTCAGGTCGTACGCACAGGCTTGTCCTCTTGCTGGTACCCGACGGCTTTGGCTAGGTCGACTCCCGACATTGTGGATAGTTGGTGAGTTGTGCGGGGATGGGAAGTAGTTCACGCGTTTATATGGCCCGTGGAATTTGTCTCGGGCATCGGGGGGAGGACGAGCGAATCCATACCGGACCCACATGATTGATCGTGCTGAACAGCTGAGCGCGTCTCAGGGCGCGTGACAGACGCGTTACCACGACGCGATCGGTGTGACAGTGAATCTTTTGGCTGGGCCGAACCGATCGACCCTTCCACTTACTGGACTCCCTTTGGACTCCCTCCTCGTCCTCCTCCTCTGCATCGAGTCTCGCTTCTGCCTGGCCAGGGATTTTTTGCCCAAATTCTACTTTCTTCAAACGACATCGCTGCGTCAACATGGCTTCTACCTCTGCGGAAACGTCTCATCCCGTGGTGTTTACCACCCAAACGGCGTATCCTCTGCCTTCTCAAAAGTTCATGATACCAGCATCATGGAAAAGATACCAGCTTTCCCAGCTGGTCAACAAAGCTCTATCTCTGCCAAAGCCGATTCCATTTGACTTTCTGGTACGAGGCGAAATCCTGCGAGGGACGTTAGCAGAATGGTGTGCGGAGAAGGGGATTGGAGAAGTGCGTGGTACATTCATCGTAACATGCGTCTGTATTGAACGAAATTCTCGCTTCGCTCAGGAAGAGACTCTAGAGATTGAGTACTTTGAGTCTGTGATGCCCCCACAGAAAATGTCCACATTACCGCACGAAGACTGGGTCTCGTCTGTCTCATGTCAACTACCCGGGTATGTCAATATGAGCCGTCATATATTATCTCGTGCAGCGTGCATCTGCCAATTCAGTGTAAGGCCCCACAACAGGAAACGACACACCATTGAGAGCATGCGAGCCGCTGCACGATCGTCAAAGCCGGGAGCTGACTTGTATATAGGTACATTTTCACAGCGTCCTACGACGGAACCATGCGTACCTTCGACTACTCCCAAAAGCTGTTGCACAGCGCCGCGATCCACGCAGCACCCTCGACGTCTATTTGCCTCGTCCCCTCATCCACATCGGCCTCAACGCACCTCGTCGCCAGCGCTCGCACGACCTCACCGCGCGCCTGACCAACCTCACCCTCCCGTCCGACTCCGCTCAGCCCGTCAAATCGCAGACTGTAGCATCTCTTCATTTACACACAGCACCCCTCGCATCGATATCCGCCAACGCCTCGGGCTCGCATCTCCTCACCGCATCCTGGGACGGGCTCATCGGCGTCTGGGACACCTCCATCGCCGCATCAGACGAGGTGCCCGCAGACGAGCCCACTGAGCGCAAAAAGCGTCGCCGCATCGAGGACGACGCGCCGCGCCCCAGGCGCAAAGCCCCGCTCTCCGTGCTAAAGAGCCACACCGCGCGCGTGTCCAAAGCCGTGTTCAGCCATAGCTCGGGCCCGGGCGCCGCCGAGCAGGCGTACAGCTGCGGGTTCGACTCGACCGTCCGCGTGTGGGACGTCGAGAACGGCGTGTGCACGCATACGATCGTGCGTCTCCCAGTGCTCTCCTCTCCCGCTTCACAATAACTCACGGGTTCCCCGCACGTTCACAGGCCGCGTCCTCGAAGCCGTTCCTCGACCTCGCGCTCACGCCCGCGGGCACGTCCGCCCTTGCGTGCTCGACGGACCGCACCGTGTCGCAGTACGACTTCCGCGCGGCCGCGACGAACATCACCGCCTCGACCGCGTCGCTCCTCCACCCGCGACGCCCTCGTGCATCGCGGTCTCGCCAGCGTCGGATAGCGCGGGCACGGAGCATCAACTATGACAGGCGCGTATGACGGGTCGTCCGCCTGTGGGACCTGCGCAGCACAAAGAGTGCGGTGACGAGCTTCAGGGTGTGGGAGGGCTTGGAGAAGAAGGGGAAGAAGGTGTTGAGTCTGGATTGGGCGAGGGGTGTGGTTGCCGTTGGTGGCGAGGGTGGGGTGGAGATTTGGCGAGTTGGCGAAGGCGAGCGCGTGTTTCCTAGTAGCTAGAGGGGGTTAGCGAGCATGTTGCTTCGCAAGTGACTACCACAGTGTGGTGTTAGGATATCTACGGCTGGCCCAGACGACTCTGAATTGGCCCGGGCAGGGACCATGCTGAGTGCGAAATACAGCCTTTGTTTCCATTTGAGTAGACGACAACAGAATACACATACAGCGACAACAACACTGATACTGTACATGTTGACACACTTCAGGTTTTGCCTCTATCATCTCGCGCAGCGCTGCTCTACGGTACCCCTTCTGAGGCGCCCGGCCCGTCCTTGTATCGACTTGCGGTGGATGAACTCAAACATTGGGATACAGATTGGCGAGCTTCCGCTCCTTCGTCATCGCTAGGTGGGGTAACGGTGAGAATCACACCAGTCGCTCGGCCAAAGAGCTAGACATACCTGCTATGATAGCGGCGCCGATCCCGCTTCCATCCTCAGCGTGGCATGTCACGATGTTCCTACAACCATCTCAGCATCGCGGACGAACGGTGCAGCCCGAGGTGCCACCACTTACTTGCCCTTCTCGCCGAAGATATCCTGCAGGCCCTCGTGGACTCTCTCCGCGAACCCGGGGTATTTCTGCATGCACGTCATGAGTCTCGCGCGCCGCGAGACCGGAGCCACGCGCTCACCTTGTACAATGACCCATCCGCGCCAACCGCGCATCCCTCTTCGAGGTAGCCCATCTTGCTCACGATCGCCGCGATACCACACGCGCTGAGCCGCGCGGCGCGGCGCCCCACGAGCTTCGCGAGGGCGCGGAAGAACTGGCGCTCCGCGAGCGTCGTCTCAACGGCGAAGAAATGCGTGAAGATGCCGATGATCATGAGCAGTTCGTCTGTCGGGTCACTAGTGGCAAGAATGTAATGAGCATTGGCCGGGCGGTAGCGGAGGAGAGCGGAAGACACACCTCTCCATAAGCGACAGGAAGGCAGTGTCGAATGAGTAGGGGATCTCGAGCTTGTAAGTGTTCTGTCCCAGGAAGAGCACACCCTCGTCGATAAGCTCGCAGATGATAAGCCGCAGGATCTCGCCGAGGTATCGACCAGAAATGAGTTTCTGAACAATGGAATTACCCCATGCATCACAGTTGGTATAGTGGGAGCCGTACCTCGAAGGCCTGCTCGCCGGGTTTGTTGGACTGTTCGTCGATGATCTGGTCGTATTTTGTCCTGGGCAAGTTCTCATGTTCGAACGAGTCGAAAGCTCCCTAGTGTGACGGGTAAGTTCCAAACCTAATGGTCTACGGGCGTCGCGACTGCGACTTTGACTTACCCACTCGCAGTTGATAGCCATCTCTGCATCAGCATCAATCCCGAGATTGGCTATCTTGGGAATGTCGCCGACGCGCTCCATGTACGCGGCGTTGCAACCCGTGCCGAAGATGCACGCGATGCGCGTCTTCGGGTTTACATAGTGCGATGCGATCAGTGTTCCCGTCGTGTCGCATGTGAGGGCTACAATCTCTGCAGGAACTTTCTGTATGGTCCTGCGAGTCAGTTGTTGCATAGCACGAGGTGGTCGACACGTACATATTTCTCCAGTGATTTGCGGAACATGGCGACGACGTCCCGACCCTCGGTGTTGGCTGCACCGAAACCCTTCGTCCACCGGATAAGCTCACCATGGTCAATACGGTCTTGTCTGATCAAAGTTCAGCGGGACGTCCGTGGGCCGGTCACACTACTTACGAGCAAGGGTAAGAGAACTATGACCACCCCGTCAGAGCGATGTGCTAGTGCGTGAGGGCGAAACCAGGACATACGGTGAAGCCAAGCGGCAGAATGCTGCCCCTCTGGATGATCCCACCATCGATATTGGAGTCTATGAACGATTTCATGCATTCTGCGCAGAAGTCAAAGAGTTTCTGGCCATCTTCCTGCTTCTGCTCCTCAGAGAGTCGGTACTTGGACTGCGTAATCTCGAACTTGCCACCTCCTTCAAGGGTGACGAGACACACGCGGAGGTTGGTGCCACCTGCACAAGAAGAGATGAGAAAACGGATCACTGATCATGTCTGTCTGTTGACTGACCAAGATCTATAGCGAGGTAGTTCCCTTTCTCCTGTCCTGTTGGCCAACCGAAGACGTATGTGGGTATCATAGGCTACATATTTGGTCAGCGTTGATACGATAGCTGAACTCAAGCTCGGCAAATTGTGCGGAAGAAGATGGACTTGGAGAGTGCAGACAAGATGGCCAATGAATCCCAAGCATATGCGTGAAATGTTCCATTGTGGACCAAACACGCCATACTCCTATCGTACTGCCAGGGTCCAAATGCTCCTGGAAGTGCGAAGACTGCTGCGCACGAGTGCTTAGGCTAATGAGAGTGAGCTACTCGCTGGCTTCCCGGCCGTTTGTGGATGAACGATGGTTCGGTGTAGCCTCGCCGCCTAATTGTCTCTGTCGGTGGACCCTGGACGGCCCTGCTCAAACGCACCAATGGCCCAACCTTCGTGAGTTATGGATACCCCGGAAAGGGGTTCGTTGTGCGTGCCCCAGCAGCGTTACTGAGCAGATCGCACAGTCCGCTGGAGAAAGCCGAGGGTGTACCGTCTGGGCGGAAGAGTGGAGCTGCACTGCAAGCCAGGGTCCAACGACCGTGATCCCTGATGCGCGAGACTGCGTACTATACAGGTGAATTCAGGCGCGACGCAATGATGATTTCTCGCTATGCCCCAGACTAATGGAACTATGCTTCCCGACCTAGGAACGGGCGTCCTGGTCGCATGCCCCCGGTGGTATGGCCATCAATCCGACTTGCTCGGAATAGAACGTCATTGGGTTTCCCCGAGATCGCATGGCGTTGCGGACGCGACGCAAGGCGCGCATGCGCAGACAGAACAAATGCAAGCAAGAAACAATACGCACTACTACTTGGCCGTTCTTCGCGAGTCCGACCTCGAGTGTATCCTTGAACGCCTCGACGATGATACGCATGCGCTGAGGGGTGAGCGTGAACCTGCGCGTGCCTCAGCCGTCCTCGAACGCGTCGTCTCCCGCATAACTTGCTTACAGGCTCTCATATTTGCGGAGGTGATCTGCCATCGTCCTACACTCGAATGCGCCCGCTCAGCTTCGCAGGGGTGAGCTTGGATGAGCAACGTACTTCTTGGTGGCATGTGGGAGATCCTCGGCCTCGCTGGTCCTGGTGTGGAAGGCGAGGGTCTGCCCGGTGGGCAGGGCAACAGTGCCGCTTCCGCGACGTGAGGGAGGCATGGTGGATGATGGGGAACAGAGAGGGGGAGAGCAAGGAGGAGAACGACTCTGGCTCGGCGGGGGACGAGTCCAATGACGTCCCAAATCGGGACCAGCTAATAATCGATCTCGAGTTTCAATAATCCCCGGTTACAATTTACTCCCGTGCGGTGTATACGAGTTCAAACTCCGAAATACCCGTAAACAAGCGCTTCACTGTAGCATGCACGTTCTCTTCAAACCGCTCCGAGGATGATTGGTCTCAAGAGCACGCTCAATGTCCGTAACTCTCTCTCTGCTCTTTCCAGCTCAGTTCACAAAGGAATATGTAGGTAATCGACAACTCTGGGGCGGTCCTCATCGAGTGCGTCAATGTCCTGAAGCAAAAAGTCAACAACGGCTGGGGCAGCGTCGGCGACGAGATTGTATGCGTCGTCAAACGGGCACGGCCAGTCCCAGAATCCGCCGGTCTTGCTGCCAATGTCAAGGTGCGGAGAGGAGACGTCCGGCGCGCAGTCATCGTTCGCACGAAAAAGGCCGTACGAAGACCAGACGGGCGTTTCATTAGATTTGACGACAATGCCGCGGTCCTTCTCAACAACAAGCGCGAGCTCCTGGGGACACGTATAGGTGGCATCGTCAGTGCGGACCTGAGGATGAAGGGCTGGGGGAAAATCATCAGTTTGGCTCCCAAGGTGCGTACCGGCTGGACTCAGGTGTCTCGTCACCACTCATGCTTTGCTTAGGTTGTATGATACTTAGTCGCATAATATCACGGCTTCACGTGCTGCTTCTCTCGCGCCGTTCATCTTTAATTGCTGGGTAAGTGACTCACGTCCGACACAAACGTCACCACGGTTCCGTGGGCCCGGGTGTTGCCCCACCGCCAGTCTGCGAGGACTTGCGCGCGTGGCCCGCTGCAGCTTTGTGTGTACTGCGTGATATCTTAGACCGTATCATTGGGACAGGAGTTCTCCACAGTCGTCTCGAGGGAGATGCTAGCCGTGATGGACAAGGGCTATAGTGGGTAAGTAAAACGCAACTATTGTGGTCACTCCAACTTCAGAACAATGCAAATCAGCCTGAAGTTAGTAGCGCAAACGTCCTCCGAATGGAAGATTGTAGGTGACACCCCCCTGCACAAGCAGAATTTACCAATAGCTCGCAGCGGCGTATTCAACCGGTTGAACCTTCCCAGGATATATGTGCAAGTGTTCGCTGTCGTGCCAGGGGAATCCGTCGAGCCAACGCAGTCTTGCCAAAGCAGCCACCGTTCCTGTACGTGCTGCACGAGGCTATAACATACTTCATAATCGCTGAAGCTACGACCATTACAAGGCACCGTGCTGGCACAGTAATGTTACCAACCGATGCGACCTATTGACACAAGGTTCCTGTTCTGCTCCATAACGAGGGGAGGAAGCCATAGTCAGATGGTTCGCAAGCACCATTCCGTGTCCAGGGCTCCCCTTACGTGCGGTTCTGGTCCTCTTCCATTCTGATCATAAAAGTCTTCAGCCGCCACAAAGGTTCTACGGCCTCTTGCCAGAGCGATAGCATCCGTAGATAGCGGCGTAGGTTCACGAAAGCGTTGGTTCGCTGTCAACAGTCAAGGCCGCCGAAGTTCAGTTGTTCCTGTCCGTTCACCCTGACCAAGATAAGCATCTAGTCTTACGATGTATAAAGCGGCCTCGCTCCGTGCAACCCCCTTGGACGTGCGTTACAAGATGTCTGAGTTGCACAGCGCCATCGAAAGCGTCGACGTCTCCAAGATGGAACTGGACACGATTCAGACCGCGGAAGTACTGCCAGAATATGAGAAGGATGTGGACAGCGAACTACCGCCTGCGCCCATCCTGTCGCCCGCCCAGCAGAAGAAGTTATGGCGCAAGGTCGATATCCGGATTGTGCCGATCCTCTCGGTCATGTATCTCTGCTGCTACTTGGATAGAGGTACGTCGCGTGCGATTCCATTCGTAGCAGGGATCGAATTGATGATTGAATTGCCTAGGGACTATCGGTACGCCATTGAGTGGATGCCGTCTGAGAGGGACTGACCTCGCGAATAAAGGCAACGCAAAGCTTCAAGGACTCATGACGCAGCTAGACCTCACCGGTAACAGGTACAATATCGCTTTGGTGAGTCCTTCTCCGGATGCTAGTACCGCCAGTGTTGACAGAAGCAGACTTTTTTTTATATCGTAAGTTCTCGCGCACGATTTGTACCATGCACCCATGCCTCACGTCACGTAGCCCTATTGTCTATTTGACCCACCGGCGAAGTGCTTAGCTTCGCTGCCTATCTTGCCAATCTGCTGACAGTTCTGCAAACACAGCTTGATACTCAAAAGGTTGCGGCCATCTATGTATGACGCATGAAATCGAGTGCGTTGGCCTGTCGTGCTAACGTATATAAAGATGGCTTCCAGGCATCACCGTGAGTTATAAGCGAGTGTTTATCGCTGTCAAAGCTTACTTGGAGCAGGTTGCGTGGGGCTTAGTTCTGTAAGTCGTTCACAAAGTGAGCGTCGCACCTATACTGACCCCCACGCTGCAGGGCATTGATGGGGCTGGTGAAGAGGTTCGTTGATACGGCTACTTAGGCATTTAAGGTTCATGCCAGACCAATGCTTCCACCCCAGTTACCCGCAACTGGTAGGCGCGCGACTATGCCTCGGTATCGCTGAGGCTGGTATATTCCCTGGTGTAACATACTTGTATGTCGCCATTTTCCCAAAGCACAAAGGAATATTTCTGTCGCTTCAACGGCACTCATCCCGGTTGTACAGTATGACACTCTGGTACCCCCGCCACATGGTCCAGACACGCATTGCTCTGTTCTGTGGCGGCACTACGCTTTCTGGTACGTGTCCCGTCGACACATCGCGTGTCATACTATATTTTCCCATGCAGGCGCGTTCTCGGGGCTTCTTGCGTACGGAATCTCGTTTATGTCTGGTGCTGGCGGTATGCTCGGCTGGTCTTGGCTTTTTGTAAGTGAATGATATCCTTCGTCCGTTAATCAGCTGATCGGGACGCCCCTTTCAGATCATCGAAGGGATCGCAACAGTCGTCGTAGGCACTGTAGCCTTCTTCAGTACGTAGCCGAAGCACGATCTACCTGAAGACGGCTCGCTGACTCGGTATTCTAGTACTGGCACACGTAGACTTCCCAGAAACGGCTACATTCCTCACAGATCAAGAGCGCGCCTACATTGCCTGGACTAAGAGTATGTGTTCTGCTTCCTCGCGTGTGTACACTGATGACGGTCTTGTACAGGGATAGACAGTCACGCAGTTAGGGAGGAGGAACGCTTCGAGATGCGCCATTTGACCTCCGCATTGCTTGACTGGCAGGTGAGTCATGATTGTATCATGGTCACCGAGATCTGACGATGTCTATACTGCAGATTTGGCTGCAGATAGTTCTGTACTGGTGCATTGCCGCGCCCCGTGAGTGCAGGAAGCCACTCAATAGGCAAGTACGCTGAAGGCTCACAATCTGAAGTGAACGGAATGGCGCTTTTCCTACCGTGAGTACTCGGGCACAGTGGAGCTTCTATATACTCAAGTGTCACCACCCAAGGTCTATCATTAACGGGTATGATCTGCGTTTATGCACCATGATCCATCTCACCGGGGCTCACAAACCACGCGTTCGCTTGGTCGATGTCAAGCTTCGGTTATGGGACTGCCGTGAGCCAACTACTAACTGTCCCACCATATATCTGCGCCAGTAAGCAGCAGAGACCAGGTTAATATCACCTACTGACGAGTGATCCCAGCAATTGTACTCGTCGTATTCGCGGTATGGTCCGACCATATCAAACTCCGATCGCCCTTTCTCTTCGCCGGCCTGCTCATAAGTCTCGTCGGATTCGTCATTAACATCTCCAACGCTCCCATTGGAGTCAAATACTTCGGGACATTCTTCTGCGTGTCCGGCTCATATGCAGCGTTTCCCGGCGTGGTCGCATGGTAAGTCAAATCTTCTAGTACGGCATATCGCAACTGAACGCGAGTACGCATCCTCAGGCTTGGAAACAATCTCGCTGGGCAGTACAAGCGCGCTATCGGCATGGGTATCCAGATAGGTATAGGAAACATCAACGGCATCGTTGCCAGTAATCTGTATCGTCCCCAGCAAGCTCCGCGATACATCATGGGGCGTACGTTCGCCTTCTACTCTCTCACCTTGCATCGTCGCCTGATGTCATTGCCCCTGACGTGCCTTTAGATGGCTTGGAAATCATGTTCCTCAGCATTGGTCTGGTGATCTTGCCTCTTGTTGTCGCTCTGTACGCGCGGATCAATTCCCAGAGGGACAAAGAGATCGACGGGATAGAAAAGGGGGCGGTGAGTTATAGTGACGAGGAATTGCAGCGGATGGGGGATCGCGCTCCGCGGTTCCGATACATGCTGTGAATGCAAGACCGTATCCGTTCTTCGACTCTGTGTCATTGTCCAGTCGTTCATGTCTCGCCCGCCGATTGTTGTTCGAAGACGATGACAAGCTGGATGACGCATCCCCTTGCTGCTACTATACAACATCTCACAGTGAAACCCGTCCTTGAAGAACACTGTGGTGTGAATCGCCGTCCTAAGCTGCTTACGCTCGCATGTTCCAGCGTATGCTGTCCGATGTCTGCCCACATGTTCACCCGGCGCTTGTGCGCATCACACACACGGCGTCTTCAGACCCTTTCCGAGTTCATGTGGTCAGTGCAAGTGGCTCTCGCTCACCCAGCGGGCCTCCTGCGCGTGAAGAAGGTACGTCCTAATATCACGCAATCCTGTGGCTCATGACCGTAACTTCGCTAATGGAGCGCGGAGGTTTCTTCGTGGCTACGAGTTATAGGCGTGTACTTGGGCGATCGCGCTGTCTCGGCCTCGCCCCGCGCAAGACTCCCGAACATCATCGAAGGCCGACCTCGCTATTTTCTCACTAGAGATGTCGAAGCCGCCGAGCTCCTCTGGGAGCATTGCAGAGAAGAAGCATGACATTGATATCATTGATTCTGCGTCGAGTCGGACGCCCGAGGGTGCTGCAGAAGTCGTGCATCCTCCGTCCCTGACGCCTGAGCAGGAGGCGAAGTTATGGCGCAAGGTTGACTGGCATATTCTACCCATCCTCACCATCATGTATCTGTGCTCTTTCCTGGACAGAGGTACGCTTTCTCGCAGTGGTATTTTTGTATAACGTTCACACTCATTGCGTTACAGGGAACATCGGTAACTAAATGTCGTGTTCCCTCCTAGTGTCCGTGCTGACCTTCCGTTCGCAAAGGTAATGCAAAACTGCAAGGGCTTACGACTCAACTTGATCTTACGGGCAATAAGTATAACATCGCGCTAGTATGTGTTTCATTTCCCGCTCCACCTAAGTACCTGACTGACAACCTCAAGACTATGTATTTCATCGTACATGTCATTTCGGTCCAAGATCATCGGTTGTCCGGCTGATGCCATTCTGTTCTTCAGCCATACTGTTTGTTCGAGTGCCCGGCTAAGTACGTGGATATAATCGGTGAATATTACACGAAGCTCATCTACTAATCAGCATGGTCCTCAAGAAATTGCGACCGTCCAGGTATACTCACAACCTCGTCCAAGTTATGTCCCTGTCATCTAATGCTGTCCGACACCTGTAGATGGCTGCCAGGCATAACAGTGAGTAATATGCCATTCGTGTGCATTCTGACATTGAGCGAACGTAGGTCGTTTGGGGCGTGATTATGTGAACATCCATTAGCTTACTCTGCTCTTCGTGTTGCTCACACTTCTTTGCGCCCAGGACTCTGATGGGTCTCGTGAAGACGTGAGTATTCAGACCAACGCCCTTGGCTGATCAGTGATGTCGCGTTGACCTCATCCTTCATATTCATAGATATCCTCAACTAGTCGGTGTGCGCGTTTGTTTGGGAGTCGCGGAAGCCGGACTCTTCCCCGGTGTTGTATGGTAGTGCGTCTCACCCAAGGGCTCGCTCTGCGCTGGGGCTGTGACGCTTATGCATTGCAGCATGTCCATCTGGTATCCCCGCCATATGCTTCAATTTCGAGTCGGCCTGTTTTACGGTGCGGCGACCGTCGCAGGTATGTTCTGTCTCTACGCCAGTTACTTCAGTGGGATGGCATGTCACTGCTGACGATCACGCATAGGCGCATTTTCCGGCGTGCTTGCCTACGGCATTTCGTTCATGTCCGGTACTCGGGGGTTGCTTGGATGGTCTTGGATATTTGTATGCATCATAGTTTCATTTCGTACGCCGTCACTGAGCTTTATATCACTGCACAGATCCTGGAGGGCATCGTCACCGTAGTTGTGGGAGGCATAGCGTTTTTTGGTGGGCACAAACAAATGAGCACCATCTGCGCTACTGACACGTGTGTCAGTCTTGGTCGATTTCCCGGATACGGCCAAGTTTCTGAGCGAGGACGAACGTGCATATCTAATCTGGCGTAAAAGTTTGTCGTCGAACTTGTGAACGATAGAAGGCGATATTGACGATTTACGTAGAATATGACAACTCAACCGTCGGGGAAGAAGAACAATCCGAGCTAAGACACCTCAAAGAGGTCTTCCTGGACTGGCAGGTGCGGCTCGAATCGCATCTGTGCTTGGATGATGCTCTTATGTAAATGGATAGGTTTGGATGCAAATCCTCGTCTACATGTCAATTGTTGCACCACGTAGGTAATTCCGCCTGCTCAGAAGTTATGTTCTGACGCTTGTCTTCATACGACAGTCTACGGAATTTCGTTGTTCCTACCGTGAGTGCAGTTAGTCTTCGACTTCCATGCCAACGAGTGACAACCCGATTCATCAAGGTCTATCATCAACGGGTACACATCCCTCAAAATACACTTCGTCTTCGCTGTATATTGAAACGGCATCACTCAGATTTGGCTACGGTCCCGCAATTAGTCAGCTCCTAACTGTGCCTCCCTATATTTGCGCAAGTACGGTCACGTCTCAAATGATCCCGTGAATGTCCTACTCAAAGACTTGGGAAGCAATTGTGCTCATAGTGTTCGCTGTATGGTCTGATCATACGAAGATGCGGTCGCCGTTTATCCTAGCAGGCTTGTTGATGTGCCTTGTTGGATTCTCCATCAATATCTCCGATGCGACCATAGGAGCGAAGTACTTCGGAACATTTCTTTGCGTGTCCGGGTCGTACGCTGCATTCCCTGGCATTGTCACATGGTATGTCGCCAACACCGCTTTTGACTTTGCACGGTCTATTGGACGGTTCTGACGTTGCTACCAGGCTCGGTAATAATATGGCAGGGCAGTACAAACGCGGAATAGGAATGGCTTTCCACATTGGCATCGGAAACTTCTCAGGTGCAATAGCAAGTAACATATACCTGTCCCGGGATGCACCGCGATATGTCATGGGCCGTATGTAGCGCAGACTCCTCACCTGTTTTACATTGGCGTCTTACTGTCGAAATTTCAGACGCACTGGAACTGATGTTCGTCGGGATCGGCTTGGTAGCTCTGCCCATCACCGTTCTGATATACAAACGAATCAACGCCAGACGAGACGCATTTCAGAACGAGATGGTTGAGAAGGGTATTAGCTATAGCCCTGATGAGCTCCGGAAGATGGGAGACCGAGCACCTGATTTCCGGTACACGCTGTAGAGGTGGTATTACCCTGTGTAGGTAGTAGTAGTTGCACTTGCCGAGCTTCTCAGTCGGTCCAAGTGTAATTCTGCTCTCGGCACCATGGGCCATCGTGAGGCATGCCAATGTCGCTGGTAGATGTCTCAGCGTAGGTACTCAGCGCCCAGCTTCTGTTTGGGGCAAATGGTCTCATCGAATATGCACTGTACTCGGGGCGCGGGCGGAAGACGCATCGCTCCGATTCACTCGTGTACTCGGTGCGACATCGGTGTTAAACAGCTCAGTCAAGTCGTCGACAAGAACAGACTCGATCCCGTGTACGCGTTGCCTGGTCCAGTGGTAAGGTACCCAGCCCTGTAGGTTCCACTCCGTTGCCCATCTGTTCTTTGCAGGGTCTGATGCATTTCCTTAGGTTCAGAGAAGATGTTCGCTTCGATGCAACATCGAGGCTTCTGCTCCATCTGGCTGCAAGATAAGAGGGGATTGACCGTGCATAGTAACTGCCGTTCGACTTTACGTTGTGCTCCTCAAGTGACCTACCACCGATGTCGCAATTGCCGGAGCTGCCCAGCCCGACCGTTAGTACCACCAAGACCGGGACGACAGAAGTCGAGAGCAAGGATGAAGGCCCATCATACACGCCTTTACCTCCAGCCCTTACTCCCCAACAACAGCAGCGGCTGTGGAGGAAGGTCGACACGAAGCTGTTGCCTATTCTTACGCTCATGTTCTTGTGCGCGTATATGGACAGAGGTCGGTCTCACCAACGCGGATGACATTCATCAACTTCATATTAACTGAACCATTTGTCAGCAAACATTGGTGTGTTCTGCGCGATGGTTACATGCCAATCACCGGTCGAACATTTTCTAGGAAATGCAAAAATTCAGGGGCTGACGACACAGCTTCGCTTGACTGGAAACGAGTTCAATATAGTACTCGTACGTGACGCTGCATCTGTGGAACGCCGATCTGAGTATCTTGACACAAGCAGACTATGTTCTACATTGTGGGTCAATTCAAACGACTCTTGTTTTCAAGTCTCACTACTGTCAAGCCGTTTTGCCTCTTCGAGTGTCCCGCAAAGTATGTCTTATGAGACAGCATCCGAGTCCATCCTGAGTCAGTGCGCTGATTGGCGACATTAGCTTGGTCTTGAAGAAGTTTCGCCCTTCTAGGTGCGCTCAGCTAGCGATCATGGCCGACTTACTCATCGCTGATGTCTACTATACCTAGGTGGCTTCCTGGCCTAACTGTGAGTCATGGGTGTGTGATGTCCATTGTACGCCCAACACTCATTGCGACAAGGTTGCATGGGGTATAACTCTGTGAGTTGGTAATATCGACCTTGCTAGCTTCAAGTCGGTCTGAGAAGTTTCTAATGGAGAACGTTGATGGGATTGGTCAAGAGGTACTACTTCCCTATCGCCCTTCGCAGCATGCATCTAATGCTCGCATTCCTTGAAATCACAGCTATCCGCAGCTTGTCGGCACTCGTATGTGTCTCGCCATCGCGGAAGCTGGCTTGTTTCCCGGTGTTGTATACTAGTTTGTGTTGATTTCCGCCACGAATGTTCAAACAGCGCATTGATCCTCGTGCATACGGTAGCATGACACTATGGTACCCGCGTCACATGCTGCAAGTCCGCGTTGGTATCTTCTATGGCGGCGCGACTGTTGCAGGTGGGTCGGAGTTGGTATCGATAGCCCTCACTCATGCGCTCGGTCTGATTATCCTTCAGGGGCGTTCTCCGGTGTCCTCGCCTATGGAATATCATTCATGTCCGGTACTGCTGGCTTCCTCGGCTGGTCGTGGATCTTCGTACGTGACGGACATTGCCAATATTGCGATCCGGGACTTTGACATCTAGACTGTTTTATGTGCAGATACTTGAAGGAATTTCTACTGCGATTGTCGGCGCGGCGGCTTTCTTCGGCACGAAAATTTACAATTGCCCTCGGACGGAGATTGACATTCATTTAGTGCTGGTGGACTTCCCTGACACGGCGGCATTCCTCACGGAAGAGGAACGGGCATTCATCATATGGACCAAGAGTGCGCATGCCGTTTCACATCACCATGTAAAGCCGCGCTCATGATCTGCTTTCGAACAGAGTACGATAACTCTTCCGTCGGGGAAGAGGAGCACTTTGAAGTGCGGCACGTCATTGCGGCTTTGCGTGACTGGCAGGTGAGCATCAACTATTGATGATTACATGTATTTACAGCATCCTCCTTTTAGATATGGTTGCATATCATCCTATACTGGGCTATCTGTGCTCCATGTATGTACTCGTATCCCTTCTAGTCCGAGGGCTCACTATTACTCCATGTGGTGAACATCAGTGAATGGGATAACTCTCTTCTTACCGTGAGTCTGTCCCGCACTGAAAGGTATCGCTTTTTTGCTCAATAACTACCCGCCAAGGTCAATCATCAATGCGTGAGTCAGGCTTTCATGTTGTTATTCGTGTTTTCATCAACTATTCCCAGGAACAGATTTGGCTATGACCCTGCTGTCAGTCAGTTGCTCACAGTTCCGCCGTACATCTGCGCCAGTAGGTCCTCGCATCACAACAGTTTGACGCTAGCTAACAATCCGCGAAAGCGATCGTGCTAGTTGTCTTTGCCGTGTGGTCCGACTACATCAAGATGCGCTCGCCCTTCATTCTTGCAGGACTCGTGCTATGCCTCGTAGGCTTCTCTATCAATATATCCGCGACGTCCGCCGGTGTCAAATATTTTGCTGTGTTCTTCTGCGTAACTGGGCCGTATGCCGCTTATCCTGGGCTCGTTGCATGGTGCGCTATCTGGCTTTGAGGAATTGTAATGATACTAACACCCGTACCTCTGTCAGGCTTGGGAACAATCTTGCTGGCCAGTACAAACGTGCCACTGGAATGGCTCTCCAAATCGGAATCGGGAACTTCTCTGGTGCTATAGCAAGCAACATATATCTATCGGAAGATGCACCGCGATATATCATTGGTCGTGCGTATTACTTAGCACGCTCAGACCTGTACTGCCTCTCATTGTGAATGCGTTAGATGCACTGGAGCTGATGTTTGTTGGGATTGGATTGGTATCCTTACCATTCATCGTCTTGATGTACAAGCGAATCAACACCAGACGAGACATCTTACAAAAAGAGATGGAAGAGATGGGCATAAGCTACGGCGATGAAGAACTAAGGCGTATGGGAGACCGTGCACCTGATTTCCGATACATACTGTAGATCGTACACTACATCTACTGTAACGTACCTATGTGCATGTGAGGACGGATTGTGGTTAGGGTGCCTTCAGTGTATTATAGAGCTATCTCAAAGCCTGTCATTGACCACTGTAAACATGGTACAGTATGATCCATAAGTTAAAGAGTGTAGCGGAATTCCGGGGCGCGGTCGCCCAGTCTTCGCAGTTCTTCTGCCGAGTATTCTATGCCTTTCTCCTCCATGTCTCTCTGATTTTTGTCTCGTTTTGCGTTCTCCCACTTGTACAATGCTACCAGGATGCAGAGGTTGATGAGGCCGATGCCTATAAACATCAACTCTAGTGCGTCTGATGCTTTGGTCAGTATGTGTAACTACTGAGATGAAAGATGATCTACGTACGTCCCATTACATATCGCGGGGCGTCCTTCGACAAGTAGATGTTGGTGACTATCAGGCTGGCGAGATTGCCTACCCCAATCTGGACAGCCATTCCTACGCCACGCTTGTACTGACCAGCCAGATTGTTTCCAAGCCTAGGCAAGCTTTTAGTCTATTACTTACGCCTGGTACAGAGACGACCGTGACAGACCATGAGACGACACCGGGCATTGATGTGTACGACCCAGTTACACACAGGAACGTTCCGAAGTACTTCACCCCAATCGCGGCGTCGGAGATGTTGATGGCAAAGCCAACGAGGCAGATCGTGAGCCCACCGAAGAGGAACGGCGAACGGAGCTTGACGTGATCAGACCACATTGAGACAGCAATGAGCACGATCGCTTCGTAGGCGGATGAGCTCCAGCATGCGTGTAGTCGGGAGCATACTCACTCGCAACAATATATGGTGGGACAGTAAGCAGCTGGCTGATAGCAGTACCGTACCCGAAACTGGCAATAATGAGTGATTGAGCACGAATAAAATCATAAACAGAATCCTACCCATTGATGATCGACCTGCCAGGAGTAAGTTGTCAGCAGACTTCTCAATGTCCATGTATTGGAGAACCCACGGGAGAAAAAGGGAGATGCCGACCACTGCACGTCTTCATCGTCAGCACCTTCATTCTTCGGGACATGTGAGCAACGTACGAGGCGCAACAATGGTCATGAACATCAGCATCTGTAACCACACCTGCGACATCCACAATTCAGCCGATATCGTCACGTACCTACACCGCAGTACCTTACCTGCCAGTCACACAACGCAGACTTGATGTGGCGCATTTCGAAATGTTCATCCTCGCCGACCGATGAGTTGTCGTACTCTGTTCAAGACAAGATAGTCAGTAGACTGTCACATCTACAGAATACCGTAAGATCGAGCGCAGTCTCCACTCACTCTTTCTCCATACGAGATAAGCACGCTCTTTCGGCGTCAAGAACGATGCTGTATCTGGAAAGTCAACTATGACTAGACAGAGCATGGATGAGATTCACAACTACGGCAGACGTCAAGCTCCTAGTGCGCATACCGAAGATTGCGAGGATAGATACGACGATCGTCAACAGGCCCTCTATAATCTACAAATTGTACAATTTGTTAGTTTGAGAGAAGCGTGCCTTGCATTCAAGGCATTGCACGTACAAAGATCCAAGACCACCCCAACAAGCCTCCTGCGCCCGACATAAACGATATACCGTATGCGAGAATGCCAGAGAAGGCACCTATCGAACGTTGAGATGTCATTACACCGAGATGGTTGTGCTAGAGTCATACACACCAGCGGCCGTCGCTCCACCATTGAACAGACCTACGCGAAACTGAAGCTTGTGGCGTGGATACCATAGCGTCATGCTGTCATATTCGCGCGGACAGCGGTGCGTGAGCACAGTCAACTCCCAATGAGGCTCTGACGCACTAGTATACAACACCGGGGTAGAGGCCAGCCTCTGCGATTCCCAGGCAGATTCGAACACCGAGCAGCTGTGGGTAACTAGGGCGTGGGCGCGGTAAGGTCTCGCAGCGGACGGGTACCGTGGACATACTACTCACGTCTTGACTATGCCCATCAAAGTCCTGATTAAAACCCATGAGTAGGGGATTCGGTCGAAGATGGGGTGCTATACGAGTCATTCACATCATAATACCCCATACAATCTGTGCGCTTCTGTCAGCACAGGTGAGCAGTGAATCCGAGCAATCCTTACCATTATGCCCGGAAGCCATCTGTCATGATGCTGCCGATAAGCAGGAAGCGGAACATGAGACAATGGATCGTTACCTTGACGGTTTAAATTTCTTCAATACCAGACTATGCTGAAGTCAGTAACACGGCAGGTGGACGATAGAATCAGTACGAGATTCAATTGTGCTCACTTCGCTGGACATTCGAGAAGACAGTATGGCTTGACGCGTAAATTATGAACATAGTTAAATGATGTTCACGGGAAGAATGCGTACGATGTAATACATCATCTGCAGGTGGCGGAGAGTCAGCGCCGTACTCATCAGACACCGATCAAGCAACGTACCAGAGCTATGTTGTACTTATTTCCGGTGAGGTCGAGCTGGGTTGTTAGCCCTTGAAGCTTCGCATTTCCTGATAAAATGCATTTTCCTTCAGAATGGGAAGACATCTAGAGGATGTTAGATACCGATATTCCCTGTTGTGCGTGCAGTCAGCGTCGAACAGTAAGTACTAGCATTCGCATTCACCTCTGTCCAGGAAAGAACATAGGTACATCGCAGTCAGGATGGGCACGATGCGCACATCAACTTTTCGCCATAGCTTCTTCTCCTCGTCAGCCGTGAGAGCAGGCGGATGGTGAACTTCGTCGTTTACGTCGCCTAGACTCGAGGTCCGATCTGGGATTTCCACAATGTCGAGTTCATCCTCCGCTGCAGAAAGACTGCCCGCCAGGCTTGATGACTTAGCACTGACCATCTCGGATCAGACTTTGCGTGTCGACAGTTGAGGATGTCTTCGCAGTTGGAGGTTTGAGGCAAGCCCGCAATTGAGGATGGCGCTTTTCGGACAACAGACCGCGTTCTTATCTGGAGCTTCGGAGGCGTCGACATAAGATGGAAGCATTGCAAGCTCTGCTCCCGTTGAATGAAGCGTTTGTCTGTCGAAGGTTTGTCCCTCCGAAAGACTGGCAGATAAGTCAGTTACAGTACAGCGCAAGCACCGAATAGACGGATAGACCCAACCTAGAAATCACTTCTTCGTCGTATCTTCAGCGCTTTGACGGGGCTGTTCGAACCTTGCCAGTGCCGTGTTGACAGGTATGAGAACTGGTGCTGTATTGACTCGACACAGATACCCAATGTCTGTTCCGTTGGAAGTCACGCTGGCCACTGATCTCCAGCAGTAACGTCAAGCCTTGTATTGTTCGCTGGAAAAAATAGTGTGTACGCGGGTTACAGAATGTAACGGAAGTCCGTGGCACGGTCGCCCAGTCTTCGCAGCTCTTCCGCCGAGTACTCTATGCCTTTCTCTTCCACGTCTTGTTGCATTTATATCTCGTTTTGTGTTCTCCCACTTGTACAATACTACCAGGATAGGCAGGTTAATGAGACCGATGCCAATGAACATCAACTCCAGTGCATCTGACGCCTTGGTCAGTACGTATCACTATTGGAAATGAAAGGTCTACATACGTCCCATCACATATCGCGGGGCGTCCTTGGACAGATATATGTTGCTGACTATCAAGCTGGCGAGATTGCCTATCCCAATTTGGACGGCCATACCTACGCCACGCTTGTATTGACCGGCCAGATTGTTTCCAGCCTAAGCAGAACTATAGTCTATTACACCGACGGCCTACAGAATGACACACCATGAAATGACACCGGGCAGGTAGCGTACGACCCAGTGACACACAGGAAGTTCCGAAGTACTTTGCCCCAATCGCCGCATCGGAGATATTGATAGCGAAGCCAACGAGGCACATCACGAGTCCGCCGAAGATGAAGGGCGAACGAAGCTTGACGTGGTCAGACCAAATTGCGACCACGACAAGCACGATCGCTTCATGGGCAGATGAGCTGAAGTGTGTATGTAGTCGAAGGACCAGTACTACTCACTCGCAACAATGTATGGCGGGACTGTAAGCAGTTGGCTGATAGCGGTACCGTACCCAAAACTAGCAACAATGATTGGTTGAGCGTAACACAAGTAGACAACAGAATCCTACCCATTGATGATCGATCTGCCAAGAGTGATTCGTTAGCGGTATTCTCAATGCCCGTGTATTGGAGGACCCACGGTAGGAAAAGAGAGATGCCGAGCACTGCGCGTTTTCATCGTCAGCAACAGCATTCTTCGGAACATGTGAGCAACATACGAGGTGCAACAATGGTCATGAACATCAGTGTTTGTAACCACACCTGCAACATCCGCTATTCAGCCGATATTGTCAAGTATCTACGGGGCAGTACGCTACCTGCCAGTCGCACAACGCAGACTTGACGTGGCGCAATTCGAAGTGTTCTTCCTCGCCGACCGACGAGTTGTCGTACTCTGCTCAAGGAAAGACAGTCAGTATACTGCGTCGGATCTATGAGATAGAGCGCAGTCTCAACCCACTCTTTCTCCATACGAGGTAAGCACGCTCCTTTGGCGTCAAGAATGATGCTGTATCCGGGAAATCGACTATGACTGAACAGAGCATGAGTCAACTTCGACACTGCGGCAGAAGTCAAGCTAATAGTAGACGTACCGAAGATTGAGATGATGGATACAACCATCGTCAAGAGGCCCTCTATGATCTGCAGATCGTACAAGTTGTTAGTTCGAGAAGAGCATACCTTGTATTTGAGGCATCGTGCGTACGAAGATCCAAGACCACCCCAGCAAGCCTCCTGTACCCGACATAAACGAGATACCGTACGCGAGGACGCCAGAGAAGGCACCTACGGACCGAGGTATCAGCACATTAAGGTTGGTTGGTTGCACTAGAGTCATACACACCGGCGGCCGAAGCTCCGCCATAGAATAGTCCTATGCGGAACTGAAGCATATGGCGAGGGTACCATAGTGTCATGCTGTCGCATAAATGCGGTCAGCGGTGCATGAGCACAGTCGACTCACGATCTGGCCCTGACGCACTAGTATACAACGCCGGGGAAGAGGCCGGCCTCTGCGATCCCCAGACAAATTCGAACACCGACCAACTGCGGGTAACTTAAGGCATAGGCGAGGTAAGGTCCCGCAGCGGATCGGGCACCGTGAGTACACTCACGTTTTGACTATGCCCATCAAAGTCCTGCAAAGAGATGAGTAACGGATTCGACTGAAGGCGACGTACTATAAGTGACTCACATCACAATACCCCATACAACCTGTGCGCTTCTATCAGCGCATGTGAGAAGTGAACCCGAGTAATCCTTACCATTGTGCCCGAAAGCCATCTATCACGGTGGATAAGCAGGACGTAATACGAAGCAGTACGGTGATTTTTACCTTGACGGTCTAAACTTCTTTAGCACCAGACTGTGCTGAAGTCAGCAACACGGCGGGTGGAACGAATACACGATTCATTTCTACTTACTTCGCCGGACATTCGAGAAGACAGTATGGCTTGGAGCGCATACTGTGAACATCGATGCATGACGTTCGTGGGACAAAAGCGTACGATGTAATACATTGTCTGCGTTTGGCGGCGAGTCAGCGCCGGCGTACTCATCAGACACCGATCAAGCAACGTACCAGAGCTATGTTGTACTTATTTCCGGTGAGGTCGAGCTGGGTTGTTAGCCCTTGAAGCTTGGCATTTCCTGATAAAGTGTAATTTCCTTCAGAATGGGAAGACGTCTAGAGGATGCTAAATACCGATATTCCCTGTCGTGCGGTCGCGTCAGCATCAGACAGTACTGACTAGCAATAGTCCACATTCACCTCTGTCCAAGAAAGAACATAGGTACATCACAGTCAGAATGGGCACGATGCGCAGGTCAACCTTTCGCCATAGTTTCCTCTCCTCTTCGACTGTGAGAGCAGGCGGATGGTGAGCTTCGTCGTTTACGTCGCCTAGGCCCTCGGAGGTCCGCCCTTCCGGTGTTTCCATGATGTCGATTTCATCCTTCGCTGAAGAAAGACTGCCGGCCGGGCTTAACGACTTCGCACTGACCATCTCGGACTAGAGGTTGGGCGCCGACTGAGGGTGTCTTCGCAGTTTGAGGCAGGCTGCATGCGATTGAGGATGGTGAAGCCTTTTCAGACGACTAATGACATTCTTATCTGGAGCTTCGGAGGCATCAACGTAAGATGGAAGCATCGCAAAGCTCAGCTTCCGTTCAATGGACTGTTTGTCCCTCCGAAAGACTGGCACTGGCAGATAAGTGCAGCGCAAGCACCGGAATAGACGGGTGATAAACCTAACATAGAATTCGCTTCTTCGTCATATTTCCAGCGCTTTGACGGGAATGTTCGACCTTCACAGGTATGAGAAGTGGTGCTGCATTGAGGACACGGGCACCCGATGTCTGTTCCGTGAAAAGCCCCAGGTATGTACTACGTGGCGCTGGGTGGGCGCCTCCGACTAGGCCGCTCAGCGCTCAGCGCCTAATCCACGATGACCTGGGTCCCCTCGAGGTTTGTGACAGACGGACTGCTGACAGGAAACCTACAGAGATTATCTATGCACAGCGCTCAGCTGGCTTGGATGCGTATGGACCGTACCGCTTGTGCTAGCTGACTCGATGATCCAGGTGCTTCTGGCTGCGGGGCGATCATACTACTGCTTCGCCGACTTCTAACCAAGTTGAGGCCCAGTCGAAGTTCAATCCGAGTTCATTGACAACGTACAGAGTGAGATTGATCAGTCATGAAAGGATTGATACTTTCCCCCGGCTTACCAAGAGTTCACTTTGGCCAGAAGTTCCTGCATGTCCGAGGAAGGCGAGCAGTCTTAAGTGTGAACTTGAAGCGCTACAAACGGAGCGGCACGCCCCGGTACGTTGTCCATGCCTGTCTTTCCTCGAGTGCTGCTATACATCTCATCAGGCACTCAGCTATCACTGACAACCGCGTCGGTGAGCATGCTCGGTGTCATGACAGTCGGATTCGACGAACACACTGTTCCTTACGTTCGTGGTACCACATCCATCACCTGGTTCATGCACTTATCAGTCTCCTAAGGAACTTCTAAGCGTCGGAACGCTGTCCGTCCGGGCAGCTGCCCCTGTACGCGGTATCTCTCCCGTATCTACGACTGGCGGACGCATCACGGGGCGCACTGACGCCCATATACGGCGTCCGAGGGCGAATGCCTTCGCTCAGGTGTGGGGCAATGCGGGGTAGAACGTGCCCAGGAAGATCAAAATCTGACATGAAGACCCGGAGAAGAGTTCAGGCCCACCCAGTTATCTAGCGACGCCACCGTCCCGCATTGTCTGACATATGTGTAGAGTGCGGAGAAATACCTAGGGCCCCGGAACGCCCCCTTTCTTTCTTTCTGACGACTCTTGACGACGTTGCGAAAGCTATGCCTACGACTAACAGCCCAGCTCGAAGCTACAGCGCGGAGAAGCTCGAGGTCGAGGCGGTCGAGTATGCAACCTCGCCAAAGTCGACGACCAGCCCTCCTCCGCCCCTCACGCCAGAGCAGGAGAAACGGCTTTGGCGGAAAGTGGATAGGAGGATTCTGCCTATCCTCACGATCATGTATTTGTGTTCCTTCTTGGATAGAGGTGGGCCCTTTTCTTTGTTCGTACCGTCGGCGTGTGCTGATGCTATTCGCAGGCAATATTGGTAAGAGAAGCCGATGCTGCCAGATGCTGAGTGCTCAGCAGTTTCTAGGCAACGCGAAGATACAAGGACTCACAGACCAGCTCAACCTTACTGGTAATAAATACAATATCGCTCTTGTGAGTCGCATATTGGCGCGAGTCGCCGACTACGAGCATAGCTAACCCTGAGATTAGACAATGTATTTCGTTGTGGGTATCACTGTCGACGTTGAGCCTATGTCGCAATTGACCATTCGCCAGCCATACTGTCTCTGCGAATGTCCCGCCAAGTGAGTGACACGCAATCAACACGACTGACTTGCCTGACCCTGGATACAGTCTGGTTCTAAAGAAGTTCAAACCATCCAGGTACGAGTGCATTCGCGGCATTTCGATTCGCTCGGATGGCTACTAATCCGAGCGCTCAGATGGTTCCTGGTATCACAGTAAGTAGCATGTCCGATCAGAATGCCTGTACTGACGAGGTTGCAGCTCCTATGGGGAGTCATCATGTGAGCTTTCTGGGTTGCATCCGACGACATTCACTGATTACCCGAGTTAGGACTCTTATGGGTCTAGTAAAGACGTGAGTCGTTCACAGGGTCTCATTTTCAAAACTGTCTGTTCAACCAGTTCTCAGCTATCCGCAACTCGTCGGGACCCGCATCTGTCTAGGTATCACAGAAGCGGGCCTATTCCCGGGCGTCGTCTACTAGTAAGGGTTCTAAATAGTCCTCACTGTAACTGTTGTCTCACTTGATTGACTGTAGCTTGACGCTATGGTATCCGCGCCACATGCTACAATACAGAGTGGGCCTATTCTACGGCGGGGCAACGATTGCAGGCGCATTCTCGGGAATCCTGGCATACGGCATCTCTTTCATGTCTGGAACAGCGGGTTTACTGGGTTGGTCCTGGATCTTTGTACGTATTCGCAGGTCATTGAGATGGTGCCGACTACCATGCCACATCAGATACTCGAAGGCATTGCCACCGTGGTGGTCGGAGCATCGCCTTCTTCGGTGGGTGGCATCGTATGAATGCGCGTAGTGTAAACTGAATGCGCATTCTGGCAGTCCTGTGGACTTCCCTGACACAGCGACGTTCCTCACGCCTGAGGAGCGTGAATATATCATATGGAAGAAAGTGAGTTTAAATCTCGTTGTACCCCGCTTCCCGCAGTGACGTCGAGGATGGATAGAATACGACAACTCCTCTGTTGGAGAGGAAGAGCACTTTCAAATCCGACACATTAAGGCGGCGTTCATGGATTGGCAAGTATGGCTGCAGATCATGGTATATTTTGCCGTGATCACGCCACGTACGTCTCTAGCGTGCTCAGACTCCTCGAATACTGACGTCGTTCATGGCTCACAGTGTACGGGATTTCACTTTTCCTGCCGTGAGTCCTCTCTCGCATGTTATGTTGACCAAGCTCACTGAGCGTCCATGCAAAGGTCGATCATCAATGGGTACGCCGTATTCTCGGGTTCGCCATCTTGCGCTGAATAATAGATTCTGCTTCTACCAGCTTCGGATATGACACCGCCATCAGCGAACTACTGACCGTTCCGCCTTACATATGCGCAAGTGAGCAATCCTTCTGCGCGACCCTTCGGCGTGCAAGTACTGACGTACGCGACAGCGATTGTCCTCCTCATCTTCGCCACCTGGTCTGATCATGTCAAGTTGCGCTCGCCCTTTGTCCTCGCAGGGCTGGTGATGTGCATGATAGGCTTTGCGATCAACATTGCCGACGTCCCAGTCGGCGTGAAGTACTTCGGCACGTTCTTCTGCGTGTCTGGATCCTATGCCGCCTTCCCGGGTATCATCGCTTGGTACGTTGTAGCTCCTCAGCAACATCTGTACAAAGCTCAGTAGTGTCGACGCGTGTAGGCTGGGAAATAACTTGGCTGGCCAGTACAAACGTGGTGTCGGCATGGCGCTGCACATCGGTATCGGTAACTTTGGTGGAGCCATCGCGAGCAACATATACCTTTCAAAGGATGCCCCGCGCTATGTCCTAGGCCGTGAGTAAACATCCATCGATTCTATCCTCGTACTGACTTGACGATGTGCAGATGCCCTGGAGCTGATGTTCGTCGGCATCGGCTTCATATTCCTGCCAATCACCGTTCTTGCCTATAAGCGCGCCAACGCACTTAGGGACAAGCAACAGCAAGAGATGGAAGAGAAAGGCATCAAGTACAGTGTGGAGGAGCTCCGGAGGCTGGGTGATCGCGCGCCCGACTTCCGTTACACATTGTAGATTCAGGTACTCATGCGGCAGTCCCCGTCTAGCAGATTGCTAGAAGACGAGGTTACGATTACTTGATTATATGTTCGCGCTGCGAAAGCGAGGTAGTGTACTGTATAGTAGGATATGATTTGCACTGATTACCGTGTACCTTTGCGAGAATAAATAACGAAGAACGGCAAACCGTCATGAAGCTGCTGACGAATTGCCCACTTGCCCAGAGACATCTGTGGTAGGCTAATCAGAGTCCGGTGTGGCAAATTTGAGGCTCTCGAGGCTACTGGGCTGGATGCCGAAGTATTGGGCTCCGGAATGGTGAGGACAAGCGAAGGCGGCGCTGCCCCCTCAACTATAGTCTTGTTTTTGCTCTGCGACGTGGAGGGGTCTTGTCCGGTTGGCATAGGCTCGTTCGTCATTCCTCCTTTCCGCAAGAAGCCTGTTAACCGTGCATTGGTGGCAGCCTCCGGAGGAGATGTCCCGCCTTCCGTCTGACGGCCTAGCACACTCGTGATCCGCATCCTGATCGGGATAGGCATGCGAGAGGGAGTGAGAACGATTCGGAGGGCTGGTGCCGGCTCTGGGACGTGGACAGATCTTCGGCTCGCACGGACCTGCGACGAGAGCGGAGAACGCGCACGCGCGCTCGGAAAGTCACGCCCGTTTTAGAGCCGAGTATTCTCGGCCGCGAGCGGGATGGCCTGACTGATTTGTGTATGAGGGAGTCCGCCGATGAGTACGTAGTGATCTTGCGCGATGGCGGGAAGGGCTCCCATTTGGACGGTTCGTCTAATGAGAACACCGGATCGCCCTCTGCCGCCCCATCGTCGCTCGCAGGTACACCAGCGCCACCGTCGTCGCTGCTCAAACGTTCATCTTGCATCCACGAGATCTCCCCGTCGTCATCCTCCTCTATGTCCGGTGTGAGATGATGCAGGTGGCGTTCTTCCCTGTCAGTTTGTATACGACGCTGACGAGGTAAGTCTGCCGCCCAGCCTTCCCACTCTTGCTCGCTCTGCTCCGATTCTCCGTCAGACTCGCTGTCGCTGTCGTCGTCGAGGTACTGTCTCCAGAGTGTAGGCGACAGGTCGACTTGGGAATGGACCGACGGCCGCTTTGCGAGCGGCGGGCGCTTTGGGGTCTCTGGCGCCTCCTCCGCCGGCATCTCGAGGTAGGATAGCAGGTCGTCCTCGTCAGCAGCAGCGCCTCATTTCCCTCATCGTCGCCAAAGATGACGAATTCCATCGCGCGGCCAACAGGCCCTACACCTGCGCGACGGGCCCGTTTTACGATGGTGTGTCGCCATTCAGGGTACGGCAAACCCATCCTGCCAGACTGTGAGGAGGACTTTGCGTTAGGAATGGCAGTCGCCGCGTGACGAGGTGAATCCGTCAACGTTGTCGTGGAAGTGTGAATTGCACCTTCTGGCAGACCTGGTGAGACATTGTATGGCGACCCTCCTGGGGAGGAAACACGAAACCCGCATCGACACTTGATCCTTCAACAGAGGATCTGGCAGTGAAGGACGAAGAACACGATATTGGCGCATGACGGTGCAACACACGAAGGAAGTCATCGAAAGCTGAGATGTAGTATCAGGGCAACCCGGCATAGGATAAGGAAGTGACTTCGGGGCAAGGCATGGATGTGTCAGGCATGCAACTCACCAGAATCATTGAGAAGGTCCATGATGATCCATACAGAACCCTCATTTTCACAACTGAGGCCCAGCCTGTCTCTGCTAGTGCTCCCTTCAGAACTGGCGACCAAGGTAGACCGGCCCTCCTTCCGGCCGAAGGCTTCTGCGGCGGGTGTGTCTCGAGACCCACGACGCCACCATCCGCCAGCGTCAGATCGGTCTTCACCCGCGCCCGCACCCGAGTTCACGATGTGGGTGACTGCTGGTGAATGCGGGGGCGGATGAGGACCGGCGCGGAACTTTGCACAGACGATCCGGCGCCCAGTATTAGGCGTGGAGGCGTCAAGGGTGGGCTTCATCGGGTCAGATATAGGCTGGAGGTGAGACTGCGCGGGGCTCGGTGATGACAGAGGCGTTGAGGCCGACGATGATGGTAGAGATGGGTTGTGCGCATGCGGCAGGGCCGAGGTCGTGCGGGGATGCAGGTATTCACCGCCTCGCAAGGCTAGGAGGGCAGTAAGAGGTGCAGTGTACGCGGGACGCGCGTCCTGAAAAATATTGGAGTGGGTGCAACGACAAGGTTAGGCGAACTCACGCTGCGGTTCCGACAGAGCTTGAACATGCCCTGATGCATGACCACCCACCGCTCGCGCCATTCCATCTTCTTCCTATGCTTTCGTTCCAACCTGCGCTTCGTTTCGTCTGCGTCACCACCCCACGTCTCCTCGCCGCCATCACCCGCAGTAGGCCCGCTTCCGCTCCCCGTGCGACGGTCGCGCTCCTTACCCTTACCCTTACCCTTGCTCTTTGGCCGCTCCAGCTCTGCGTGATGCTCAGCGGACAGGTTATCACCTACGAAGCGCAAGGCCCACACGCGCGCTTCAAAATATGGGCGGACGTATGCCTCCAGGTTGTGGCGAGGCAAGGTAATGAAGGCTTCACCGCGTGGATAAAACTCGAGCAGCTCGTATGGTTGCAGAGCGTACCAGGACAATTGGAAGGGATCTTCGAGGAGCTGTCCGGTAGAAAAGGCGATGGCTGTGAAGTTCGCCGGAGAAGGGAGAGAAGCCTCCGGCGGAACGACGAGTGTGATCGACGAGGTGCCGATGGGGCGAGACGCAGGTGCATACTTGTATCGGTAGAACTCTCCATCGTCTACGAAGCCGTCCTGTGCGTCCAGGACAGACCCATTCTCCTCCGCCGACTGATAGTCGCTGTCGCCCTCGTTGTCGCTGTGCCCGTGCGACGAGAAGGTGATAGGGGAAAGCGGTCGATCACGACGGGCCCGCGCTGGTTTGCGCAGGGACGGTGCGCTGGTAGGCAGAAACTTGGTCAAGAGGTGCTGTTTGACTTGCGAGATCGTCCATGAAGCGTCGAGGTGCGTGAGGAGCCATCGGTCGGTGTGCACTGCGATGCAGTGAGTTGGCGAACAAGTACGACACGCAGGGAACGCACCATATCGACAATAAACGGGCACAATCGACGACGGCTCTGGTACCATGGGGGTGGAAGGATGAGCGGTGGCTCACTGACCATGGGGGCGCATAGCGGTCATCGAGAAGACGTGGGATCCGTGATGCTGGATAGAGAACGCTTGCCGTGAGAGTGTAACCTTGTAAGTAAGTGATGAAATACAATGTCTTGAAGGTGATTGATGGGTCGTATCAACAATGATATGTAAGAAGAAACGAAGATAAGGGCTGTACTAGTCAGTTAGGGGTGATCTTGCATAATTTGGCCCTGAAAGAGATCGCTGGCCAGGTATGTGTGCGTTGCGAGACTCGGGATGATGGGGGTCCGAGAAGAGGAGAGGCTTGGGAGAGGTCAAGGGGTGAGTGAGTTAAGTACGAACTGAGACTCGCATTGACAGCTCTCGAAGTACAATGGAAGCATCCTCAAACGGAAAACGATGACGCATGAAGTACTACAACTTACTTATGTTATTCCATACAACGAGAAGTACAAACTCATCAAAGATGCGTTTGGGATGCGCTCGATGAACTGAAGTGAAAGATTTCAGATTCCATCCAATACAGTATCGTACTAATTACAGTATCGGGCTAGGATCTCGGCCGGACATGGTACTCGGTCAGTCGAGTGCTGTAGGCTCCATTCCCAGTCTTATGTAGAACATATCACGCATACCAATAAAATCTCACAATCTTCCCCCTACCTAATGGTATGTTTCTCTTGTGATCAACTTCAAGCCTCAGGCCTCAGGATTGAGCCCATGGTGGTCGACTGACCGAGTACCATGTCCGGCCGAGATCCCGGCCCGGTACAGTAGTGTACGTGACCGCGATCTCTTGGACTCTGCCAACTACCGGTACCATCACCTTGCTGGCTGGTCAACATGTTATCTGCTTTGCGTGTCTGTGTGCGCAGCGATGTATCGAAATTCACTGTCCACCAGGCCAGGCGATTCCTCCAGACAGAGTCCCGCGAGGCATATCTCGAGTCCGTGCAGACGCATCCCGGCGTGTCATTTCTGTCGCTAAACCGACCACAGGCAAAGAATGCCATTTCAGTGAGGTTGCTGAAGGTCAGTTCTTTTGGGGCCGCAGCCACGGACGCGTCCGATGACGATGGGGTTCAGGAGTTTCGTGAATGTCTGGACACGGTGCAGTTCGATCGCAGGTACGTTCAATGCTCGGGACTGGTCGGAATTGCTTGAAACACCTCTGTAGCGTCCGAGTTCTCGTCGTGCGGTCGTCTACGCATGGCTCGTTCTGCGCGGGAGCCGACCTGATTGAGAGGCGGACAATGACGAAGCCGCAGGTCGACAAGTTCCTCCTCGACCTGCGTGCCGCGCTTGGTGTTCTGGAGACATTGCCCATGCCGACTATCGCAGCTATCGACGGGCCCGCCCTCGGTGGGGGCCTAGAGCTCGGCCTTGCGTGTGATCTCCGTGTCGCAGGTAAGCAGGAGTCAAGGCGACACTGTCAGTCATCCTGAACTGCCCTGTAGGCCGCTCGGTGACGAAGATAGGACTGCCAGAGACCAGGCTAGGGATCATACCTGGTGCTGGTGGCACGCAGCGGCTCACCCGCCTGCTTGGACTGTCGAAAGCTAAGAGCCTGATCTTCACTGCGAAGATGCTAACTGCTGCAGAAGCTCTCGACATGGGTACGTGCCCCCATTCAAGCAGGTGTTCTGTCTACTAAGCCGCGCAGACGTCGTTGACTATGTGTCCGCTCCCGACCAAAGTGCGGTCGACCGCGCCCTGGAGTTGGCGAAAGAGATGAGCTCTAACGGTACGCGGTGTCTTGAGATGTCTGCGACCTTTACTGACCGCGTTCTAGCACCACTCGCCCTCCGTGCGGCCAAGCAAGCAATTTCGCGCGCTCCTGAACTGAGTCTGGAGAGTGGTTAGTTTCCTCCTGCACTCGTGAGAGGCTAGCTACAATCGCAAAGCAGGTCTTGATTTCGAGCGAGCGGCGTACGAACCCTTGCTGAAGACGAGCGATCGCGTTGAAGCGTTGAACGCGTTCAAAGAGAAGCGTCCACCTGTTTTCAAGGGTGAATGAAGCAGGTCGATCCCGATGGTGGCCGATAATGATCTCAGCACTTGTGTGTGAACGATTACGACTCACTCACCTGGACTTCTCGAAGTACTTCGTTTTGCAGCGTGCCCCGACGACCGTGTATATGGACACTTCGTTTTGTAACAACATTGTACGTTTCAAATGTATAAGTAACATAGTTTGAGTGGGGCGGCAATGACATCTCAACTTGGCAATTGGAAGCGATGAAGTGTTCTCTTCGCAACCAGATGTCTCACTTCCAAGCCACTTGACCGGTCAATTGGGCGTCGTCGTGAACCGCACATCATGTTTTGGGAATCACTACAGATGAACTGGCGAACGTTATATATTCAATACAAATCTAGAGGCCGCTGCCCGAGCGAGCTGCTGTCCGCTCTCACCACCCCGGCGCAAACAACAATGTGGCCATTCGACTGCTATCCCGAGGCAAAGCTCGATGATCTCTTCGAGCAGTATGACTATATTGTTGCCGGTGCGTGGCCGTCGTTGTCGAATGCAGCAAGATTGACAGCGCGACAGGTGGGGGCACCGCTGGCTGTGTGCTGGCCAATCGACTCAGCGCAGATACGTCCAACACCGTGCTGCTCATAGAGCGAGGACCACGGGCAGACTCCTGGGCAGCTCGTGTACCTCTGTTCTCGGCAGACTTCGCGTCGGATGGCTCGCGAACCCTCAAACGACCTAGTGAGATGCAGCCGAGCTCGGACGTCCGCTTCTCCTGTTCTCGGGTGGGGCTCTTGGCGGCACCTCCCGCATCAACCAGATGCTCTACTCGCGCGGCCTTCCTGCGGAGTACAATAGCTGGGCGGAGGATGGGAGAGAGGGCTGGGGATGGAAGGATATGGAGCCGTATTTCATCAAGTCGGAGCGGGCGCTGGACCTGAAGGGAGAGGGTATTCATGGAACGGATGGAGAGTGGAGGAACAGGAGCTTAGGTGACTTTCAATTCAAAGGCTTCAATGAGTACGTCATCCCAATCTATCGAGGCCGTCCTGGTCTGAGCAGGGTGCTACAGGGCGGTTGCAGCTTCAGAGGCAGTCGGTCTGCCGTATATCCCTGACATCAACTCGCCTACGCATCCACCGTTCGGCTGTGGTCGTCTGTACTTCACCATTGACGAAAAGTCGAAGCGAAGTTCGTCCTACCATGCCTTTCTCCCTACATCCCTCGCCCGCGCTCGCCGGAAGAACCTCCACATCTGCACGAACGCTCTTGTGGAGAAGGTAGACGTGGAGCGGCTCCCGGACGGTCGTTGCATTGCTAGGGGTGTCACGCTTCTTCGCAGGGAGGCCCGAACCCGGAGAAGAGGAAGCATGTCCGCGCAGCGCGAGAGATCGTGCTTTCGGCGGGTCCCTTTGGCAGCCCCCAGATTCTCATGCTGAGGTTCGTGCGGGATTCAGTCTTCTGTGCGCCTTGCTGAGGATCTCCATTAGTGGCATTGGTCCCTCGGAGCACCTCAAGGAGCATGGGATTGCCGTCGTCAAAGACCTCCCGGCCGTTGGTTCTAACCTCGTATGTAGCTACGTCATATCTACCGCTCTGATTACTCACGAGAAGGCCAATAGGAGGACCACTTCGGAGTGTCCGTGGGGTTCTTCATTCCAATGAAAGACTCGCTGCTTTCGTTACGCACGCAACCTTTGCGGTTCTTGATCGAGCTAATTAAGTATATCATCTGGGGCTCCGGTTGGCTGCTGGGGCCCGTGTTGCAGCTCGCTATCTTCGCGAATTCAAGGATGCTTGACGCCACGGGCAAGCCTACTCGTCTCGAAAATGCCTCGGAAGAGAAGCTGCCCGATATTGAGATTATGCCGGTAAGTAACAGCTCGTTTGCTAGCCCTGCATCGTACTCATGGTTCTCAGATGGCATACGCCAGTCATGACGAGCCTACCCCCATGGATCGTGGCATGTTCAGTTTCCTGAATGTCCTCTTGCATCCGAAGAGCAAAGGCACGCTCCGTTTGTCCTCGTCCGACCCGCGCGCCCCGCTCGTCATCGACCCCCGCTACCTCTCCAACCCCGACGACTACGTACCGCTGCGCGCATCGCTCAAGCTAAGCCTCCGCCTGCGCGACGAGATGCGCGCACGGGGTTACGGTCTAGAGGACTGGCTGCAGCCGCAGAGTGAGAGCGACACGGACCTGGACGACTACATCCGGCGGTACAACCGGACGACGTACCACTACTCGTCGACGTGCCGGATGGCGCCTAAGGACGACCTGGGGGGCGGAGGGGTCGTGGACGATGAGCTCAGGGTGTACGACATAGAGAATCTTCGCGTGGCCGACACGTCAATCTTGCCGCGGGTGCTGGGGACGCACTTGCAGGCGCCTGCTGTGGCGATCGGCGAGAAGTGCGCGGATATGATCCTAAGCAGTAAGCGACAATGAGCTTTGCGCCAAAACACTTTGCTTGTCATACAGTATGCTGCGGATCCCTACAGTCTGAAGGTTAAATAGGAATTTTGATTGCCCATCCTCCGGTCCGCCAGGTTCGTTGTAATCCGTCGATGTCAAGCACAAGCGACCAAGGTACGTCCATGTCACAAACTGTACATCTTTAGTCTACATAGTCGCAGGTTGAGTCCCTGTCCTCCGCAAGCCTACGGACATATGAGTACCGTGCGTAGGGTGGCGGGGGTGTACGATCGCTATGCCAATCGCCCATGGATACAGTGTCATACATAGGTCCTTCGTAACATGTCGAATCAACGCCAGGAGGTCCGCCAGCAAGGCGGACACCCCCGTCCTCCGTATGTCTGTGGATGCGTGGATTCGCCGGTGCCTCCGCTTGTACGGAGTATGTCCTTGAGGAACGCGTTTGTTCTTGCAAGTGGTCGCTATGCTGATTCGATGTGCTCTCGCCGTCTGTGATGACGAAAGACCGACGTGGTGCAGGAGCCCACTCTGGAGCCAATCCTGTCGGTGGCACCACGGGCCAGTTTGCAGCATTGAGCAGGGAGGTTAGGCTCGCGGGGCTCAGTGGCGATGGGAGGGGTTGTTCGGGAGTTGCCAGTGATGTTGAAGAGACTCTGGATCTACGTATTGTCCACGACCCCATAGTCGGTGTTGGGAGGAGTAGATCCCCCGTCGGAGGCATGGGAACTGCATATTGGGAGAACTGGGGAGTGTCGCAGGAAAGAGGGGAGAAGATGGAGGCGGGAAGAGACACTCTACTGTCAATCTTCATGCCCACGGCACTACTCGACATGCTACTTCTGAGTGATCTGTAGCGGTCGACAACAGGAATCCAGTGACTGGACGAGGTTGTGATTAGGCCGGCACCATCTGGCGTCGAGAGATAATGAGTCAAACAATCGCAATGCAGGATACTGAGTACCTCACCGGTCCCGTCACCATCTGTTTCTGGATAGGCCATCCGGCGACGAGCTCTCCTACGTGCCCAATACACCGCAAAGACGGCGAGGAGTACAGTGCCTAATACGACGCCAACGATGATTGCTATGTCCCTTTTCGCGTTACCCATCGCTGGCGTTCTGGGGGCAGCCGTAGTAGGGCGTGGACTCGACGGCACAATCACTGCACTAGAACTAGATACCGTAGTGGATAGCCGGCTGCTCGACTGCTCTGTGGTTTGAACATTCGGCGAGAGAATGTCCGATGATGATGAATTTATGCTAGAGAAGGATGAAGACGTGGCAGGGACTGTGGTAGGCGATGAAGTCGCACTCGACGACGACGATGACGAAGAAGACGGCGACAGTGCCAATGGTCGCGGACTCAACGGCAGGGGACCGAGTGAAGCGGCACCTGGACCCCCGCTGCTATGCACTGTAGTGGCAGCTGCAGTGGATGTGTTATGGGTGCTTGTAGGCGATAACATAGAATAGCTTGACGTGCCAGAAGGTGACACAGTTATCCGAGCCGTGGTGACGCTCGACAACGGATTTGTTGTTGCCCCTGCAGCATGCGTACCAGCAGTGGTCCACCAAGTGTCTGTCGTGGTGGAAGAGGTCCACCAAATGGTTGTCGTGGTGGAAGTGATCATCGTAACCATAGCTCGCTTCTGTACAAGCATAACATCCGCTCTTGTACGCGCTGTTAGTGATGAGGAGCCTTCAGGTGGCTGCAGGACCTGTCGAAAGGCGGCCGGTGCGGCTACACGATCTTGGCGGTGGTATGGTTGAGAAGATATGACGGACTTATCAAGGTGTGCAAGGGATGGGATGGAGTCCATGGAGGAACACGATATAACTCCTAGGACAGTGTAGCGTTTAGTGCGCCTTTCCAGCATGCAAAGAACAATGTCACCTGCAGGATGTTGTCGAATCCCCTCGTGGGTCGTCCCATAGAACCTCGTCGTATAGCAGCCCCCCTCGCTTTCCACCGTATCGTAATTGCGGTTCGCCTCGGGGTTTGGGGGAATGGTTTTTGCAACGCAGTTCTGCTTCAGCAGGGAGATGAGAAGAATGAAAAGAAAGGAAACGAGCATGACGCCCCAAGCACTAATAAATAATTGGGCAAGCCCTCGAGAACATGCAAATGAAGGAGTGAACAAGGGAGCGATGAGGGCGTTCGCGACGAATGACTGATGACTGTCGTGCCTATAGAGAGAACTGCCAGCCAGGGCACACGCTACTGTTGTGAACAAATGTTCGACGTACATCCAGGATGTGATTGCGGCACATCTTTGACAGTTAACTGGGCAATGCTGGGATATTCACGACAGCTGGGTTGACGATGGATGGTAACTCACCCTTGTGAAATCAGACATTGCTGAAGGATGTAGAACCGAAGTAGACCATTCGTCACAAGCACAAGCCGCATGCGAAGGGTGTGTTCACAGTATTGATGGCAAGTGGCATCCTGACCGCCTGCATCGTGGCCTGTGGACACTGCACAGTGGCACCCGAACAAGAAATCATCAACAAGGACAGCCATGGAGGACGCATCCAGGGACGACCCTACCCCTTGACAACATCTAAAACCGCATCCGTCGTGAGCACTCCTCTGAAAAGAAAAGGGTCAGACCACTGTCGATCACGTTCTGTGGTCATGCATATCCGGTGGACCAGGATCATGATGGCGCAGAGGAGTGGATTGTGGCACCGGTCGATTATACAGACATGCACCCACCCACCTAGCAGCAGCGTCCGAATCAGATATGTACAGCGAAATGGCGCATTTTGACCTTCCCTCGCCATCTCGGCGATGTGATGTCGTGATACAGAGGAGCACACAGCTCGAGGTCTGAACGACTCTAGACCGTAGCAAGCCCATGACGGGTGCGAACGCACATCCGCAACTTCCCCGTCCCATGGATACAAAACAAGAAGCACGGTTCGGATTGTCCGCGAAGTATTCGTGAGTCCGGATAGAAGTATCCAATGACGAGAATAGAACGTGGGCGGCAGTCTGGACTGTCAGATGAACCAACCTGAAAGCCCAGTAGAAACATGGAGAGCGATGTCGATACCGGGCGCATCCAACACTCAACACGCCCTATGCGTCTACGGGATATATGGTCGCCGAAGGTCTCAGGCCTGCTGAACTTTACTATACGGCGGCGGGAGCAAGTAGGCATCGCCAAACTCCTGTCGGGCAGAATCCGTCGCCGACCATGACATACGATAGCCATTAGGACGCGCCCAGTGGGAGTCGGCTTGGGTGTGCAGCGAAGGAGAGGTGCGTTGTACAGTGCCCTGTTCGGGGGACCAGCCATGCGTGAGAGGGTCCTATAGGGGACGATGGCGCAGGCAGTTTAACAGGCGGTCCAGTCAGCCGTTCCGGAGACGAGATATGATGAATGAGCCGTGAACTCGGGTCCGCCGGGAGAGGCCGTACTGCCTGAGGCATCGGAACGACACGATCAGACGGAGCATCAGAAGACTGGTGCTGAGGCGGTGGAGATAATGGTTATGTGTCCAAAGAGAGCGAGGAGATCCTCTGGCTGGGTCAGGTACCGGTGGACTGTCCTGCGAGATGCAAACTGAGCTGGCAAGGACTGATGACGGAACAATTGTACCGAGTTCATCCATGACCTGCGGGCAGCCCACATAATCGTCCTGCGACGGCGTAGTCCTTAAGACTGGAAACTCCTGGTGCATGAGGACCGACCCCCTGCGTCAAGGAATACCGATCGTCTTCGGCAGGGACTATGCTTTTTGTGCCCGAGCGCGCCGGAGCTGCTCAACCGGGAGTGTAAACTATATCGTTCTTCGATGCTAGGACCGTGCAACAAGGCTGAGGGCTCGACCGTATTCCCAATCGTGAGCTGGAGAATGCGGCATAGAAGCGCAAAGCTTCGTGGGTAGAAGCTCACTATCGAGGGCCCCGCGGGAAACAATGAGCCAGGGAACATCATACATTAGTGGGTGGCGAATCTGACTCACTGAGACGTGTGCCACGGATCATCGCCAGGTGCCTTCGCCGTATCCAGTACATCGCGCATGCGAACAGAATTAATAGAGTGGCCATGACAGCCGTAACCTGAGTGATTCACTCGCATTGTGCGCTCGACTAGCATCGGCGGGCGCTCCAGCGGAGGTTACGACAGTAGTCGTTTCCACTCGCGCGATGAGACTAGATATTTTGGCTGGAAGGTCGTGGACGTTCCCGTCAAGCTGGTCGATGGATAGATGATGGGTATCATAAAGGTCGAGGTCAGCGTGTCGATGGAAACCAATGGGGCAGGGGACCCCGAGCTCCATGATGTAGAAGTTGGCATGAAGGAAGACGGTGTAGACGGAGTAGATGACGGGTTCACTGAGTCGATGGAAGGTGAGGAGCCCGTCGACGAAGAGCTTCCTAAGACATGTGTCTGAGACTTGTCCAGCGTCGCCGTGGACGAGGAAGATGATCGGTGGAGGGACACTGATTGATCTACGCATTCTCATCATGAGTAGCAACCCATGTAAATCATTGAACTTGACCTGACCATACGCGTCGATAGATTTCCGCTTGTGGAGCTCTCCCTCTGCGCCATTGCGTACATGGGTAGTGGCCTCGGAGAGCGGGTTGTCAAGGTTCGCGCTGGTAATGGTGTCTGTCTCTTGGGGAACAGAGTGGATCGTTGATATGTAGTGAATCTGCAAGACGTCACAATATATTCATAGCGATTGGGCGAGACTAGAGGATTCACCTGGGTCGGCCATGCTATGGACTCTGAAAATGAGGCGGTGGCTTCAAGTCAGATCTATGGCTCGGGGCGCTAGACTGTATCAACATTAGTGGTCGTTATAGAGATCACTCGACCACGGTCACTCACCACGACATATCCCAGATCTGGCCTTCGAATTGTTGAACAACGACGCAACATCAGATCGGTGGCTCGGTGTCCAACCGTGACTCTGTGCATGTCAATATGCGTGCCGTAGTGTCTTCATTTAGTACGAAAGAAACGGAGCAATGAAAGAGTCATGTCCAGTTCATGCGTTGCGTTTGCAAAGAAGTATGATATCCAACAAGAGGAAATCTGCCTCCCAGATGGTGGCCGCCTGAGAGCGACGCAGTCGACTCGGTCGTCGGAGTCTTGGGCAGATTCACGTCACCATTGTGCAGTTCTTGTCGAAGTCCATAGCCTCGGAAAGAACACCGTAGCTATGGTGGTTTAGTCGGCAGTAGAGGGCAAACTTGCGGATTGAAGCTATGGAGTAGACTGCCTACGCAGTTGATCATGGTGGTTTGGAAGTGACATCCTTGCGTAGCAGCCACTGACGGGCGTTCTGATCGGAGGATGCCGAGAGTTCGCCGGTTCGAGGAATACACTTTTCCACAAATATTGCAACTACAGTAAATACTGAGGCCCCAGTGAGTGAGTCTCGGAGTACCGGACTGATGACAGCATAGTAGTATATAAAGGAGTGACATCTCGTTTGTAGCGAGTCTTCTGAAGCATTCAGTACACGGCAGTACTAGTAGTAGTAGCCTGCAACATGTCCAAAACGAGCGTGAAACTGGTACTTGAAATCGTCAGGGATAGGATAAATTAGCACTCGGAACCTGAAGCTTGAAGCTGAAGCACAACCAAGCATCCATCCTTCGGTCGTTACAAAGGTCATTGCACTGCGCAACACGCATTGTTATCATACATTTCCATCGCATAACATCCACATCGTTTGCCATTTCTATCCCGCACAGCTCGCGCGGACGCTAAATGGCATTGTAGAACACAGCTCCAGGTCCGGGTTCGAGCGATTGTACTGACTCGTGGGAAGTAACGCCCCGCAACTTGCTGGCACTTGCGCGCCAGTGGGCCGGATGCATGACTGGCCACTGCAGGCAAGACTGCGTAGGCGACTCGGACATCCATGCCAGAGGAAGCCGTTGGACTTCCGCAGCATAGCCCGTCGCGTCGAACCCGTGAGTTGCGCCAGGTGCAAGTGCCTCGTTGGATGGCTTCAATTCAGGCTGCCAAGGACGAATGGGCTCTATGTCCTGGCGAGACACATGAATTGGCGTCGTATCGCGTGGGGCGACGGGCATCGGCTGCTCAGGGAAGGCGACATGGGCAGTCCACGGCCTTTTCAGGTCGCGGAACGGATTGGTCGACGCAGGCCTCGGGATCGGGACTGTCGTATGTGCGTCCAGGCCGTCATACGCCACGGCGTACTCGAGATTCGCAGCTGCGCTCTTCCTGTTCGGTTGACGGAACGGGTTGTTGGACGCCCTCCGCTGAGCCAGCGGCACGAAAGGCGTGTTCTGCCCCGCGTACTCCGCGTACGCACTCTGCTCGGGCCAATGCAGCGTCGCGGGGCTCGGCGACAGGCGCGCCGGTGGGACGGGCGAGATAGTGGAGAACCTGTTTCCAGCGAGGACGGCGGCCGTCGCGCTGCCGCTCATGTCCCATGCGGCCCCGTCGCTATAATTGCTGAGACGGGAGGGGAAATTGTCTTGCCGAACTGTGAGCCCTGCGTGGCCAATTGTCGCGAAGTAGTCCGGGTATGCAGTGTCCGGATCTGGGGCGTATGATGTGCAGCGATGACCTTCGAGAGGTCGGGAATTGAGTCGCGGTCGCCGGCGCACATGATGGTTGGCGACGTGAGGTCGGCGTGCGACTGACCTGCGGTGGGATTCGACACCACGGACTCTCTGGACGTAAAATCGTCGTCTGTTTGGATAAGTCAGGAGATGCTCTCTGGTGGTTTCGAAGGACGCGAAGTGGCCTCACCGAGGGACCCCGAATGCTCCATTAAGCTGTGACGTCGTCTCCGCAGCCACCAGACCGCAATAGTGAAGAGGAGGAGAGCGAGTGCCGCCGCTAGGACAGCGATGATGGTGATCAACTTTTTGTTGACGGTGCGGGTCGCGTGAAAGCTGGTCCTGCTGCTGTTGAGCGCGAGGGTTGAAGACTGGTCTCGGAGGGAACAGGTGTCTTGCTCAGAGTGATCGTGGGATGCATGAAAGTGCTGCTCGATGTTTGGAAGGAATCTGAAATATTCTCTGCAGGAGCGGGCGTGAAAACATGAGCATGAGAGCCGATGTAGAGCTGCTGCCGTTGGCTGTTGATCTGTGTACAGTCGACGAGCTCGACTTTTGCATGCTGCCTCTCGATGTCGTTGTAGCATCTGCTCCTTCGGAAGCAAAACCTGATGAGACACAGAGAACAGTGTGGATGTATCCTGCACAGGTGTCGCACCGCCAGTGGAGCAGACGAAGTGACTGTAGGTGGTGATGTCGCCAAGGATTCCGTGCTGATCGATGAGGTAGTATTGGGGTTGGAGGGTGTTGTAGCTGTCTGCGAAAGAGAGATTGGAAACCTGTAGTAGAGGTCGGAGAAATGTTCGTAGAGGCTGGGTCGCCTCAGTGCATCCATCAACTCCGGCCTCGACATGAAGTTACAAAACGAGCCACATACCATCGTCGACCATATCCGACAGCGCCATACGGGGACCTGTACCGTCCACACTTGCGACGATGGACCGGGACATAGTCGTGACGTCGCACCTCCACTGAGAACGGACTACTGACAGGGATGTGCTATCCAAGCGCTCGACGCGCCAGTATACGTAGGTGCTGCAGACCTGGACAGGACCCTGGTCGGCACCAGAAATCTCGTCGTCGCAGATACGGAATAATAGACGTGCAAGTGCAAAGAACGCGAGCGGTATGGGCAGCATGTTGACGTGTTTCCGGGTTCTGGGAGGGAATATACGAGCTGAAAGCGGGAAAGTTGAAGCCTACAACCTAGACGCGATTTCGTGCGAAGGTGACAGAGAACAAAACAATCAAACCCGTCAGCTGAGAAAGCTCAAGTAGGACACAGAGACGGGGGCAGCCCACGGTCCTGACAAGGAGTGTACGAGGCGCTGGAGGAAGAATCCAAGGGCCCGGGGGCATGCGCAGGACGCCCAACTCTGCGAAGGATATACCCTAACAGACGAAGCACGTACAGCCGCGCCGTACTATAATGATACATCGCTCCGAAGCGGATGTACGCCTGATGTGCGGCGTGCGCGTGGCCCAATGGCACATAGATGCGATCGTTGCATTCATTCCAAGGGCTGTGGTGCGTCACGGTTGACAGATACAGGTGGAAGAGGATGTGTGTCGGAGGCCGTCTCGGAATAGATCGGTATCGTTGACCAGTGTCCTCGGCGGGTCCCACGGAGGTACCGTTGCATCGCGAGCACGAAGACGTGTGCCTACATCCAGAACGTCATCCAGCAGCTCCGCGCACATATCAAAGTGAATCACCGAGGAGCCTCACAGAACATCCCACGAGACTCAATCGACTCTACACGCCGAATCGAGACGTCAGACAGGCAACATCATCATAGCAGGAGTGCCTGGAAGGTTCGTTATCATCACAAGCTGACAGCGGACCCCAACCTTGACTCGAACGAGCCTTCGAGGCGTCAGGAAGCACGTCCAGCCTGGTTACCATCTTGACTAGAGCATGCAACAGATAACTCTGAACGCTTCTCTGTTGAAGAGACGCAAAACGTGGAGGGATTGAAGGCGTCTCACAGGAAAAGAAGGCTGAAGTCGAGTGTGCCCGCTGTGCGAGGTGAACGGAGGGCGGACGACGAGGTGTTCGCATCGCCGACGGCGATGATGGTGTACAGTGCAAAGAGAAGGTCCGGCGCTGGGCGCAACCGCCAAGTTCATTACGCTACCTGCCTTACATGGCAACTGTCGTAGAATCTTCGATGGTAGTACGGCCGTTGTGTGCACAGCCGAAATTTCGTATACGATACAAAGCTATATGACAGAAGCCTGCTGGAGTACTGTTGGAGATATAGGAGTGAATGTACTTAAGCCCAATCAGTTGGGAAAGACGCGACGTTGCCTCTAGCAGTCTCATGCACCGGGGCACGTACTGCACTGACACTGCGGAGTCAACAGCACGCATGAGCGGCGGTATTCAGCATCCAGGTTCAGAGCAAGAGGCATGTCATTGCACAACACTATACATTGCTTATTTTCCACTTCACGTCGCCACATCGTACACTTCTTCCTTCTCCCCTCGCGACAAAAGCATTCGCCCACAACTAGGTACAGCATTTAGAGCTTGGAGCTGCCATGGCCTCGAGGTAGCGCTTCTCGGCCTCGTCGAAGTTGATCACGTTCCAGATGGCGTTGAGGTAGTCGACTTGACGTTGAGGTACTGGAGGTAGAACGCGTGCTCCCAGATGTCGACGCCGATGACGGGCACGAGCGAGAGCAGCGGGTCCTGGTTGGAGGTCGTGGCAAGCTCGAGGCGCTTGTTCGTGGGTTCACGCCTGCGATGGAAGGCAGTCAGTACCGAGCTTGCGGTTGACGAGAGGGAGTGCCAGAGGATGGACGAATCTGCGCGACTGGTCCGATTCTGCATGATCCGCTGGTTGGATACAAGCTTCGTAATCCGGAGCGTTCCGTCTACTTCACGGAGTGCCCAGACATGGCACCGCGAGTCATCCAGGCTTCTGTGCGCCATTTGGTGCATCCAGGACAATCCAGGAGAAGCCGAAACAGGCAACGGATCTCCCTGTCGCGTAGCCAGAGAATCGAGGCCTTCCGCAGACATGAGGCGGAAACTACAGCTCAACATGCCGATCAGGACCACCGTCCATTCATCGCTCGCACTGCCAAGACCCGCATTCAGGAGATAAGACACTCACGAGCCAGCCCCACCGGAGCCCTGGATGCCGGCGGTCGCGGTGTTGAACTCCTTCTTGAACTGGTCGAAGGTACCGAAGCTCTCGAGGATGGCAGTCTTGAGGGGCCGTCCTTGAGGACGCCGCCGTTGCCCTTGCCCCGGAGCGGAGGGCGCGAGTTCTTCCAGAAGAGCGAGTGGTTGATGTGTCCTGGGCACCGTTATCTCTCACCACAGGGCGTCCCGGGAATGACTGCGATCGCCGACTTACCACCACCGTTGAACTTGAGCGCGCCTGGGGCGATGCGCTCCTTGGGCGAGGAGGTCTTCGCGTATGCCTGCTCAGCAGCGTTGAGGGCGGTCACGTAGGTCTGATGGTGCTTCTTGTGGTGAAGCTCCATGATCTGCGGGAGATGAAGGGCTCGAGCGCGTCGTACGCGTACGGGAGATCGGGGAGCTGGTGCTGGCCGGACATCGTGTATGTAGTGCTTTCGGGGGTGGTGGTGGTGGTGGTGGAAGTGGTGGTGGGTGAGTCCGAGCAAGAACTGGGCTGCAGCGAAGGTATTTATGACGCCTTATCGGGCTGCTGATCAAGGACACCCACCAGTGACGTTATCTCCCCCCACGTGATCGGCCGCCACTGCGGTAGCTAGCCAGGCCGCCCCGACGCGTCTTGTCACTGCCCGCCATCGTCTCCCCGCAGTCGCGCACGACGACGACGACGCCCCGTTCTCTCTGTCCGTGTCCGTCTCGTCCTACTGCTCGTTCTATGCGGCTACCGTCTAGCGCAGCAGTCCATGTGAATGCGCTGACTGACCAACGCCATCGATTGCAACATCTGACGCATGGATCTTGCGTAGACCCGGAGGCCCGGCCTTCGCGAAACCTCCACCGTGGCCCCTCCAAACCCGAAGAGACGTGCACATTGCGTGCATATATGCGTCAGTTACGACGTTCTCGATGATATCTGTACCCTTTGGTCATATCTTACGTGGGTGCGTCGCCGACTCGCAGACCGTGTTCTCCATGATTTTATGCTCGTCATCTTGTACGGCCGCAACGACGACCAGTTTTCGGTGTACTCGTACCAGGTTGGATGCTGCTTCGACGGCTGGTCGTACGGCTTCAGAACCTATCCTTCGTTTTCGCCCTTCTCACCGAGAGCCTTCTGTCCTGCGAATCTACTCACCACCTGGTTGAAGGGGCGTATATATGCGGCGATTTTCTCGACAATCACCACTGCGTTCCAGTCCCTCATCGTAACGGTGCCAATAACACTGAGAATAGTGGACTAGATGTAGTCGAATTAATCCAGGCTCTCACGGGTGGATTACATGCAACAGCCACTCAGCTCTATTCCAGTCATAGGAAAGCGGTCGTCGAACGGATCGATGTGTGTCGGTAAACGCGAATCGCCATTCACTGCATTGCGAACAATCTGGAGCACTTACCTCAAGTGAGCAACCTCGATTTAGGTGTAGTTGCAGGTGAGCTCATGCTACGGTATCTTTGTTAAAATTTCGATTGAAAGCATTTACTCTAGCTCCCCGCGTGTGTAAATGGCGCATCACAACCCGGGACACGTACCCTACAATCTCCAAACCTATGTCGACCGGATTCCTTCGAATATATCATGCAAACGGTGATTCTGCGTTAATCAATTCGAGAGTCGGAAAAGTCACACGGAAATGTGAGGATATCACCGTCGTCTTGGCCAGTGGACCGTAGTTGACCGAGACATGTGCACGCACACGATCATTCGGGAATTATCGTCTTGTCAGAACTACTGCTCTGCATCTTCCGCGATGCACACCAGTTTATGTTCTTCCCAGAATTTGCTAGTGTTGATATGTCGGTGCTGAGCGCTGATATATCGAAGGTGTTCCATCCCGAAGCTCGGTACATGAGATCGGAACGGGCAGCATAAAGATCGCTTGCGCTGTTTCTCTGGAGCTCATCATGACCGCAACGGAATTCCTATCTGACTGTCAAGTTCATCTAGTCTGGATGGCAGTTGTTACCCCATTTCAGGTAAATGTGCCTAGCTATCTATCTACGGATGCTGATATATTCTGGAGCATCTCTGCGAAGCATCTCTCTGCCACACCTGTTCGCTGCCGACGCTCAGCATACGCTGCATGGCTGGTGGTCAGTATAAGTTTCAACGGTATCTCGAGGTGTATGTGTTGGCAGCGTGCCGCCGCACTCCCTCTTGCACCCCTATACCCCCAAACGCACGCTTTCACTCCTTACTCGTTCCTTTCCCACTCTCCGGCCGATCTTCTCGCGTAGGGCGGGCAGAACGACTTGCCAAATCGCTGCCGGGATGTTCTTGTTATTTATGCGGCGCGCTTTGGTGGGGGCATCTCTGGTGATGATGACATTGCCCATCGTTTCCGCGCAGGATAGCACTGTCCTTCACAGGGCAGACACGATGACGGCGTTGACGACGCCGCCTTCGAGCATGGTCACGTCGAATCCTCGTCCCTCTGCTACACTCAATGATGGTACGTGGTTCCAGATCTGTGAAGTGTCATGTATCAGCAGCTTACAGCAGCTCAGGTTCGAGCGTTTCAATTTCCTGTCTTTCGCAGTCTGACGGCGACGACTGTATCGTCGTTGCTGGGGGCGAAACCGAGACGATGGCCGAGGATTCGCGTTTGGGGCCTGCGCACACGATGTCCCTCACATCTTCCTCGACACTGGCAGCTTCCAATCAAAGCTCTAATTTCGCACCCATGGACTCGACATTCCCATTTTCTGGTCCTACTTGGTCGATCCTATCAACGACTGTATCGCAGACCTCCCCAGCTACGCCGGAGACTACAGAAATCGGACTTTCTATGATATCTGATCCTTCAATGGGTCCGCATCCGACATCATCATCCGACGCTGCGTCAGTTCCTTCTCTGTACAGCAGTCTCGTCGCGAGCACCACTATGCCCACAAGAACCGGAACCGATGCTTCCTTTGTCACGAGCGTGGGACCACATGAAACCGAAGCGCTAACCCCCGCGCCCACGAAGTCTCGTCCTCAAACCTGGCTCATCGTCCTCAGTATCGGGTGCGCCGTGGTGACCCTCGCGTTGGTCGCCCTCGTCGTGCGTTGTCTGTGGCGGCGGCGTGCCAGGAGCCTAGTAGACGGCTCTGTGATGCCTCTCGGTGAGTCAGTCACCCTTGTGAGTGCTGGCCGACTGTATTGATACCGCTATTTTCAGATGCAGACGGTGATGTAGACGAGAAACCTTGCCTCTCCGCGAGACAACTCGCGATGTCCATGTCCAGCCTGGCGGATGCGAAGCACCGGTTGCGGACGCCTAGCATCATCTGCGCTGGGGACCGCGGGTCCGTCATCGATATCCTGCCTCCCGAGAGGCTGCTCTTGTCAGAGAATGATACAAAGATCGCCGGTACGACGGGCATGCAGTACTGGATGCTGTCGAACGGAGTTAACGGTCGACTGAGCATCGATCCCGCCGCTCACACGCTTCTTGATCCCCCCGCGGTCGCTGACGCCGCATACAGAGACACGCTCTCTAGAAGGCTGTCAACAACTGCCTCTGGCCAGCTCTCGCTAGATCATGTCGAAGTCGTTGACCCCAGTGCTGGGGTTCTTCTACCCTCCATTCAACCTCCGGGAGAGTGGTCCTGCTTACACCACAACCTCGCACCTCTTCCTGATCATCTATCCCAACAAGGACGCAGGCCTGTGCTGTCCGCACTAACGCCATCCGCTGCGGGAGTGCGCCCTGCGAGACCGTTACCTCCAACCCCAACCCCAACTCTCCCATTTACGCACGTATCTCAGCCATTACCAGTCGTCTTTCCTGCTCATCAGTACAACAACCACTTTCCACCAGAGCTGGGTACGCACATTTCGAGTGCCCAGCAGCCGAGCGGACCCAGTCCCACGCAGTGGGCTATGATTCATCATGGCGCGTTTGTCGCTACGTTTCCAGGTCGAACACCTCGCCGACGAGCAGAGGATGGCGGAGTCCGCTTAGCGGGTGGTTTACCGCGCTGGCAACGTGGGCAAGGAGGGGCGCAGGGCGAGGAGTCCAACGCACGCGGCTCGTCAGGCTCTGCTGGTGGATATAGCGACGAGACCCTCCCGCCGGAATATGGTGCATACTGAAGCAGGCAGCTCCGGCCCGGGTGCAGTGGAATGATGATGATGACGGCGGTAACAGAGATTCAGACACTGGATGTACCGCAAGTGCGCCTCCTGATCCCTGCTCTGCAGCTACGTCCGCCATTGTATCTATATGGACAAACGCTCTACGAACATGTTTAAGGTATCCATGCCGTCGGGGCGTTGCTTTTGCAACGGTTGACGAGAAAGCCCCTTCGCCCTTGCTCAACTCGTCCTCAAATCCTTTGGCTGCCGTGATTCATAACCCCATGGACATAGGTCTGAATGATTCTCTGAATGATGGACGTTGATGTTCTCTCGTACTAGGGAGCCAGTGCGGTTCATCAGCTGAGGACATCTCGAAGAATCGATGCCGCAAATTGTTCCCCATGTCCGTGGGACGGCCTACTTCAAGTGAAACTGTGCATAGGGGATTGCTTTCTCCCTTTTCACCCCAGTCGTGAATGATCAGTCGCTCCTTGTCCTGTGCGTTCTTTCGATTTGTCGCTCCTTCCGTTTTATTTCTTTCATGGTATTGGGCATAATGACCATCCCGTGGGTTGCCCTTTGGCTCTTTATGCTCTCCATTGGCGGAAGCGCTGCTCAGAAGGAGGCTGCAAGACTGACCGAGGCGACTGCGCTGAACATGCCAACATCGGCGGGGGCTGATCGCGTCCTGGCAAGAGGTACGACAATTATCCATGTTACTTTTGGGATGGGAATATTGAGGCATATACGGCTACACACAGTGACCTCAACGTGCCTTGACCCAATTGATTGGTGGCACTGCGAAGTGTGGGGGAATGGTGGGACAACCACGACAAGCACCACTGAGGCGCCAACAACCTCTACCACGACGAGTCCGCCGTCGACGACCACCCCGATTACGACGAGCCCGCCACCGACTACTACCCCAACCACGACAAGCCCGTCGCCGACGACGACGAGCCAAGAGGAAACCTCAACAAGTCTCTCTCCTACATTCATGTCCTCTCCGACTGCAACTGAGACATCATTGACAGGCAATTCGAACGCGTCTCACCAAACGTCGTCCGCAGGGGCGCAATCAAGCTCCGAGTCGTCGGACATATCGTCTGGGATTTCGACGCCTACTGCGTCACAGCCATCGCAGAGTGCAAGTTCAGAGACCAGTACCTCGAGTATCGGCGGGTTGTCATTGAGCAAAGCAACCAGCGCTTCGAAGGGCCCAAGCTCCGCCACCGTATCATCAACGTCGACAGTCGCTACCTCCGTCGGTGCTGCTGCTCCGTCTGTTGCAGCTGCATCGACTGTCGCTCGCGGATCCAAGAGCAAGTGGATCATCATAGCCGTTGTAGTGCTTCTGCTGCTTCTCGGCATCCTGACAGTATGGTGGATGCGAAGGAAACACAGGGCCGACGGGGGTGAAAGCACGAGCTCTTTCGGTGAGTTTGCCGTTGCAGATCGATAGATATGCCTCTAACCAGTAATTTTGCGCGGTATGACGAAGATGCCGGCCGCGCTAGCACCAATTTGAGTCAATATGGCAACCGCGAACTCTCGATGACTCCCTATGTTTCTCGTACGGGATCTCTCGTGGAAACCCTGGTCGACGCGACGTCCGATGTCGATACTCATATGTCAGAAGGCATGCCATGTCCAGAGGGCTCGCAGGACGCCATTCTAATACCGGGCAGCTTATCACATCGATTCCGTAGTGTCTTCGGAACGACACACCGCACAAACCCTCCATCACGACCTGCGTCGGCATGGGCAGAAGTTGCCTCAGTGACAGCGTCACTGGTGGATAGCCCGGTATCGCGAAGCCCACTATCGCGCCCGCTCGATGCAAATGCTTTGACCTCGGAGAATACGATGCCCAATTCTCCGTCATCCCCCGTGCGATACGCGGACCTACACTCATTAACCCTTTCCGGGGTTGCTCAACCTACGGATCCCTCCCCTGCTTGGTCACCTATCTCGCCATCGTCAGGGAACCGTGGCTCTGGCGTATGGCATCCGATATCCTTTGTTCATACTCCCACTGCGCTAGCTGGCGCGCAGGAGCACCTTCCCGAGAAGCAGGACTTCGAGGCTGCAGAGCCGCACACTCCCGCTCAGTCTCCCACAATACAGATGCCGCCGATTGCTTTCGACGCCAATCTTCTCTCCTCGGTGGCTCGGCATTCGCTCCGGCGGGCGGAAGACGGTGGCATCAGTTTATCTGGTGGGCCACCCCGTTTGCCAAACACTCATTCGGCAGATTCACCTTCCATCTTGGGCTCTCTTGGCGGAGGAAGTTATCAGACGCTTCCTCCTGCATATGGGGCGTATTGACTCAACAGGCGTCAGACGAGCTGCTCCAGTGGTACGTCGCTCGCCCACTGGCGAATACTCTCTGCGCTATCTCGACTCGTCTGCATGATTTGTACAATGGATCTATAAAGTAATGTATACTTCGCTAGGGCCCTGGGTGTTTAGGATCTCGTTCTCAGAATCCGGAATGATTAGGTGCGCCCACTTTGACCGCGATCGATATTGGGTCGATCTCATGACAGTGGCACGAAGAAACGACTAACCGTATTATCCTGACAGCTGCGTGCCCAGTGACAGACGCCCTGGGTCGCTTCAAGTTCTGCGTGAGTCTTCTGTCGTTCATCATCTGCTCGAACCTCATATCATACCAGAGGGCGGAAGGTGATAATATCAGCCTGGCTGGCAGTGTATTACCCCGTACTATGTGACAGAAGCGTTTGCCATTCGAATATATCGATGTGTCAGAGTGGTTGGACGCAGTGCTCAGGCCTCAGGCTTCGGCGCGCTCAGCGTTGAACGTGAACGTTGAACTTCCACGCTGCAATACTTACGGTGAGCATGCGAATGCCGCGAACGCTAGGGTAGTCGATATCGATGTAGGCAGTGATAGTTGACGAATACACCTGTTTGGCAATCGAGGGCCAGCCACCAGCTGTATCAGGCACGCCATCTTGGCCCATTGGACTGAAGAGTTGTTTCCATGTATATTCCGCACAGCCACACGGCGTTGTGGTCTTGCGGTGGGCGTCTGCTTCGGTGCCAGTACGACAATACTAACTGCCAGTACTCATTGAAACCTAGACTGCAAAACGTTCCTGACCTGGAAGTGCAGGGAAGAAACAGTAGGCAAAAAGCATCCGTACGCTTCACTGTGATTCTGCTTGCCTTCGAAAGTAGAATGTGTGCCGAGTATGCGGCCGTACCTGCCAGTGTCGTCTTCAGGCGCGGCGTAGTACCCAATAGTCATGGAACTGCGTCTGGACCCATGAAGTATGGGCGCATATTACTGATGCGGCTCACGGCCGTATGTCTAGCTGGTATGGAACCATGCCTTCCATTGCGACTCAGTACGTGTACTGTCTTCAACAGACCCTGCAATTACGAGCGGTCAATATAAACACGCTGAAGACAGTGGTGACACGGAAGTACGTATGCCAGCATGTTCCATACGCTCAATTGATGTCAATGTTTCATAGATGGACATGCACTCCGAGGTGCTCTCGTGTGGTCTTTGCGGGCGTAGTTTAGCGAGGTACGGGCCTTGTGCGCTGGTATATCAATGTCAGGCCTGGCTGCTAAGTACATAAGGCCTCCCGTTCCGACGTGGAGTGATCAACCTGAACCCATACTCACCTCCTCTTTGCTCACTACGGTAACAGGGGACTTGCTGGACATGTCGATTTACACAGACCAGGCTCGTATCGGTGAGATGACAGGGCTGGTGGCGAAATTCACCTCCGACTTCCCCGAATGCCCCTTGCAGTTTCGGCAGATACCATCTCGAGTACCGGGCTCCATCGTTCTTGTCACCGGTACAACCGGGTCGCTTGGATGCCACCTCCTGGAAACCCTCGTACACTCGCCTTTGATCGGGCGAGTATACGCGCTCAACAGACCAGACCGTAAAGGGCGACCATTGCGAGACAGGCAGGTGGAAGCACTCCGGGAGCGCGGCATCGTAGAGAGCGTAGTCGACGCGGAGAAGGTCATCCTCCTTGAGGGTGAACTGATGAATCCACATTGGGGACTCACCGAGGATTTGTACAACGAGGTGCGTGCATGTCTGATGCCCTTTGTCAGCCAGCAGCTGAGCGAACGCAGATCCACAACTCGGTGACACACGTTCTTCACAATGGTTAGTATACCTTACCTTCTCGTACTCACAGTTCTCGACAATGACATCCTCCACAGCATGGCGCGTCGACTTGTCTCTCCGCTATCTGCCTTCGAGCCCAACATCTCCGGTCTGCGCACGTTAATCGACTTCTGCCTGACGTCGACAGTCTCGACCATGCCTCGACTTGTCTTCACAAGTAGCCTGACAGATGCTACGAGTATGTCCCGCTTTCTCCTCCTAGACCAAGTAGCCTAATCACGATAATCTCTCACTGCAGAGGCTCCACATGGCCAGCAGGTCCTTGAGGACCCAATACCCCCTGAGTGGTCCGTCGGGATGGGCTATTCCGAAGCCAAATGGGTCTGCGAGGAGATCCTGTTTGCCGCATGTCGATCGACACCGCTGGACGCCCTTGTAGTCCGCGTCGGTCAAATTACGGGAGGGAAGGCAGGCGCTTGGGCGACCACGGACTGGTTCTCGTGCATGGTGCAAAGCGCGAGCAAAGACGGTGTAGGCTGCTTCCCAGACGACCCAAGGGTATGTCTCCTTGGGTTACCGTATATAATCAGTATGTGTGCTGACAGTGACGGGTTGCAGTTGATGGACTGGTTCCCCTTTGAGCTCGCATCATCTGCGCTTCTCGACTTCCTCCACACTCCCCCTGCATACCTCTCCAACGTTGCTCCTTCGCGCGTCGTACATCTCGTCCACCCGCACCCAGTGACGTGGAGCGACATCGCGGCGGAGGTCGTGCGCGCGGTCGGCGGGCGGCTTGTGCCCTTCGACGACTGGCTTCGCGCGATAGAAGCTGCAGCTATTCTGGCGAAGTCGCAGCCGCCGTCCACCAACGGGAGCAAGAAGCCCCGCCGCATGCGTGCGATCTCTCTGATTCCGTTCTTCCGTACGCTGCATATTAACATGCGCGACGGCGCGCGGGCGATGGGGTTCCCGGCGTGGGACGGCCCGCGTGGCGTCGCTGCGTCCCCCACACTGTCGGATCCCGACGTCGCGCAGTTGGGAGCGGAGGATGTGCGACGGTGGGTGAGCTACTGGAAGAAAGTCGGATTCATCCGCGAGGACGAGCACGAGAGTCCGGTACAGGCACGGCTGTAACCTGTAGGGAAGGTGTCGCAAGTGAGGCCAGATCACATTTTCGTTGCGATACTTAGCAATCTGTAATCCTGTATTGTTCATGGATGGTGTAGATCAGTTCGCTCTCCACTGACGAGAGCAACAATACTTGTTCGATACAGGAGATTCGGCACGAGCAGCTGCGCAACGCTGAAGCAGAAGCCCGCATCAGGAAGTGACCTCAACTGATCTACGGCCGTGAAGTCGATCCTCTGCACTTAAATCATCCTCCGCTCAGCGTATGATCACCTGCCTCGCCCTCCAAGAGTTGCGCACCGCGACTAGAGCGACACCTCAGCCTCCACAGTCGAAAGCTCCCACGCAAGCCCTCGGGACTGCGCGACATCCACCCACGGCTCCGTCGCGTTTGACCGCGCGCGTTGGTACACGACCCTCACGCTCTCACCGCTCTTCGCCCCGGCTACCGTCACTATTGAACCCTCTACGCTTACCGCGCTTCCATCCGCCGCCTCCGCCCAGACACGGTTCTGCGGGCTTGCCAAGTCGAATGGCGCCCCACTCCCGGCATGCACGCTGACATTCCACCTGGATGTCCCGTTGCCCGGGTCCGCGAGCGGTGAGGCCTTGATGGAGAATGGCGCGACGCCACTTGGGAGGCGGAGGTCGCCTGCGTCCGCACCGAACCCAATGTAGAGCGAGTCAGGCTCGACAAAGAGCCGGGAGGTGTAGAGGTACCGGTCTGCGGAAGAATTGGGCCGCGCATGGTGCGGGTAGTAGAGCTCGGCGGGTTCGCGGAGGAGGCGACGATGGAGCCGTGGCCGTCGAGTAGATGCCACCTGTGTGATGTCGCCGCTCAGCATCCGGTGAGGAGGGGGTACGTGGAGGACGTACGAGATGCGTCCTGGGAGAGAATCGGGTTCGAACCGCTCTTGTAATATGGCCCCGTCACAGAGTGCGCGTACGCGTAGCCTATTCCATAGTCGGGTGACTCGTAGCTAAGCGGGCGACGTGAGATCAAGTCAGGGTGCACATCTGGGACAGCTCACTTGTTCGCACTGTAGGTCAGGAAGTAGACCGGCTGGCCGAAGCTATCGTACCGCTTGATGGTCGTTGAGCCTTCGGACCAGCGGCGGTTCTTGAGTGTCCCGTTGCTCGCGACGTAATCGCTGACGTGCGCGTTCTCCCAGGCCTTATAGCTCGTGTCAAGCGCTGCTGTTACAGCACATCCAACGGAGGCGACTGACCTGAGGCTGCAACTTGTATGATATGACGGGCACGAAGCCGTCCTTCCGCGTTGGCCCGGGTAGCTCGAGTTGACTGAGTCTACCCATCCCTCTGCTGGCCCTTGTACACGTCCTGTAGCTCTCGTGCACCACAGGCAGCGTCTTCGCTCAGGATCATTCCACCAGTGTCGTCCAGCCGCACCGCGTATATGTTGCTCTCCTCGATGTACCGGTTGAATTCGTCGCTCCACACCCAGTTGCGATACGCATTGCGCGAGAAGAAAGCCAGATCGAGCCGTCATCGTCCCAGAGCACGTTCGGGTCGATTGAGGGGATGTACGTGCCTAACGGGGCGGTGTCACCTACGGCGGGCGAGGATGGCGGAACGAGGTACGGCGATGTCATGAGGATTAATGTCATGATAATGGGGTCAAATGGGTAGTAGTCGATCGGTCTGTTGGCGATCTCGACGAACGGCCCCGCAGGTGAGCGGGACACGGCTACGCCGATCTTGCTCGCTTCCTCAAATCTGGTATCTGAACAAGTCAAGTTAATAACAAGCCGAGCAGACTGTTTGTACGCACTTGAAGTATTCGCCACAAGCCTCGGCTCCGTATATCGACCGGAGTGGAACAGGAAGTACCACTCGTCTTCTCGTTGTAGTAGCACTCCGGCGCCCAGAACCAATCCTGCGCCCATACGTTCGCCGAGTCATTCTTGAACGCTCCGCCCGGATCTTGCTCCAGGTGCTCAAGTCCGGCGACGTGTAGATGCCATAGTACCACCCATCGTCCGCGCCCTCGGTGCTGTAGGCCCAGTACGCGCCAGTCTTCGCGTCCCAGCGCACATACGGATCGGCAGAGACGGACGAGTTGTCGTTGCGTACGTCGCGTTCGTGCGCCATGGCGCGCCATTTGACCAACTAGAATGGCCGAGGCAAGCGTAGAAAAAGGGCGAGTGCTTGCAGCGCGCCCCGAAACATTGCGAGGAGGGCTGGGAACACAATACGCGTATGGCGAAAGGGACTGTGCTGAAGCGACGCGGGCCATGATATACGAAGTGTGGAGGACGCCCACGCGACACTCTACCCATGTGCGAGGATTCGCGTTGTGCCAATGCAACCGGTACATTGATGGTAACTACCGCGTGACCAGCACCTGTGATACTGCACATGATCGCGTCGGTTTGTTTACGCTGTTGTACAAGAGCTTCGTTCCTGACGCCCAATTAGGCACACTTTCCTCCTCCACCGTTTGATACGGAGATTACTCACCTAGTATCTCCATATCTCCGTTCCCAATCACCTGTCTCAGCTGATACATGGTATCCGCGCACACAGTCGAGGACTAGAGTTACGGTGATATGTCGAGACTACCGTTCCATAAGTAGTGATGCATGATGCCGTCTGCACTGGCATTAGCGGTGCATGTATCTCCTGGAATTCAAGGAATTCGATGACTGACGAGTCGCAGGCAAAATGTGAATGGACCGACGATTACTGACGGATTTGCCCGAGGCGAGCAAGAGGCAAGATGCGCATGCGTGGCCAGATGCGTACGAGCTGTCCGTGAACATGTTGTGCCCTCGCTAGCACCCTGGCAGATACCCATCCGCCATGACAGCCCGCTTTGACATGCACTGCGCACTACTCAGAAGATGGCAGTCCCGATGGCCACTCAGGGACGATGGCCACACAAAGGACAAAGCACGCTTTGACAATACTTCAAACACCGAGTGGCACAGTGTGTGGCGTAGCCTCGTATAAAAGGATTCGCTATGCCGTACGCCCGAACATCTCCCCTTCCATTGCACGCACCCACGCGAGACACCGCAGCGATGCACCGTGCCCTCTGCATATCCGAGATTATCCGCGACGTCTTTGTCTACGCCTCGCAGCAGTGCATCTTAGACGACACCACCAGACGAGTGTGCGCATGGCACGCTTGTGGGACGAACTATCCCATTGTCCGACCTCTTGCCCCTACGACATTGAGACGCAGAGGGGACATCCAACGCCTCGGCATGCGTGCTTGCTTGCGGTAGCACTGAGCTGCAAGACGTTCTCGGGTGTTGCACTCGATCTTCTATGGCGTGTTCTTGACTCGCCAGAACCTTTACGAAGCCTGATGAAGTACCATAGCATCTCGGTAAGGATCCAGCCCGAGTATGCGTTCGGACCTCTGAACCATCATTGCAGGATGCAGAGGAAGGCACTCCCAAGGCACGCGCGCGCTACCGTGTTTACACCAACCGCGTCAAGGGATTGCTGTCCGATCCCAACGTACAGGCCAGCAAGCGAGCTGACTGTGAGTAGCGGACATGACCCATGACGCGCAGGCACTGAAGCTGATCTGCGCGAAGCACATACCAAACAGCTCTTCACCCTCCCCAAACTCCGCTCCGTCCGGATCGACATCGCGCCTTCGTCCAAATACCAGCGTCCCTTCGGACTCCTCACGAACTCCCTCACCGATGTACGCGTCTCTTTCATCGGCAGCGGGCGGCACTGGTCCTTAGCCAGAGCGTCGAGCTACGTGAACAACTACCTCGATGCCCTGGCGAAGCAGCCCTGCTTATCCACGCTCGAACTCGACTGGCTGCCGGTTATCCCGGACCCCGCGCTGCTCACCAGCCTCACGAAGCTACGCTCGCTGCGAGTCGCACTGCTGGCGGACATCGCTGACGCGATCCCCTTCCTCGCCGCGCTGCACGCATCCAGCATCCCCAATGTCAGGATATTCATCGAGCAGGAGGACTGCGACGTCCCTATCGTAGACTATCGCAGGACGAGCGTCGGAAGTCCCGTGGAGCTCTGTCTGAGCGGCAACCCCAACGCGCTGTGCCTGGACAGGCTGATGGACATCTTTTCGACGGAAGAGGGCGAGACGGAACTGCTCCTCGTCTGCGAGTTCGAGTTCCCCGACGACCACGCGTTCGCAAAGGTTGGTCTCACGAGCTCTGCCGTCGACGCTCTCTGCCGCGCCCTACGCTGTCCACAGAGCAGCGTCGCCATGGCCCTCCGGGCTCCTCTGGACCTATCGGACTCCTCCACCGACGAGTCCTTCTCCTTCGCCCTGATACAGCCGCTGCTCCGGCTACGGTGCATGAGCAGGTTCGAGGTCGCCGCCAACGTACTCTTCGAGCTCTCCGACGCCAACATCGGCGCTCTCGCTCACGCCTGGCCCGACCTCGAAGCCCTCGAATTCCGCTTCTGCCACGACAGCCTACAGGGCAGCGGCATCCTGCCGAAAAAGTGCCCCACCCTCCGCAGCCTGGCATCACTCGGCCGACACTGTCGCCAGCTACGCGAGGCGTACATACCGATTCGCGCCGACGTGGACGACATAAGCTGGGAGGACTGGCCGACGCCTAAGGAGGGAAACTGGACGCTGAGACAGCTTACCATTGACGGTGGAGAGGTCTTGTCTGGAGAGTGCGAGGCGGTGGGGATGGCGCTGCACCAAATATTCCCGCGTGCGACGGTGGACACGCGCAACGTCTTCGACCTGGACACTTGGAATAAGATAATGCAGGCACATTTGAGGTGCAGCTTGTATGCGGACATGCACGATTATACCATGTAGTTTCGATTACCTAGAAGCCAATTTCATTCAGCTCACATCGCATTCCTCATCCCACGAGTTGTTGTAAAAATACACGAGCACTCACATTAACTTCAGTTCTTGAGCGAAGCTCTGGACACGCAGAAGTTACCATAAGATAGCGAAGTCGTACGGCACAATGCGTCACTTCTTTTTGCCCTTCGCCTTGCTGTCCTCCCCGGCCGACAGCCCCAACCACTGATCGAGCTTGTTCCATAGCTTCTCCCTCTCCTCCGCCCACATATCTCTCCTCGCTCCTACACACGAACCGCAGAATCCGACGTCTGCCCAGTCGATATCGATCAGGTCCTGTAGACCCGTCAACGGATCCAGCAGACCATCTTCAAAGAGCGAGGCTTGCACCACATGCTGTGCCCACCACTCAACGCTTTTGCCACGCGCTGCGAGACAGCTCTCGAGCGCGGGCTTCTGCTCTTCGTTCAACTTGTCTGCAGGGATCTTCGCGAGCTCACAGGGGATGGAAGACGGTGTAGGTGGCCCGCAGGCGAGCTTCAACCACGCGCTCTCTAAACGTTCGCGCGCGCCGATCAAACGAAGTAGGTCGGCATATCGCAGAGTGCTTGGAGTGTCCGAAATGAGGTCGTCGTCGCCAACGAAGTCGTCATCGTCGGCGAAGAATATCTGCCCGAAGCCAGGTGTGCGTAGCAGCTCGTAGTACGCGCGCTTCCGGACTGCAGGGACATCACATTGCCGGGAGAGCAGGAGGGTCTCCTTGGCGAAGTTCTGTTGCTCCTCCGTTGGCGAGACATCCAGCTCGTCCAGCTCTGATGGCCATATCTCCATGAGTTCGTCAGTCGCAAAGTCAAGGTAATTCGGCGATTCAAGAGCGTGTGCCGCCCTCATCAGTGCAGCGATGGTGAGGAAAGGGGGTTTTGTGCGAGCGAACTTACTAGAGGAGGCTCAGTACGACATAGACATGACAAGCGGATCTCACTTACATGCCCATTTCCCAGGCGGTCAACAGACATTCGAAGTCCTCCGCGGATACGCCGGCGATCCGATACACAGGGCAGCTATCCACGATCTCACCTTCCATCAGTCCGCCCGAACACCGGCCTGCAAGCTCGACGATGTCAGGTTCTTCGAACTCGCTGGTGTCGCCATCGTCATCCGCACTGATCCGCTTGTTGCTTGGGGTCTGAAGTGCATCGCCGAAGAGCCTAGCAAAGTAGTTTGAGTTTGGGCGCGATAAACGTGACCTGTGCAGTTTGTAGAGCGTCTTCTCGACCAAGACGACGACGGAACCATCCAGATACCAGAAGTTCGGACTTCGAGTTGCTTTGCTGAGAGCTCGGCTGTGCTTAGTCTTCTGTAACGCAGGGGAGCTCAAGGGCAAAGAAGTCGAGCTCCCTCGATGTGTGCGTTCCGCCGGAGCTTGTGAAGACGACGGTGGGGAAGGAGGAGCCATGGCGCCTTGTGCTGAAGACGGCAGTCGAGCGGGCTGCGAAGCGCTGATATGATGCTTTTCAGACGTAGACGAGGTCGGTTTCTTGATCTACGAGACGTTCAGCAATGCATCGGGGGAAGCAGTGAACTGACCTTTGGTTTTGGTCTTGGTGTCGAAGGTATGAACTCCACGATATCGGGGCTCGAAGGTTCCGGTGGAAGGTGGCCGTTGAGCTGCGTCGAAGGGGCCTTGTCGTCGGATCGGCGCCGTGACTTAGGCTGTGTGTCAGTCGATGGCAATTCGTCTTCATTTGTTCGCTTTCGTTTCTTGGATCCCTTCTTCGCTGCAGGCGTGACTACATTGCTTGCCTTGCTTTGCGCCTCTGCACTACCGGCCGCATCGGCGTTTGACTTCTTTGTGGTAGTTTTCGCGCGCTTCTTGGACGAAGAGGACACCTTGGGCTCGCCCTCACGAGAGTCTGTGTGTTGAGAAGCAGAGAGAGGAGGCGACCGCATTTCTGCTTTCACTCGGGTGGTAGTCTTCTTCTTGGACGGCGATGCAGAGGCGCGTTGAGCTGTGGCAGCGTGATCCTTGGACGTGTCCTTTCCCGAGCGCGAAGGCAATGTCGCCTTTTCTTGGGAGCTTATTTGACTCTGAGCCTCGTCGTCCTCCTGGGAGCTCGTATCGCTTCGCACGCCATCATCCTCCAAGCTCTTGCCCTCCTCAGGAGAATCGCCAGCATAAGACACACCATCATCGGATGTGTCCATGTCGCCTGTGATCTGCGCCTGTTGCTCTTGCGGTGTTGCCTGTGAGAGCAGTTCGGAGACTTCCGGTAAATCAGACTCTGGGGACGAAGCACGATCCACGGCCTCTGATCCTGGCCCACCGTCTGACATACAGACAAGCAGGATCAAAACTATCAGAGTTGAGCAAATCACCGCATGTGCAAAGACTGCCATATCTTACTCACCTGGTTTTGGTTCTAGGGTATCAGTTGGGAATCGACTGACAGACTGGATGCGGTGCGGCAGAAAATGGCCGCCTAGAGGAGCAGCCAGAACTCCCTTTCAATTTGGTCACAGATGGATATAACAGCGCGTATATGCACTCACAGAGTTGTCCGAGATAGAGCGCAACAGCTTAACATCGAGTGATGAGTACAGCGCATAGGTGAGCAGCACATAAGATCTGTCAACGCACGAGGGACCTCCAACTTCGTTGCAATCCGTCGATGAAATCCTAGAGAGCACACTCCAGACCTCTCCACGCGTCAAATACGGGATTTAGAAGCAAGTAGTACAGCGATACGGGCAGAATCGGGCGAGGTCGTGGTCCTGCGTGAGTGCGTCCGAGTCGAGCATCAAGGAGGAGAAGCGAGAGCAGGAGCAGGAGCAGGAGCAGGAGGAAGTTGCGCAATGCGCGTCGCTGTCGGTCCCGGTCGCGACGCTCATTATCACGCGGTATACACGTGATCGAATCTGATTCAGGCTTAATGATTATTAAATGCTGCGTAATGCAAGCTTCTTTTTATCCCCGAGCTTTACCCGCGGACAGCATACCGCTCAAGTAGCCTACTTATCCCCATAAGCTCTTGCTGCGCCCGTCGCATTTGACATATGATACAATGTCCAGACTGGTTGGAAACTGCCTCAAGGAATGACACACAAGGCTTCAGATCTTCAGATGTGGACTTGCTTGCCTGTCACGGTATAATCCTCGAGAAAATATGCAACGGAACGCCGGACGGTCACTAAGTTAAGGCTCACGAGCAGACGTATTTTCCGGAATTGAATGTCGTGTTCGGCACAATCACCATCGTATTCTGCCGAGCATACACAATGAGCGACATGCGTAAGCAAACGCGCAATTCAACTACCACTTCAACATATCGACATCCACAAAGACTCAGTCCAACTCGTCGATCTCCATCGCCCTCGCGAACAGCTCCTCCTCGAACTCACGGGCTAACAGCTCCTCCACCTCACTCAAGCTGCGGCGGCTGGTAGGCGGTTTGGGCAGCGGGCGCGGCTTCGGCTTCGGCTTCGGGGTCGGAGGCAGCGGGCGCGGCTTTGGCTTCGGGGTCGGAGGAAGTGGGCGCGGCTCCCCGCCGCCCCTGGGCATTACATCGCGGGTCCAGAAGGCTTCCTCATCGAAGTCGCGCTCCTCAAGTTCAGAGTCGCTCAAGCCCTCGACACCCCTAGGCATGGGGCGCGGTCCCACGGGCCTCGGCGGGCGCGGGCGCGGGTGCGGCGGCGGCGGCGGCGGAGGTGGAGGCCTCGGCCGGCCGGGGTCACTGCGGACCCAGAAGGCGCCCTCATCGTCGAATGCACGCTGGAGGAGGGACTCTTCATCGAGGTCGCGCTCCTCAAGCTCAGAGTCGCTCAAGCTGCGACGGCTGGTAGGCGGTTTGGGCAGTGGGCGCGGCTTCGGCTTCGGAGTCGGAGGCAGCGGTCGCGGCTTTGGCTTCGGCGTCGGAGGCAGTGGACGTGGCTCCCCGCCGCCCCTGGGCATCACGTCGCGGGCCCAGAAGTTGTCCTCGAGGCCCCGCTCGTACAGAGTCTCATCCTTTTCGCCGCGAGACCAACTGCGGAAGGAATCAGTTTCGGTGCGGCATGCAACAGTGCAGAGACTCTCATAGTCCAATGGGGAGTGACAGAGCTGGCGCGGCAGTCGCAGCAGCGAGAAGAACGGAGAAAACGGCGGAGTAGCGCATGATGGGTCGTAAGACAGAGAGAACGACGGTTGTGAAAAAAAGCGGGGCTAACATCCACGGTCAGTATCGGCAGCCACGATAGCCAGGAGTGCTGCAGTACTCACCAACCAGTACCCTCGCTTGAGTTGAGCTCGAATGAGAAGAGTAAGCTGAGGAATGGGGGAGAGAGCGGACTCCTTTTATACGTAGACCTCCCAATGCTGGCACTCTGCGAGGCTCTGCGATGGTTCCACTGCACAAGCGGCTATCAGGTGTAGCGAGTGATCCACTAGAAACGGACGGCGCCGACGCCCGCTGTCACAGCGAGCCACGGTACCATGTGTACGTGCGGGGTTCGCAGGCCGCATACCAACCGCTCGCTGCATCGCTCTGGCTGGAAACTTACACTCATTGCGTCTATGGGGCAGTTGGGCTCCATATAAATCGCGGGGTGAACGTTATCATTTGACCCGCATCCAGGTCCCTAAGAAATCTGCACGACATTGGCCTATACCGTCAATGTTGTGAGCGGAATTAAAGAAGACCGTGACGATTAGATACCGTTTCATGTCCGAGGATCGTAGGCTCCTCTGGCCGTTTCAATGGAGTACTCAGGCTCATTGATCCTCTGCACCGCCAGTGGGAGCCGACGCTAACAGGCGCATCAGGCCAGCGAGGCTCTCCCGTGACAGGATCTGCTGTACCAGCATCCGCCACTCATATACGTAGACCGCCCGGGCCCCTCGCACGGCAATTTGATGATTGCCGGTGAGAGACGAGACGCACCACAACTTGCGAGCGGATGACGTGAAATTAGAGCGAAAGATGATCGAGCGCACAACTTGAATGCAAATATAAGCCTGCTAGCTGCAGAGTACAAGGCGTAGATCGTACTCACGATTACACAGAAGTATCGCCCGCTTCATGTCTGCGTTATGGTGTTGGCAGTGCAAACCCTCCACGAAGCTCGAAGTTCTGTCCGTGACGCGTGCCAAACGGACCCTCGTTCGAGTCGCTGCAACATCCGAGCGTGGGGTCGGAGCTCAAGACGCTCCTTGGCGATGCATCCACCACTGCCTGCGGAATCACAAATCTAGATTCGAACGGTAGCGCGCATCAAAGGTTGTGGTGCATGATCGCCGACGGATCGCCGAGACATTGATGCGCGCACGACGCGGTGCTGATCTACACAACTTACTTAGGAATGCAGAGAGCGCCTTGGACAATTGGCATTCGCGCCAGGCGAAGTCCGACCCAACCGGAAGCTACCTGGTTCGACACAATAGTGTGCGCTGCTAGGATTCCACCAATAGATTGGGGAGTATTCGTCCCGTACTGACCTAGATGCTATTGCGGGTTGCTGTCTGAATGGCACAACCAAAGAGGCACTCCGGGCGGGGTTACATACCTCGGCGTCGACTCGGATCCTCAGGCTTCGGTCATGAAGGAGGAGTGCAAGCGACCAAATTGTAATTCGCCCAGATACGGGGTCGAATTCAGTACTCAACGAGCAAGCGTGTGGCAGACACGAATCCCGCGCTAGTATGTGAGCTTTGAAGACACCATGGACAGGCGCTGTCCGAGTCGGGTACTCCACAAACGTAAGCCAGCTACGTGTCGTATATACTTAGACTCACATGAGCGAGGACGCCCTAATCCTGCAGCAGGCAACCTCGGAGATTCCAGCAGATGAACCGGACGGCTTCAAGACAGCGCAGCCTGAGGTCGCGCTTCGTCGATCGAAATTACAGGAAGCTTATCACGGAGCGTCAGCTTTCTCGGTCAATCACCACTGGCAAGAACAACACGAACCTGCGGCGGTTCCACAGTATATACGCTAGGCCTGGGGCCTGCCGGTGTATCCTAAATGTGACATGCCAGATTAGATATGCGAGCAGGACAAACGAGGTTACCAGAAAATATGATGTATCGAGTCACGGCGGCCTTCCGGTTGTCACGTAGCTGCCAGGTGCCAGTTCAGTGGAACGCAAGAGATGGTTACTACTAACTGTGCAAGAGCCGGAAGAGTGTATTAAGTCGGTACACAGTTTGTACGTGTTAATCTTGTGACGGAATGACGGTTACTGGACGAAGAGTACTCTGACTGACGGATTGGGTCGAGCAAGTTCATATTCTGACCACCGACGCAGTGGAGGATTAGAGGCACTTTCTGTACTTACCGCTTTAAGAAGCATCGTGATCACGAGGTCAGGTCGGCGTTCAAACGTTCAGAATCATTGGACCCTCCGAGTCGTCGAGTCGTAAGTCAACGTTTCAGCACGGAGTCAGCATCTTCGAATCGTACATTGGTCTATGCATCAGGTTCACAGAGTCCGCCACGTCATCCCTCTGTAATGGGGTTCATGCTTAAAATACGTTTGCGTTGCTACTGATACAGTTATTCCATCGTCCGATCCTACAGGCTTCCCGAATTCAGCTATCGTACAATCTCCCAGAACTTCACGATTGAACCTCTTTTCTACGACACCCTTGAACATCCCCACCCGTGACGACCCGGTCCTCAATGACTTCCGTTTCCACGCACCTGCGGTCATCCTCGTCGGTCACGCCGCGTCGTTCGGCGGAGTCGCTCAGTACGCGACCAACTCGACCAAACCATCCAGCTCCCGCTCGTAGCACCTATGCTTGCTCACCTCCAGCGCAAAGCTCGAGACGAAGCCCTTCGCGTCCTGCCTGATCTTCAACACGTCGGCCGCAACCGAGCCGGCGTCGTAGTTCCCCGCCGTGACTACACCGTAGGACACAACGACGTCGTTGCTGAGCAGGTCATGGGAAAACTTCAGCTGCGGGACGTTCAACGCATCGTGCACGAATTTGACACCTCATGACGAGCGATGGTGAGCGTGAGAGTACATCCAACCTGTGTCGCGTTGTGCTCACCTTCACCCAGCGCCCCAATCGTCTTGCAGTGCCCGAACGCCTCGCGGACCCAGTGGATGGCGCGCCCCATCTTCACCAGCGTCGCGACGTGTTCTCCGCTGGGCACGACGACAGCGTCGAACATCGTGCTGCGCTGCCCCTCGAAGTGATGATCAGCCCACACCCCGACGTCGCCTCCCTTCTGGCCCTTCGGATACACCCTGCCCCTCCGCGGCCCGATCACCCAGCTCGTCGCCGACCCCGCCTTGATCGCCGCGCGAAGGCCCTCCACCTCCGCGAGGTTGTATCCGTCGGCGAGCAGGATGGCGATACGGCGACTCTTGATCGTGGGCTCCTTCGGCTTGTAGTACAGCTGCGACAAGGCCGCGCTCTTCTTCCCGTGGTTTGGACGGCCTGGCTCGCTCGGTATGACGCCGCCGACCTTCTCAGCGACCTGCTTCGTCAGCTCGAAGTCGACGTTATTCAGAACCTTCATGTAAGTCTCGTACACGACGGGGTCGTCGCAGTGACTGAGCTCGAAGGAGATGGCGGAGACCAGGTGCGCCTTCTCGTACTCGGTCAACGAGTTGTAGAAAAGCTGCGCCTGGTTGTAGTGCTCCTTGAACTTCTCGCCGCGGTATCGCTGCTTGACACCCTCGACCTTCTGTGGGTAACTGCAACGCGCATGAGCGTGTGCACGATCACGTATGACTTCACTCACTCATAATAACCACCTTCCTGCACTGGCACCGGTCCTCCGACACTCGCCCGGTTCGGCCAGTAGTTGATGCTGCCTTGTGTGATCTTGTGTCGCATAGCGCCGTCTCGCTGATGGTTCAGAACGGGGCAAACGGGGCGGTTGATCGGGAGCTCCTGCCAGTTGATCCCGAGCCTCGTAATCTGCGTGTCGAAGTACGAGAAGTTCCTTCCCTGCAGCAGCGGATCGTCGCTCAAGCCGATCCCAGGGATGACGTGCGAAGTGCAGAACGCAACCTGCTCCGTTTCGGTGAAGTACTCGTCGACGGTGCGATTGAGCACGAGCTCGCCGATGACCTGTATGGGGACAAGCTCCTCAGGCCAAATCTTAGTCGCGTCAAGGATGTCGAAGTCGAAGTCGTGCTCGGCGGACTCGGGAATGACTTGGATGCCGAACGTCCACTTCGGGTACGCCCCAGTATCGATCGCCTCATTTAAGTCCTTGCGGTGGAAGTCTGGCGTGGAGATTATATCTTCTAGCGCAACCCCATCGTGGTCTGGCAGACGTACCGGGATCTTGGCCGCACAACTTGAGTGCCTCGTCCCACACCAGGCTGCATACGCCGAGCTCGGGCATGAAATGAAACTTCACGAAGTGTCGCTTTCCCTCAGCGTTCACCAGAGTGTATGTGTTTACTCCGAACCCTTGCACCATACGATACGAGCGCGGGATACCTCTGTCGGACATTGCCCACATCACCATATGCGTGGCTTGATCGCGATTCAAATGAGTGAATTAACTCATGACAGCAACGCAAATACGTACCTTCCGGTTGAAGTCCGACGTAGTCCCAGAAATTGTTATGGGCGCTCTGACCCTGGGGTACTTCGTTGTGTGGCTCCGGCTTCACGGCATGCACGAAGTCAGGAAACTTGATAGCGTCTTGGATGAAGAACACAGGTATGTCGTTGCCGACGATGTCCCAGTTACCCTCTTGCGTATAGAACTTGACGGCGAATCCTCTGACGTCCCGCACGGTATCCTGGCAGTCACAATTGTTTAGATCACCATTCCCAATGCCCTAGGTTCTACTCACCGCACTTCCACGAGAGCCCTGGACAGTACTGAAGCGCAGGAAGACTGGGGTTGTACGCGAAGAGTCGGTGAGCACCGGTGCATAGGTATACTTCGAGGCGCTGCTGTCGAAAACCTTGAAGTATCCATGTGCGGCGGCGCCTCGGGCGTGAACGACACGCTATATGCGTGGGTGAGCCCACTGTGAAAGGTTCCTGGGTATATGATCTACCTCTGGTATACGCTCATGGTCGAAGCGATGGATCTTCTCGCGACCGATCTAAAGAGTGCTTGTGTCAGCGGAGGACTACATGTGGCTGATATATCGGGAAGATTTACTTGATCCTCCAAGAGGGATGGCCCTACGTGAGCCTTCGTTTGCGCCTTCAGCCTATTTAGGAGATGTCAGCGTTGTCGCATACAGACTATGGTGTCGATTGCAAACTGATCAAAGGCATCTCGGCGGAGCATACATTGAGACAATCGCATCAACTCGCGACCAACTCCGAGAAGCGCTTGGCCGCGCGCTAACAGCAGTTATGCGGGACCGTTGCCTATCCCCACATACACCCAAGACCAAAGGCAGCATATATGCACCCATCATGCCAGCCACCGGAACCACAGGCTATAGACAACCCTTGCAACCAAGATCATGACGCGCATCGTGTTCCGCGAGCGGGTGGGCGAAGGCGACGCGATATTCGTCATAGTATTTGCCCAGCCGGGCGCGGCCATTTGGCGTGCATACAGGCACTCACCAATTATCGGTGTCCGACACGAAAACGCCATGGTCCGTGGTCAGGCTTTTGGCTGGCCTTTTTGAGGGGTCCTGTATGTCTTTCTGCAAGTCGGCGATCTTGGCGGTCTCAGTCGCCGCAGCGAAGACTGACTGAGCGGCTGTCTTGATTGCGCTGGCCATGGTGGATGAGAGACGGGGGAGAAATGTGGAAGGGGTTCATGACGAGGACGCGCCTTCTTATATGACGGGGGGACGACGGGAGAAGCATGGCTCGAGTGACAGCAAGAGAGCTTCTCGTTTGGCCGGAACGTCGACACTTGCCATCTTTGTCCAGATGTGCTCCGTATTAGGACATGCACTCCCCGATCGCTAGCGACGTCGCGTTTCCCTATGAGGAATGTATGGTTTGTTATGACTTCATAGCCCGTCATAGATTCACCAGTGACAAAACACCCACGTACGCGCTCTTCGTGTGCTTGCGAATCAGGTGATGACACGACGCCCTCACCTGCCACCCTCACCGCGACATGGTGTCTCCGAGTCTTCTTCGTGCGCATGGTATACCTGCTATGGAATGGACAGCTCACCGCACAAGTACCAAGTACTTATCCTCATAGGATTTTGCCGCGCTTGTTGCAATCATGTCCGCAATACGCAGATCTGTGCAAGATCATGGACTCGGTCACCTATATATAGCCTATGACAGGAACATGTTATTCACGAACACTGCAACGCACCAGCAATCATTTCGCACATGGTCATTGCTCCTATGGAATGCTCCGCGCCCGTGCCGGCAAGGCTCTGGCACGTCCTTTTCGGGGTTTTATCTTTAAATTACCGAAACCGTGTAAGTAGCCTGAGTTGGGTGGTGATAGAATGTTGCAGTGTGTTGGCAGTGTGCAGTGGAATTTGAGATCGACGACCAGTGAATTGTCACGTGAGAGGTAAGTAGCCGCGACCAATATTGTTCAATTGCAACGTTCAATTCGAACTCAAACTTGAATGTCCTTGGCTGTTTTGCCCTCGTAGATACAAAGTATTGTACGCATGTCCGTCTCATTGCATGAAACGGGGTGTAGCATTCACTGGACTTGTCGTTGCCACTCGAATTTGCACGGTTTGACTCGACTCACACAACGACACGTGGACGCATCGCGTGTTATCAGTTTCCTCTATTGACGCTGCTCTTGGTTCTGTACCCCGACGATTGGCGAGCGCGGGGCCTTGCGGTGAGTCTCAGTGAAACCCGCTGCACTGGACACTTTCTAACTCACGTCCAAATCTCACAGAAAGCCTGCGCAAGAAGAACCAGACGCGCGGAAATCATCGCAAGTAGACGCCGCGCCACCACGGTAAGTAAACGCGCAAATCAAGGCCTAGATATCGATTCCATGCTGTCGCTGACTTCTGAGATCAGTACAATTCAACCACGACGCGAAGATCAGTCGGATGCACACAACCATCTAAAGGTACCCCAGCGCAAAAATGACCGAATCGTACATCGGTGTCAACAACACCCTGCTCGTCAGTATGGCGTACCCATCCCGATACAATCTACTATCCCTCAATCAGGATATCCTCGAGGAATTTGTATCGTTCCTAGCATCCCCAGATGCCCTCCGTCTGTCGATGACAGCGCACGGTCTGCGCGCGATCGCCAAGCGTCGCGCGCTCGCAGACATCAGGCTGCGCTCGACGGAGCGCGCGACGCTCTTCTGCAAGTACATGCTCGCAGACATTCCCGATCGCCTCCGATGGCTACGCCGACTCGAAATCCACCTCGGCACCTTCTACGAAGAGCGCATCTCCCTCGCCATCCCGGGGCTCGTGCGTGTGCTGGCCCACGCGCCCGCGCTCAAGTCGCTCACCTTCGACGACGCGGAGGTCATGCTCGAGTCCGGCATCCTCGCAGCGGCCGTACGGATGCTGACCACGCTCGAGGAGCTCAACCTCCGCAAGTACGGGCTGCTAGCGGTGTCCACCGTGCGCCGCCTGAGCAGCAACCTGCGCAAGCTCAGCCTCACAGGCATGCTGCATCCACGGCGCCATGTCATCCTCGCCACGCTCTTGTGCCCGGCGCCGGAGCATCTCACCGACGACGATCAAGCCGATGTCCGCTGGAAGTCGATAACGGAGCTGGAGCTAGACATTGCCTGTCCGATCAACTCTATACCCCACCAGGCGATCATCGAGAGCTTCCCGAGCGTCCAGCGCTTCGACTTTAGCGTCACAGACGTGCAGGCGAACGACGAGAAACCCGAGCGTCCTCCCGGCGTCCGGGTGGGCTGGCCACACCTGGACTGGCTGGCTGGAACGCCTGTGTCGCTGGGCGGTCTAACAGGGCCCGTGAAGGGCCTCCGCTTGACGGAGGAGCGTCAAGGCATCCTTCATGAACACGGCGGCGTGGTCGTCAGGCATCTCGACCCAGTGATGCTGTCCGTCACGATCCCTCCCGAACCGGATGCTCGGGTGTGGAAGAAGTTGGTCGAGCGGTCACACCGATTGCGATACCTGCGTATCGAGCTGTCGAATGCCGGAGAGCGCGTGGCAGAGCTAACGAATGGAGGGTGAGTACGTCCAGCTCCTCGCGCTCCAGATGTGCTCACGCATCACAGGCACATGTCCCTAATGCTCTAGGCGACCTAGACATCGTGTGCATGAGCGTCGACATCACCGATCTCCACGGAGGGGTCGTCTTTGCGCCTATCGCGGAAGCGGTCGCACTCGAACTGGCGAAGCCCATCGACTCTCTGCGATACGTCTGCGTCCGCACAGGGTCGGGCTCCGCCGACTGTGAATGGCACGGCAAGGTCTCTTGGTGGAGAGCCATGGGGTCCAGCGAGGAGCGTTGGGTGAAGCGCGTCACCGTCGGCCTTGGCACGTACATTGACAACTACCTCATGTCGGCCGAGTTTGAGCGCACCTTGTCGCTCGACGGTGAGCGCCGTTCTGCTCTGCTCACGGCCTGTGCTGAACGCGCTTCGGCTGCTCCTTCGCAGATCGTCATCTCTTTCCGGATAATTAGGAGCTCAGAGAGACGACGTACGTGGTCCCAGTTACACGATCGGACGCGGTGCCTGATTCTCGCCGCAGATTGTGGATCATAGTTTGTAGGAAAATTATCGGACGCTGCATCTTTCTTGTGGATCCCCCGCCTCACGATACCATGCTGCCCTCTCATTGTTTTCGTCGCATGCTCGAATGAATACACGTCTCTCTGCCTCTCATCCCAATGTAGCTAGTATCGTACGATTGAATACCCTGTTCTGTGTCCTTGCAAATCAGTGCGCTATCACCATGTACCGTTCCTGTCTTGTCTCTATAAAATATACGTCCTGCATGTCTTACATTGGGCCGAGCCTCCAGATGCACTAGGTTGCACACTGCACGGTGTAGAAACTACTTGTGTGTGTGCTGTCAATGTTGTACGTTTGAAGATTCTGACTTGCTCGTCATGAACGTCGCTGACGGAAAACACGTCGTGATCACGGTGAGTTCTTAAACTACTACAGTAAGTACTTGCGATCTTGCTCGACCCAATCCGTCAATCGGAGTACTCTCCGTTCAGTAATTCGACACTAGTAACTACAATGCTCCATGTGCGGCTGTACATGAAAGCGAAAGCGAGTCGCCCGTGTCTGCCCGTGTCACCGAGTATCCAGCGCCAGCGCCTAACAGAACGACACTTGCCCAATCCGTCTTGAATTCGCGACATTTCCGAAAACGGAAGCGCCCGCGTCCACAAGCGCTCCTTTACCACAGAAGATTAAATGGAATACCCTCTTCTCCTCCTCCGTCACAAGAATTGAACACGCCGTGGTCCGGCATTGAAAATTGGTCTCTTGAGCTCAATCAGTACTTGCTGCCCACGGAACCAGCGTGCAGCTACGTGACAAGGTCGACTTCGAGGATGCATCATACGTTTGTCTTGCTCGCATGTCTGATCATGTCACGTTTACCACTGTACCGGCAGGCTCTAGGGCCAGTCTACTGTGAAACCGTCGCGCGGCCTGAGGTTCATGTTGTTCTTGCTAGTGGTGACCGACCACGAAAGCTGACGCTCTGTGATTAGGTCATGTAAACTCAATCGACGACGCGTGATCTGCACTGTCTTGAAGCCGTCCGGTTCAAAGGCACGTAGCTGGCTTACTTCTGTGGAGTACTCAATGTGGACAACGCCTGACCGTGGTGTCTTCAAAGTTCAAACGTTCACATGGCGCGGGATCCGTGTCTGCCACAAGCTTGCCCATTGAGTACGAAACCGACCCGGTATCCGGGCGAACTACAACTTGGTCACTTACACTCTTCTCCATGATCGGAGCCTGCGGATCAAGTCGACGCCGAGGTATGTAATCACGTCCAGAATGACTCTTTCGTTCGGACATTCTGACAGCAACCCGCAGGAGCATCTAGGTACGGGACGAATGTCCCCAATCTATTCGCGGAATCCTAGCGTGCGCACTGGAGTGTCGAACAGGCAGCTTCCGGTTGGGTCGGACTTCGCCTGGCGCGGGTGCCGATCACAGAATTCCAGGGAGCTCTCCGCATTCCTACTAAGTTGTGTAGATCAGCACCGCATCGTGCGCGCATCAATGTCTCGGCGATCATGCACCACAACCATTGATGCGCGCTACCGTTCGAATCTAGATTTACGACTCCGCAGGCAGTGGTGGATGCACCGCCAAGGAGCGTCTTGAGCTCTGCGCTCGGACGTTGCAGCGACTCGAACGAGGGTCTGTCTGACACGTGTCCCAGACAGAACCTCGAGCTTCGTGGAGAATGTGCGCTACCAACACCATAACGCAGACATGAAGCGGTTGATAATTCTGTGCGATCTATATCTTTTACTCTGCAGCCAGCAGGCTTATGTTCGCATTCAAGTTGTGCGCTGATTCGTCTTTCGCTCGAGTTTCTCGTCATCCGGTCGCAAGTTGTGGTGCGTCCCATCTCTCACCGGCAATCATCAGGTCGCTGTGCGAGGGGCACGGGCGGTCTACGTATATGAGCGGCGGATGCTGGCACAGGAGGTTCTGTCACAGGAAAGCCTCACTGGCCTGATGCGCCTGTTAGCGTCGGCTCCCACTGGCGGTGCAGAGGACCTGAGTCCATGAATACTCACTCGACGCGGCTAGATGCAGCCGACAATCCTCGGACATGAAGCGCCATCTCATCCTTACGGTGTGCTCTACTTCAGCTCACAACATTGACGGTACAGGCTAAAGTCGCGCATGTTTCGTAGCGACCTGGATAAGGGTTCAATAGCAACGTTATTTCGTAATTTATACGGGGTCCAGTGGCGCCATAAACGCAGGATAAGGTCGGAGCGCATGCGGTGAACGGTTGGTACACGGTCTGCGAACTCCGCATATACACATGGTACCGTGGATCGCTGTGACAGTGGGCGTCGGCGCCGTCCGTTTCTGGTGGATCACTCGCTACACTCCTGATAGCCGTTTGTGCAGTGGAACCATCGCAGAGCCTCGCAGAGTGCCAGACTTGTCCAGCATTGGGAGCTCTACGTATAAAAGGAGTCCGCTCTCTCCCCCATTCCTCAGCTTACTCTTCTCATTCGAGCTCAACTCAAGCGAGGGTACTGGTTGGTGAGTACTGCAGTACTCTTGGCTGTCGTGGCTGCCGATACTGACTGCGGATGCTAGCCCCGCTTTTTAACGACCGTCGTTCTCTCTGTCTTACGACCCATCATGCGCCACTCCGCCGTGTTCTCCGTTCTTCTCGCTGCTGCGACCGCCGCGCCGGCTCTGGCACTCCCCATCGCATTGTGAGAGTCTGCACTGTTGCATGCCGCACCGGAACTGATTCCTTCCGCAGTTGGTCCCGCGGCGAAAAGGATGAGACTCTGTACGAGCGGGGCCTCGAGGACAACTTCTGGGCCCGCGACGTGATGCCCAGGGGCGGAGGACCGCGCCCGCTTCCTGCGACCCCGAAGCCAAAGCCGCGCCCGCTGCCTCCGACCCCGAAGCCGAAGTCGCGCCCGCTGCCCAGACCGCCTACCAGCCGCCGCAGCTTGAGCGACGCTGAGCTTGAGGAGCGCGGCTTCGATGAGGAGTGCCTCTTCCAGCGTTCGTTCGACAATGAGGAAGCCTTCTGGGCCCGCGATTTGATGCCCAGAAGCCCGCCGCCTGGAGCAGGGTGGCACGGGCCGAGGCGTATGCGCCGCGAGGTGGAGGAGCTGTTTGCGAGGGCGATGGAGATCGGCGAGTTGGACTGAGTCCGTGGATGTCGATGTGCTGGGGTGGTAGTTACGTTGTGTCTTTTCTTACGCATGTCGTTCATTGTGTATGTCCGGTGAAATACGACGGTGACTGTACAGTGCAGGCACTCTGTATTCAACACAAAACCGCCATGGTCTGTGCTCAGGCTTTTCGCTCGCCTTTTCGAAGGGTTCTGTATGTCTTTCTGCAAGTCAGTGACCTCGGTGGTCTCAGTGCAGCGATTTCGAAGACTGTCCGAGCGGCAGTCTTGATTGCGCTGGCCATGGTGGATGAGAAACGGGGGAGAAATGTGAAAGGGGTTCATGACGAGGACGCGCCTTCTTATATGACGGGACGACGGAAGAAGCATGGCCGAGTGACAGCAGCCTAGAGAGCTTCTCGTTTGGCCGGAACGTCGACACTTGCCATCTTTGTCCAGATGTGCTCCGTATTAGGACATGCACTCCCCGATCGCTAGCGACATCGCGTTCCTTTTGAGGAAGGTATGGTTTGTATGCCTTCACTTGTAGCGCGTCACAGATGCACCAGTGGCAAACACCCACGTCGCATGCTTTCGTTGATGACACGACGCCCTTGGCACCTGCCCTCATTGTCTAGCTTGCTCGTCATGAACGTTGTAGACGAAATGGCCTCGTGATCACGATGCTTCCCAAAGCGGTAAGTACAGTAAGCTCTAGTCCTCCAACTTGTTTGATCCAATCCGTCAGTCGGAGTACCCTATGTCCAATCATCCACACTCCATCACAAGATTGATACTTGAAAACCCACTAAGTCACTATACACATCGTGGTCCGGTTTCTGAACGGTTAGCATCCGTCTCTTGAGTTCAACCAGTACTGCCCCCACTGACTCACTGAACCAGCTGGCCGCTACGTGACAACTTGACGTTCGATAGAGTATACTTTTGGCAGGCAGAATCTCTCGTTTGTCCTGCTTGCATGTCTGATCATGTCGCGTTTGGTGGCGTTATCCTGGCAGGCCCCAGGCCGAGTGTACTGTGGACCCGCCGGGGGCTTAGGTTCGTCTTGTTCTTGCCAGTGATGACCGACCAGGAAAGCGCACACTCCGTGATGTGCTTCATGTAAACTCGCGCGACGAGGCGCCGAAGGGAGCCGATCTGCATTGCATTGTCTTGAAGCCGTCTGGTTCGTCTGCTGCAATGTCCGAGGTTGTCCGCGGCAGGATCACGACGTTCACTGGCAGCAGGCCTCGCTCATGTGAGTGTATACACTCGGACACGTCGCCGGCTTACATCTGTGGAGTATTACTTGACGCGAAAAATTCCCCTCCGTAGTGTTCACACATGGCGCGGGATCCGTGTCTGCCGCACGCTTGCGCATTGAATTCGAGAACCGACCCCGCGTCGCATCTGGGCGAATTACAAGTCGCTTAACACTCCTCCGCGGCCGAAGGATCGACCTCCGAGTGGACGCTGAGGTAACCCCATCCGGGGCGCCCCTTTGTTTCGGACATAGTGACAGCAATCCGCGGAGCATCTAGGATGAACGTTCCCTAACTTCTACTGGCGGAATGCTGGCGGTTGGTTCAGAATTCGCCTGGCGCGAGTGCCGATTGGCAGAATTACGGTGCGCTCTCTCCGCATCCTTACTAAATTCAAGTTACGTAGATCGACGCTACGTCGTTCAAAGATCAATAATCATGCACTATAACTACTAACGTGCGCTACCGCCCACATAGATCCAAGGTTCCTGTATAATGTGTCACAGACGGAACTTCGACCTTCGTGGAGGGCTTGCACTATCGACACCATAGTGCAGACATGAAACGGCCAATAATCCAATTTGTGCGCAATCGTAAACACGGCTACGTCTTGTACTCTGCAGCTAAGTAGCGGGCTTCTATTTGCATCCAAGTCACGCTGATAAGTCGTTCGCTCTAGTTTCATCCGCTCGCGAATCGTGGTGCGTCTCGTCTTCGACGTCTCATACCTATCCGTGTGGACGTACCCCACCACCGCTCCAACACCGGTGGTGCATCCGGGTGAGACAGACTACACCCTGTTGCATCGGCTATCAGTGTAGAAGATGCATGCGTGCCATCAGCTAAGCTGAAAATCCTCGGACATTACATGACAATCCTCGGACGTTACATGACAATCCTTGGATATGAAACGGCTTCTAATCCTCACAGTGTGCTCTACGTCAGCTTACAACATTGACATTATAGGCTAATTTCGCGCAGATTTCGTAGGACTTGAATGCGTGTTGAATGATAGCGCTGACCCTGCGATTTGTACGGAGCCCAGTCGCTCCATGGATACAGGTAGTATAAGTTTGCATCCGGAAGGCATGCGGTGTGTGATTAGTGTGCGGTACACGAACTCCGCATGTGCCCGTGGTCGTCGGGGCCGGTCTACTTCTCTGGACTCTTGGGACTCATCCTGATAGCCGCTTGTGCAGAGGAAAACTCGCAGAGTGTCAGGCGTGTCTAGCGCTGGGAGCTCTACGTATAAAAGGAGTCCGCCCTCTCCCCCATCCCCCAGCTCACTCTTCTCATTCGAGCTCATCTCAAGTGAGGGTACTGGTTGGTGAGTACTGTAGCACTCTCAGCTGTCGTCGCTGTCGATACTGACCGTGGATGCTAGCCCCGCTTTTTTCACGACCGTCGTTCTCTCCGTCCCGCACATCTTACGACCCACCATGCGCTACTCCACCGTATTCTCTGTTGTTCTCGCTGCTGCGACCGCCGCGCCGGCTCTCGCCCTCCCCGTTGGACTGTGAGTCTATGCACTGTTGCACGCCGCACCGAAACTGACTCCTTGCACAGTTGGTCCCGCGCAGCCGAGGATGAGGCTCTGCACGAGCGAGGCCTCGAGGACAACCTCTGGGCCCGTGATGCACTGATGCCCAGGGGCCCGACTCGCCCACTGCCCAAACCGCCTGACTCCGCGCCCTCGCCCGCTGCCCAGCAGACCCAAGCGCCGCAGCAGCTTGAGCGACTCTGAGCTTGAGGAGCGCGCCTTCGATGAAGAGTCCCTCTTCGAGCGTTCGTTTGACGACGAGGACGCCTTGTGGGCCCGCGATGTGTTGCCCAGGAACCATCCTCGCCCGCTGCCCAATCCGCCTCCGCGCCCTCTCCCTCCGCGCCCTCTTCCGAAGCCCCCACCGCGTCCCTTGCCCAGGCCGCATAGACGCCGCAGCTTCAGCGAAGTGGAAGAGCTGTTGGCCCGCGAGTTCGAGGAAGAGCTGTCCGCGAGGGCGATGGAGATTGACGAGTTGGACTGAGTCTGGGTGGATGTTATACGTTGAAGTGGTAGTTAGATTGCGCGTTTGCTTACGCATGTCGCTCATTGTGTATGCTCGGCGGAATACGATGGTAACTGCTGAACATGACCTTCAGGGCCTCTGGGTCTGTATCGCTTCAAATGTTACGCTTGATCCGAGTCGTGAGCGTTTGCATAATTTCCCGAGGAACCACTGGCATGCAAGTCCAGATGTGCAGCCTAGTTTGAAATGTCTTGAAGCATTGTGCGATCAATCTGCACATTGTATGATTATAAACTCACCTCCGAGGCTCCGGAGCACGACTCTAATCGCATAGTTTTCATTGCAGACCATAAAAGCCGGCACTGAGCATCAATTATGCTAATCGCGGGGAACGCCGCTACTATTAGCGCTATTGACTCGCTCCTCCTCGAGCCTCCTCCCAGTCATGTACATAGCACGTACTATGTGACAAGCATCCGACTCAGTCTGAAGAGGAATGATGGGTCTCCTGCGCTCCGTTCCCCTTCAAACTGAGTTCTGATCGCGTCAGGCGACTCGCGAGCTGGCACCTCAGCGCAGGCCACAGCTCGCTCGTTGTCCGAGTCTCACCACAGCATTGCTCCTGTATATATATTCGGCGAGGAAAAGCTGAGCAAGATACGAAGGCAAGAAACCCGAAAATTCTCCTTTCTATGCTAGTCTCCCCTAGGCAGACCCTAAAGAAGACCTCTTTGAGTGGGGGAGGACGTATTTCTATGCTGCTGATTTCAAGTCTACAGTGCGGCCGGTCTTGTGGTCGAGCGGGGCGTGTACGCGTATCATCTTACACGGTGTACTTCGATGCTACATACATGTGTCTCGCGATATTAACGACCTGGCAGCCTTGGCGACACAATGTTGAGCATCAAACAACTTGAACATCGAGGTGAGCATACATAGCAGTATCTGACATATGCCGCAGTATGCGCGCCTACTTATCAGCGTTTGCCACAGTCCAGTGCGCTCCTCCATCACGGAGGAGGCGAATTGAATGTGATTGTAGTCAGGATCTCATCTGCTGACAACTGAGAGCTGACTGAACCTGACTCGAAGGCGGAACACGGAGCCGTGCATTCTGACAAGAGCTAATCATGCCGGTCACCATGTACATTGGGCCTTTCGCAGGGCACGTAAAGGCGTTGAGCACGGAGCTTCCCAGCCTCAACACCTCGCTCTGAGCTGACGACGACAATGATGCAGACCGCGGTCTACTCGCGAATCGGTGACCTGGAGATCAAGGTCGACTTTCAGGCCCCACCTTCAGTGAAGGAAGGTGTCCTGCCCAGCATCGTGTTCATCCATGGCGGAGGAATGATAGCGGGCTGCTGCCAGGCGGCGAGTACTTCGAATGGATGCTAGGTCGGTTCTAACGTTAACTTCAAGCTTCGAAACTGACAATCAATTGGTGCTAGCATCAGCGCACCGGAAGGGCATGGTGTTTCTCTCTGCGGATCACCGTCTCATCCATCCATCCACTGGCCTCGACATCATCGAAGATATGCGTACTCTCTTCGCCTTCCTCAGCCACCCGTCTTTCTCGACAAAACACCTGCCAGATGGCATATCCCTCGACCCGGCCCGACTTGCTGTCGTGGAGGCCTCTGGCGGAGGGTACGCCGCGATGGCTGCAGCAATCTCAGACGCCCAGCCCAAACCAAAGGCCGTGTTCCTGCTCTACGCCATGGGCGGCGACTTCCTCGAGCTCTGCGACCATTGGATCGCTGAAAAGGGTCCTACAGCCCACATGGGGCTGCGCCACCTCGTCGACGACGGGGCGGTCGCGCACCTCATCGATCGGCCATTAATATTGGACCCAATCGCGGAATGCCCGCTAAAGCAGCGCCCCGACGGGACGTTCGGTGGCGGCCATGTCGGCACCCTCCGGTGGCTGATCAGATTCAGATCGTACCAAACGGCGGAACCGGTACTGAACCAGCTTGGAACTGATTTGGGTTGGATTTGGGCGCATCCATCTTGAATAATCCCCGAATCATTCAGCAATCAAAACACTGTTAATTAACGCCCAGCAAGGGCTTAGACGTGTATCAGACGCCGGATTTGAACAAGCGCCAATGAGCTGCCAGTGGGATTAAATACGACAAGAACATCACATTTCATATTTAGTGATATCTTGCTTCAGTGGCTCAGTGCTAACTCGCAACGTACGGTTCTCTGCGAACACACGCGGATCTAGCATATGACTGTTCTGACCGACCACCAGATTGAACGCACGATCTGGCGGAGGCCCGGGGGACTTGATCGCAAGTCAAGCTGAGCAGCTTCGATGTTCACCCCGGAACGTCATCGGCCGGGTGAGTCTCCATGATCCATTCAGGTTAGCGAATCTCACGACTGATATCACATTTGTACCATTCACGACTTACAACAGCGACCATGAGAGGTTGACGGACGACTTGCACGATAAGATGCAACGGAACGCGAGCGAAGAGAAGTGACAATGAGGCTCCTAGGAGATAAAGAGGGAAGTCTGATGAGTACTCAGCTTGGCCAGATGCAGACTATCGTATGTACACGAAGGAACCCTGATACTATCTATCTCCGACCATTGGCACCAGCGAGGCCCGCAGCGTCGATCGCCTCGATGTCGGACGTGGTGAGTTCTACAGGAGAGTAATGGTCAGTGATGATAAGCGCAAATAGTGAATGATGGAAGGGACATAAAATGAATAATAGACATACCAAGGTCACCAGCGTTTAGATAGCCTTCCAGCCGTGCTTTCTTCGTACTAGAGCTGTCGTGCAGACGATGAGCAGATCCGTATTTTCGAGGTATGCATCTAACGTACGTGACAACTACGACACCCTTAGCTTTCGCCCACGCAAGAAGCACTTGCTCTGGCTCTGCGCCCAGACGTTGACAAATAGTTTGTAGAAGTGCGTCGAGTGGCCCTCCGGGATGACGTGTGATCGGGCTGTGAAGAAGCACGCATCAATCGACTGGATGGTAGCAGGCAGGCGAGAAACGCACATCAGGACGCTATAGGCCTCCGACACTATGCCGTGTCTCGCACCGTACGCGACAACGGGCGCCTGACGAGAGAGGACGTATGGATGGAATAGTATCTATAGTGGCATGCCATCGTTAAAAATTTCGCGTCGGACTCTGAGTCCCTGAACACAGACCTGGTTCGCGACAGGTTTGATTCTTGCCGATGCCACTAGCGTTCGCAATTCCTGCACGTTGAAGTTGCTCACTCCGATGCTCCTGTGTGTGCAGTGAGAACAATGAAGAGTGTTAAGCTGGATCTACTCACTTCGCCAGCCCGTCGTCCTTGATCTTCTCCATCTTACCCCACATGGTAGGGATGTCCGGCACAGCGAGGTCAGGCCCGTGAATCAGGTACAAGTCCACGTAGTCAACTCCAAGCTATGATTATCAAGGCTCATCTCGCAGTCGTAGACAAGAGTCGCGAATGGCTCACGTAGTTGCAACTGTTGCGAATCGAAGACTCGATGTCTGCGCGTCCGGAGTACTTGGTAGTGATGTATACATCCTCTCGTTTGAGTCCACTGGCACGCAGGGCATCGCCTGCTTCACTTTCATTCCGATAAACTTGGGCAGAGTCTGTCCAGCCGAGTCAGCGCTGATCAACGACAGCTAGGCATCCCACACCAATGTGTGTGAAGCCGACCTCGAGGGCCTGGTTCACCCTCTCCATCGTTGTTTGCCCGTTTCCGAGTTTCCAAGTTCCAAATGCGATACTTGGTATCTCGGTTCCTGACGGCAGTCCGTGTCATCCCAAAGAATACGGTAGTGTGCTGTGCTGTGCTCACCATCATTCAACCTGATAGGACTCCAAGGCATATCAGCAACGACGGTGGGTGTCAAGAGAAAACGATCACTCTACTTCTACAGAGTCCTTGAGACTCACGGCTTGCATCCGTATTAGACGACATCGTTCTCACACCCCGAGGACGGTTTCGCCATGGTTTCTCCAACGATGACTCGAGAAATTAGCCCTGTTCCGTCACTTGACATCAAATCAGGCCGAATGCCGATGAACCTAGTACCTATCACCTATCAGTACACCAACGTGCATGCCGCGGCTCACAGGCTGACCTTGGACAGACTGGACTTCTACAGTCAGCTAGGTATGTGCTGACTTCGAAGTGGCAGTGTAGGTTAAGTAGAGCATCGCCATGCTACTCAAATGCTACCTTATTAGTACACGCTTCAAGTTACGTAATTTGCACCACGTACTTGGTTGGCAGTGATTGCCGGGACCACGTTCAATCGGCGTGTCTCTATAGCTACAACAGCCCGCATTGCATCCTCTTGCAAGTGCTGAACTTGATTGCAGTGCCGTACGGATGTGGCCGGCACCTGATCCTGCCACTGAGGTGTCCCGTTGTGTTGCTCTCGTGAGCTGCATGCGAGATGCCGACGATCCATCCCAAGACCTCCAGTCACTGCTAGACGTCTCTCCCGGCGATCCCAATGGAACCTCAATGCCACGTCTCATTCACACCTCTAAGACGTCAACCTGCCAAATGTTCGCATGTCAGTTGAGGAAGCGCAACGACCGTGACATCGACCAAGTGGTCTGCAAGCTTAGTTCGAGCGACAAAGGCATCGGCTCCTACGACGAGAGGCGAGCAGTTATCGGCTTCCGGAGCTCTCGGAGTTGCGTGGCAAGGAGATCCCTCAGTTCTTCGGATTGTACGAAGCGGTCGCAGACGACGTACCCAGTGCATGCATCATATTGGAGCACTGCGGGGAGGCCCTTGATGCGGACCACCCACTAGAACTGCAGAATAGTTATTTCCGGTCCGTTTCGCCATATCTTGACAGAAGGAAGCCAGAGCTGAACATCGCTTCCACAGAGTGGCGACGGTGCGGGCCTACGAGTCCTTGCATGTATTGGGCATCTATAAGCAACCCGCCATCTACGAGGGCGAAGACGAAGTTAAAGAAGTGCATATCCTGATGAGGAAAAACGGAGAGCCATGCCTTGTCGACTTCACCCGCGCGGAGAAACACAATTGCGACACAACAGTTGTGGACTTCGACATCCCAGAACCTCCACTGTCACTCCCAATTTGCGAGGAGATCCGTCAGCTTTACCACCTCGCTGACGCCTGGGAAGACTGTGAGCTTCTCGCATTGCAGCTCGAGGGATGGACTGATGCTTACACCGGCATTAAAGCATATTTCGTGATATTCAATGGAGACTGTGGTCTCAAGCTCCGCTATATTCCAGAGAATATTGATATGGATGACTTGGTGCCCCGACTTATCAGGTCCGGTGGGGGTCTACAGCGCATCGGTTTACATAACATTACTAGCGGACGTGCACGCCAGATGGCGACGGAGGCTCTTGCGAGACACGAGCAGCATCTCAAGGAAAGGAGGGAACGGTTAGAGCGACAGGACTATGACGAGGAGGAGGACGAGAGTACGTGAATGTGGCCTGTAGTGCAGATGTGGAAAAGTACGGCTTTTGGAATCATATGTGAATGAGAACATGCGATGGTTCACTCACACGAGCATTACAACCTGACTTTCAGTCGAGTTATCCCGCTGTCCGCCCAATATAATGTTGCACCCTCATTCCTATTCCGAGGAGACCTACGATCAGACTGGCCTTAGTTGGACCTCGCTATGGAAGATATCTGCGCAAGATGTTAGCATGGCAACGGCAGTCAAATAACCAGTCTTAGACTACCTGCTCACCATCAAGGAGTAATGCCCTCGCGGCCGCCTCGCTGCGCATGTATTCTTGAATCGTCTATCGCTAGCCTTCGCCGATCTCGACCAATTCCGCGCGCTCCGTCATCGATGCCTGCCTGTGAGTTGTCGGTAGCAACGCACCACCAGTTTGCACTAAGTCTTTCCATCAAAGGTTGACTCGTCCAGTTGTGTACTCGAACGACAAGGAAAGGTAGTGGAGAGAAGGGATCGCGTTCACGAGCAGCTGGGGAGCCCATCCGTCGCTGCGATCCCAGCGCATGTCCTCTCTGAGCTGTCGCAAGCGAGCTGGCTGCTATAACTGGGTTCCTGTACTCGGCGAACGAAGCGGTTGCTGTATTAGAATTTTGCCAAGTAACATTGTGAGGACCTCAATACGATTCAGCACATGTTGCTGGATTGGTGGATGTGCGCTGTGACATGTCTTCAAGATACAGTGACGATATTGCTCGCTCGAGTTCCGGGCTTGTGCAACTAGACGCGTGACGGCAACATTGCAGTTCAGTACATTCGAGTCCTTCGATATTAGTACATGATGATTTCAACCCCAACGGCACGCTCTGTGGCATACATCATCAAGAGTCCATGCATACAGATGGGTCGTACGACACCGACATGTAACCGGGTCAGTCGACCTCCTCCTCTTCGTTATAACTGCTCTTCACGGGCAGCTTCTCGGCCCGCCTGAACGGCTTGAACGAGTCACAGCGATCGACATCCAGCACCACGCCATACGAGTGCGGCTCTCCACCTTCAGTCTCCCCTACGAAGTACCGGATATTATCCTCGGAAATGTCCCCGTGTAGGACTCCCGCGGTATAATATTCGTAATGCGCTGACAACGACATAATAGCAAAACAGTGAGTTAAAGGCCATGTCTAACGGTGTGGCGTACCGATACACGCACCATATATGGCCTCTATCATCGAACGAACCCACCGGAGCGAACTGGGGTAGTGGATGATGCGGATCGGAGCCACCTCGACGATGTGTGGTGATAGACGGCGGAGTGGAACCTTTTCGGTAGGGGGAGGAGGAACCTTCTCGGTAGCCATGTTGCGGAAAGGCTGGCCAGGACGTCGGTGACCGTTATTCTAGAGTAGTTTGTCTGAACATCTGTTTGCAGGTCGTTCGTCTCCTAGTTACAGAAAGAGAGAAGACATCCCGAAACGGCATTGTACCACTCGTGTGAAGCCTCTAACGGGTCGGGTGGTCCCGAAATGCGCGTTCGGCGAGCATGTCCTCGCAGAACTTGGGTTGTAGTCGCAGTTCCATGTGGCGATGCTGAGCATGCTCTCTCTATAGTCACATCCTCGCTGGGCCAGCGACTGGCAGTGGACCAGCAGTGGGAGCCTGAAGCCCTGAAGAGGATACGTACCTATTACTACAGCTATGACGGCGGGTAACCAGTCGTCGTCGGTCAGCGCACGAAGCCAGATTCGGCCTACCAAGGATGGACTTCAAGCAACGAGGAGGAGATGGAGGTTGAGAATGGGACCATTCAAGCACCACGCCACACAGCGCAGAGGAGGAAAGAGCAGAGGGCCGCCGGGCACCAGCCTGAGCCACCCTCAGCCACCGTACGGTACGTGACACATGTAACACGCCACAAGCCTCAGCCTCAGTACCGAGCCTTTGATCCAGATCGAACTCAAAGTCAAATGTGCTTCGCTGTTTTGACCACCCAGATGCGAAGTATTGCACGCATGTCCGTCTCATTTGAAGGCGCACCCAATATTCCCGTTGGCCACAGCAGAATCGCCCCGAGGAGGATGCGTAGAGCCGAACGGCCCTGTGCTCTGGCACGAGTGTTGTCCCGGGGGATGGCCAAATATGTACTAGCAACTAGCTTGAAAGATGTGTTGTGGGCAGAGCTGAGTCGTGGAGTGGATCAGAATACACTGTCGTAGTATGCTTTCTTGTATGTAAGTGCTAACTGCCAGGATGTATTCCATGACTGGAAGCTCTAGCTATAGTGTGTGAGTCGATACTAGCGGTGTTCGCCGCGACCAGACTAAAACAATGTCCAGACTTAGTACACAAGGCCTCGTATCTGTACTTGGATGACTCGCCAGTGGCTTCTCTGAGTCGAGAAACTACTGTGACTATGTAAAGGAACGCACGACTACTAAGGCTCACGACTTGGCGTATTTCCTGAAGAAAAACAGAGACAGAGGAACCAACGTTGAACGTTGAACGTTGAACGACGTGTTCGGCACAATAACCATCGTATTCCGCCAAGCATACACAATCAGCGACATGCGTAAGCAAACGCGCAATCTAACTAGTACCACTTCAGTATATCAACGTCCATACAGACTCAGTCCAACTCGTCGATCTCCATCGCCCTCGCGAAGAGCTCCTCCTCGAACTCGCGGGCCAACAGCTCTTCCTCCTCGCTCAAGCTGCGGCGGCGAGGCGGTTTGGGAAGCGGGCGCGGCTTCGGCTTGGGGGTCGGAGGCAACGGGCGGGGAGCTGGCTTCGGGGTCGGAGGGAGTGGGCGCGGTGGGCCCCTGGGCATTACATCACGGACCCAGAAGACATCCTCGTCGTCGAACGAACGCTCGAAGAGGGACTCTTCATCGAAGTCACGCTCCTCAAGCTCGGAGTCGCTCCAGGTGCTGCGGCGCTTAGGAGGTTTGGGCAGCGGGCGCGGCTTAGGCTTGGGGGTCGGAGGCAACGGGCGGGGAGCTGGCTTCGGGGTCGGGGGAAGTGGGCGCGGCGGGCCCCTGGGCATCACGTCGCGTGCCCAGAGGCTGTCCTCGAGGCCCCGCTCGTACAGAGTCTCATCCTCGGCTGCGCGGGACCAACTGTGCAAGGAATCAGTTTCGGTGTGGCATGCAACAGGGCAGAAACTCACAGTCCTACGGGGAGGGCGAGAGCCGGCGCGGCGGTCGCAGCAGCAAGAACAACAGAGAATACGGTGGAGTAACGCATGATGGGTCGTAAGACGTGCGGGGCAGAAAGAACGACGGTCGTGAAAAAAGCGGGGCTAGCATCCGCGGTCAGTATCGACAGCGACAGTCAGGAGTGTTACAGTACTCACCAACCAGTACCCTCACTTGGGATGAGCTCGAATGAGAAGAGTGAGCTGAGGAATGGGGGAGAGGGCGGACTTCTTTTATACGTAGAGCTCCCAGCGCTGCACAAGCGGCTATCGGGAATGTCCCAAGAGTCTAGAGAAGCAGACGGGCAACGAACACGGGAATCTGCGGCGTTCGTGTACCACAAACCAACAGTACACCGCATGCCTTCCCGCTGCAAAGTCATGATACCCGCATCTATGGAGTGAATGGGCTCCGTAACAACCGTAGGTCCACCTTAACATTCAACAGGCATTTGGGTCCCTACGAGATCTTTGCGACATTAGCCTATGCCGTGAACATTGTGAGCTGAAGGAGAATACACCGTGCGGCGTGAGGATCACATGTCGTTTGTCCGAGTATTGCCAGCTTAGCTGGCGGCTGTAGAAGATTCGGGTTACACGCATCCTCTACACTGGTAGCCGAAACAACAAGGTGCGGACTGTCTCAGATTGACGCACCTGGCCCGGGTGCACCCACACGCGACCCGATGGGTACGGCGAGACGTCGGAGACGAGACGCACGGCGGCTCGCGAGCGGATGAAAGCTTGAGCGAAAGACGTATCAGCACAACTTCAATGCAAACTTTAGGAGCCCGTTACTTAGCTGCAGAGAACAAGACGAACATTACTGGCTGCTTCATGCCTGCGCTATGGTGTCAGTAGTGCAAGCCCTTCACAAAGCTTGAAGTCCCGTCTGTGATAGATATCATATAGAACCGTTCCCATCGCTGCAACGTCCGAACGCAGGCGCTCAAGGCGCTTCGTGGTGGTCTTCCAGCATCGGATTCCCGCAGATCTACATGCTATAGCGCGCATGAGTGACAGTGCATGATTATTGACAGTGTGGATGCGGTGCTGATCTACGTGACTTACATAGTAAGCATACGGAGAGCGCCCCGTACTGTGCCCGGTCGGGATCTCGGTCGGGTTAGGTTTCTTAGCGGTGAGTTGAGTACCACAGGCGCGACTCTTGGGCAGGACACACCGAAAGTACCTGGCTAAGTTGCGATAAATTGTAGGAATTCTAGCCCGACATAGCAGTGCTGTCGATCGGCACTCGCACTAGGTGAAGTCCAAACCAACCGCAAGTCTCCTGATTCACCAAAACAGTGGGCACTGCCAGCATTGCGCCAGCAGAGATCGGGGAACGTAGATGCTCTGCGGTTGCTCTGCGGGTTGCTGTCAAAATGTCCGAACGAAAGAGGCGCCTCGGGCGGGATCACATACCTCAGTGTCTACTCGGATCTTTCGGCCATGGAGTGTAAGCGATTTGTAGCCCGCCCGGATGCGGGACGGGCCTGATTTTCGTACCCAATGGGCAAGCGTGTCTCACACACGGATCCCGCGCCATGTGAAGTCACTACAGAGGAGTGTTTACCGCGTCGGGTATTCCACAGACGTGGACCGGCTACTTGTCATGCATATACTCACACAAGTCACGCACTAAGTTCCAGGCGTTGAGTGGGACCGGCGACGCTAACATGTACCATAGTCCTGGCGCAACTGGATGCGTGACGAGCAACACTGCAAAACAATAATGCATTCAAGTCCTTCGATATTACACGATGATCTCAGCAACGTGACATTCTGCGACATAGATCACCAACAGTCCATACTACGTACCAGTGGCTCGTACAAATCGATCAATCGACCTCCTCCTCTTCATTGTAAGTGCTCTTCGCGGGTAGCTTGTCGGTGCGCCTGAACGGCTTGCAGTCATCTGAGCGATCGATGTCCAGCAGCACGCCAAACACGACATTCTCTCCTCCATCTTCAGCCTTCCCTTCGAGAATCTTGATGTTATCCTCGGATACATTCCCGTGGAGGATACCCGCTTTGTAATATCCTTCGTGCGCTGAAACGATGGTAGAACAACGAATTAGAGCGAGTCTGACAATGCGGAGTACTGGCATACGCACCAAGTATCGCGCAGAGCATTGCGGCGACCATCTCCCATGAGCTGCGGAACTCGCTAAGGCGCCGCGGCTTCACTTTGATGATGTGCGGTGATAGTCGGCGGAGGGGAATGCTCATGTTGTAGGCGAATCAGCAAGGGCCCAAGATGTCAGAGGTCGGTCGTCGTTCACCGGGCGAGAGTCGGAATCTTTCGTCCCGAAAGATTGGGAAAAGAGTTCGAATCTTTTTACCCATATTTGGTATGAATGATTAGTAATATGATTGCAAACATTATGTTCGATCATTGTGTGCACAATATTGGAGACAGATTCCTAAAAAGATTGTAGACATTGTTTTGAATCATTCTGTGTGCAGTATTGAAGACAGATTGGTGTAAAGATTGGAAATGAGTTTTGGTCATAACATCTCTGATCTTTCAATGTAGAAGCTTGCAGAAAGTTCTCAGATGCAGAATGAATATTTTGGGCCAAATTGATTGTGAACAGACATCAAAAGGATTGCAGAGTGATAAGTTACAATCTTGTTTCTCCATAATCACATCATGTAATATTGACAAATGATTGTGACAGGCTTCACAATCCTCCATATCTAATGTATTCCAAAGGTCTTTCAAAGGAAGTTTTGAGTTCTGTGAATACTGTCTTTTAGGTATGAAAGATTGGAAAGTATGATTGCAATCCTATCACAGCACATGTGTGCAGAAAGATGGTGATAGGATTAGAATGCAATTTTGAAGCTTGTGTCTCTGATTGAAGTGTAACATTGTTCATGATCTCTCCACAAACTCTTCTCCTGAAATATTGGGAACATTGTACTCAAGATTTGGGCATGAAGTATTGGAAATAGATAGCAGTGGCACACCTAGCTGCAGTGTACCCTCTCAATTCCAACAGCTCACATGAAGAGATACATGAAGTATTGTGACCATGGGGGTGACAAATCATGTTTGTGATCTTTCAGGGAACAAAGATAGTGAATGAAAGTGTGCCACTCCTAAAAGATTGCAAACATGTGTGTGCCACTTGTGAAAGATTGCAAACAAATGGGTGCCACTCAGAGCAGATTGTAAAGAAATCAGTACTGATGCCATCTGGGACCAGCCTCTGCATATGTAAACATGGTCAATCACACTGGACTATGACTTGGATAGGCAGACAAGTCAATACAGTGACAGGCTGACTAATATATGTAGTACATGTATATGTATAAAGCACATACACTGGATAGTACAGCCTGAACATTGGGACAATTAGTGGTGTTGCAGGTGATTGTACAGTGTAATTGTACAAGGACATGTAACATGCTTGTACAACTGCCATGCATATGTATTGCTACTGTACAACTACCTGTGCAACTGTACAAGGAGTTGTACAACTACTTGTACATCTACTTGTACATAACAACTTGTACAACTACTTGTACATCTACTTGTACAGGGACTTGTACAACTACCTGTGCAACTGTACAAGGGCTTGTACAAAGGCTTGTACAAGGGCTTGTACAAAGGCTTGTACAAAGACTTGTACAAGGGCTTGTACATGGGATTTGTACAAGGACTTGTACATGGGATTTGTACAAGGACTTGTACATGGGATTTGTACAAGGACTTGTACAAGGGCTTGTACAAAGGCTTGTACAAAGACTTGTACAACTACTTGTACAACTACTTGTACAGGGACTTGTACAGGGACTTGTACATCTACTACGTGCAGTCACAGAGCAGTGCGAGCAGAACTCTGAGGCCGGGCAACGTACAGCACGACGCACACAGTGATCGTGAGCACGTAGGGCCAATTCACTACGTGCACAGACAGCCGATGGATGGACAGCATGCGCGCGCAAGTGAGCAAGCAAGTGGGTGACAAGGCGGGTACAGGGCATGACAACGCCCAGCACGACACGGACACGGACAGTGACCATATGCATACAGGGTGAATACCCTGTGTGCAAACATGGCCGTCAGCAGGTGAACATGGCCATAGGCCTTCTTTAAAGGTTTGTGAATGTGCATGGCACATCGATGACAATTCTTCTGACCATCTTCACGATAAGGCTATAGAGCTCGACTAGTACGACCCAGGCTCCCGACTCGGGCTTTCTCGATCACATCACCAAATATTGTGATGGCACCGGTACCACCAGACGGCTGTTGCGCGAACGCAAGGTCCTGCGCTTTGTCCCATTTGGCTCACCACTCGATAAGGATCCAACCGAGGCGGGCGACTTAAGCTTACTGGGTACTAACACCGGTGATGTGGCTACACCGTTTGAGCCATCAATTGAGGCCGCAGTACAATCGATATCGACCCGTTAGGCGGAGCTGTCATTGACTGCCATCCCGACGCGAGGCATTCGTGCCGTCCCACTAGCCCGAGTGCGCAAGCCTGAGCACAATAACCGAGCGCAGTCGGAGGAAGAGGGACAGAACAAATGACAGGTAGGAGTGGTGAACGAAGAGACAGGAAAGCAGAGGCGTGAAACCCAAGGTCGGTCGTTTTTAGCATTCCTACTGACGGCTTCTGTTTTCAGTCACCATGCTCGAGCAAATGCATTGACAAGCAACAACTTGCAGTGCCTATTTGTCCGCCAGTCCCGCCAGTCCGTGCCCGCCCTCGCCCTCTTTGCTTGCACGCCCGCCCGCGCGCTCTCCCCGTCTCCTTTGCTCAGCTTACGCGCCCGCCTGCTTTGTTCGCCCACCTGTTGAATGGCCCGCCCACCCTGCCTCACATTGCAGCCCATTCCCATCCTTCTCCCTGGCTTGCCCTCGCCCTTTCGCTGTTGCCCTCTTGCTTGCCCGCTTATCCTCTCGCGCCTACCTGCTTGCACTCTCGCGCCTACCTGCTTGCACTCTCGTGCCCGCCCGCTTACCCTCTTATGCCCACGCGCCCGCCCTCTCGCACCCGCATCGCCAGTCTTTCCTGTATGCCCATCCTCTCGTTAGCTTGCCCTCCCGTTCTCGTTGCTCTTCTCTCGCCCATTCACCCCTACCCTGTCCGCGTGTTCTTGTACGCCCGTGATCGCCCTGTTGCTAGCTCGACCACCCGCCCGCCAACACGTTCTTTCCTGCCTGCATTTGTCCTCTTACCCGACCACCGCCCACCCAGGCCTGCCCTTCCGTCTTCGGCTTCATGCCTGCTCGCCCTCGACTTCTTGGGTCCCCAGCAGTTCTGAGGGTAGAGCCATTGAGGTCGACTGTACCTCCGACACCGATGAGGGAGGAACTCAGCCCACTTACGCCTCGGGAAGCCTGCAAGGTTGCAATGCCGCAGGAGGTTGTGTCAAAGCCAACAATCCCGAAGGAGGCATCGAAGGCTGCAACACCGAGGGACGCTACCGACGTCCAAGGAGGCCTCCCGGAGCCCCCCGAGGTGTCGAAGGTGCTGACTCGGTCAACATGAAAGGTGTCTGCATAAAAGGTGTTAGCTCTGCATGCCTGCGGTGGACATTTGCGCTGTGCAGCCTGTGCTGCACGTCGCCGTATCCCGTGCATGCCGTCCATCCGTCCTCGCCTATCTCCCAGCTGCTTGCCCTCCCTCGCCATCTGCTCGCTTCCGTCCTCGTTCGCTGTGTACTCGTCCTCGTCTGTCTCCCAGTTGCTTGCATGTCTCTCCCAGCCGCTCGCCTCCCCCGCCACCCGCTCGCTCCCGTGTGCGCCCGCCATCTACTTGTCCTTGCCTGTCTCCTAGCCGCTTGCTGCCCTTCACCGCCGTCTGCTCGCTCGCGCACGCGCCTCACTGTCCGCTCGTTCTCGCCTGTCTTCTAGCTGCTTGCCTGTCTCTCTAGCTGCTCGCCCTCCCTCGCCACCCGCTTGCCCTCCCTTGCCATCCACTCGCCCTCCCTCGCCGTGTGCTCGCCCTCCTTTGCCATCCGATTGCCCGTCCGTGCCCTGCGGTTTGCTCGTCCTCGCCTGTCTCCCAGCCGCTTGGCTGTCTCTCCCAGCTGCTCGCCCTCCCCCGTCACCCGCTCGCTCCCGTCCGCTTGCAGTCATCGCTGCTCGTCGGTATGGCTCTGCGTGTCGGCTGTGTTTGTACGCGGGGCTTTTGCCCTCTGCGCTCGCGGGTGGCGTGTGTTCTGTTGTGCGCTCCTGTATGTCTACTGCCTACTCGCCCTCCCTCAGGCTTGTCCTTCAGCCATTCACACATGGTCCGTTCCTCGGCCATGTTTGCACACAGGGTATTCACCCTGTATGCATATGGTCACTGTCCGTGTCCGTGTCGTGCTGGGCGTTGTCATGCCCTGTACCCGCCTTGTCACCCACTTGCTTGCTCACTTGCGCGCGCATGCTGTCCATCCATCGGCTGTCTGTGCACGTAGTGAATTGGCCCTACGTGCTCACGATCACTGTGTGCGTCGTGCTGTACGTTGCCCGGCCTCAGAGTTCTGCTCGCACTGCTCTGTGACTGCACGTAGTAGATGTACAAGTCCCTGTACAAGTCCCTGTACAAGTAGTTGTACAAGTAGTTGTACAAGTCTTTGTACAAGCCTTTGTACAAGCCCTTGTACAAGTCCTTGTACAAATCCCATGTACAAGTCCTTGTACAAATCCCATGTACAAGTCCTTGTACAAATCCCATGTACAAGCCCTTGTACAAGTCTTTGTACAAGCCTTTGTACAAGCCCTTGTACAAGCCTTTGTACAAGCCCTTGTACAGTTGCACAGGTAGTTGTACAAGTCCCTGTACAAGTAGATGTACAAGTAGTTGTACAAGTTGTTATGTACAAGTAGATGTACAAGTAGTTGTACAACTCCTTGTACAGTTGCACAGGTAGTTGTACAGTAGCAATACATATGCATGGCAGTTGTACAAGCATGTTACATGTCCTTGTACAATTACACTGTACAATCACCTGCAACACCACTAATTGTCCCAATGTTCAGGCTGTACTATCCAGTGTATGTGCTTTATACATATACATGTACTACATATATTAGTCAGCCTGTCACTGTATTGACTTGTCTGCCTATCCAAGTCATAGTCCAGTGTGATTGACCATGTTTACATATGCAGAGGCTGGTCCCAGATGGCATCAGTACTGATTTCTTTACAATCTGCTCTGAGTGGCACCCATTTGTTTGCAATCTTTCACAAGTGGCACACACATGTTTGCAATCTTTTAGGAGTGGCACACTTTCATTCACTATCTTTGTTCCCTGAAAGATCACAAACATGATTTGTCACCCCCATGGTCACAATACTTCATGTATCTCTTCATGTGAGCTGTTGGAATTGAGAGGGTACACTGCAGCTAGGTGTGCCACTGCTATCTATTTCCAATACTTCATGCCCAAATCTTGAGTACAATGTTCCCAATATTTCAGGAGAAGAGTTTGTGGAGAGATCATGAACAATGTTACACTTCAATCAGAGACACAAGCTTCAAAATTGCATTCTAATCCTATCACCATCTTTCTGCACACATGTGCTGTGATAGGATTGCAATCATACTTTCCAATCTTTCATACCTAAAAGACAGTATTCACAGAACTCAAAACTTCCTTTGAAAGACCTTTGGAATACATTAGACATGGAGGATTGTGAAGCCTGTCACAATCATTTGTCAATATTACATGATGTGATTATGGAGAAACAAGATTGTAACTTATCACTCTGCAATCCTTTTGATGTCTGTTCACAATCAATTTGGCCCAAAATATTCATTCTGCATCTGAGAACTTTCTGCAAGCTTCTACATTGAAAGATCAGAGATGTTATGACCAAAACTCATTTCCAATCTTTACACCAATCTGTCTTCAATACTGCACACAGAATGATTCAAAACAATGTCTACAATCTTTTTAGGAATCTGTCTCCAATATTGTGCACACAATGATCGAACATAATGTTTGCAATCATATTACTAATCATTCATACCAAATATGGGTAAAAAGATTCGAACTCTTTTCCCAATCTTTCGGGACGAAAGATTCCGACTCTCGCCCGGTGGTTACTATACAGCTGCGAAGTTCGTTTATTGCATGTTTGCAGGTCATCGCATTTTCAAGCAACAGGACAAAAGGGACGAAATGGCATTGTACGAGCTGAGATGCCCTCTAGGCGAGCATATCCCCTCGGAGCCCTGGACAGTAGAAGGGTGCTGCGCAGATGCAGTGGTAGAATCGAGAATTGAGGAAGTCGCAGTACGCTCAATGCGAGTATCACGATACAGTACGTGGCCCAGTACTAGTGTAGTCGCAGGCCGGCGGTTTAGAGCGGGCCAACGGAGGATACTGTATACTTTTAAATGATTCGTCGGTCACGTGTCACAGGCGGCCCCGACGAAACGAAAATCCGGTGTGAATAACGTGTCACAGGGCCTTTGAGACGGGCGCTAGACCTGCGGCGCCGGCGCTACGCGCCCAATTAGGTAGGTAGTATACCTAATCGGGTAATTTGACGAATACAAATTTTCGTCAGGCCGGTCACAGTCACACTTGGGTGACGAACCATTTAAAAGTATACAGTACGTACCTATGTACAATGTGGAAAACCACCCGCCCCAGATCAGCGCGCGAGAGCTGAAGCTGTGCCTGCCGAAAGAGGTGGAAAGACAATGATGCAAGAGAGGACGAGGAGGAGAGCGAGGAGGGGTGGCGGGCCACACTGTGCCAGTGACCAAGTTCAAGTTGGCCACACGTTGGCCACACGCGTACGGGCGCTTTACACCTGCTTATGTAATCTTAGCAGCGCTCGCTCTTCCGACCAAATTCCTGCCTGTGGCACTGATCCAACCTGGGTCCAGGGACTCCGGAGAGGACGACCACTCGAGCCAGGACCGCGTGAAACGAGAAAAGAAGTGTGAAGTATCCAGTAGATTGTCTGCTAGCGTGAGTGCAATGCCGTACTTATCATCTTGGTCAGTGAACTGGCATCAGTGGCCAGCCTACAAATTTGCTTATTCGGGCATTGTCGTATCGTTTATTGTGTCGTTTGCCCCGAAGCTCTCACTGCTGCAGCTAGTATCATGTAGACGCAGAAAATGGAGACGGTTCATGATGCCAACTGTCAGAGGTGGACACGCCGTGAGTCCATGGAGACAACATGGCTTTAAAACCGAGGGAGTGCTGGAGCGTATCATCCGACTCCCGCCTCTGATCAATTTTTGGCCACAACACTCGTAGACGCAACGATGTCGTGGGCTCCTCTCACTATGAACGATGGTTGTATAGTGTCCTTGATGATTTTCCGGCTGCGCGTTAACGATATATCATGATGTGTAGGGAATCGCATCCCCAGGATCGCCTACGGCACCTGGGGGCGCGGCAACGGAGAGGAGGCAATCGCGTACGTCAGCAACGCGCTCTCTGTCGGTTGCACTCACATCGGTGGGTCGTTTGATGCTGGCATGCACTTGGATCATTGCTCACCGTGTTTTACACCAAAGATTCCGCCCAAGTATACAAGAACGACGCGGAGGCCGGAGCGGCTATTCGTGCGAGTGGACTGAAGCGCGAAGACATATACATCACCACGAAGTATTCTAGCCTTGCGGAAATCGACACGTCCATACGGAACAGCTGTGATTGGGTGAGCTCGTCATCGACGCGGTCAAGAAGTGGCTGAACAGATTCATGCTTACCTTGAACAGTTCGGCGTCGACTCCGTGGACATATACCTGATTCACGGACCCAACCATGCCAAACCGGACATACCGACGATCTGGAAGAAGATGGAGGGCATCAAGGAGGCAGGTTTGGCGAAGTGAGTAGACGTACTTCATCGGCGCTCTTGTGGGGAACTGTTCCTGGCCGCAGGAGTATCGGAGTGAGCAAGTTCATGGTCAGCCACCTGGAGATACTGTTGGAAAGCGCGAAGATCAAATCTGCAGTCAATCAGGTCAGTCGTCATACGAGCGTGGTCTCAGTCAATCCGTCCTGAATGCGGGCGACAGATCATGGTTCACCCACAAGTCATGCATATCCAAGGGCCTGTCATCGAGTTCTGCAAGAAGGAAGGCATCGTGGTCGAGGGATACTGTCCTCTTCTGTGCGTGACACCCTTCAGGATGTTGGCCATGAGTTGATTGTACCGTACAGACCTCTGATACACTACTCCGACGGCCTAGTCGCCACGCTCGCACATGAGATAGCGCAACGCCTGGGTGTCAAACCGGAGCAGGTCTTGATTGCGTGGTCAAAGTCGAAGGGCGTCGTGGTAGTCACGTGTGCATCGTTCATCGTACCAATGATCGTCGACGACTCACCCAGGGAACGTTCGTAGGTCGAGCACGAAGAAGGAGCGCTTGGAGGATATCCTCTCTGCAGGAGAACTCGGTACGTCTCTCCCTTGCGTCGTGATAATCGACAGCATCGTCATTTACTCACTGGTCTGGACGTATCCATCCAGAGCTTTCGCCTGAAGACATCAAGGCGATCGATGCAGCGGGATTGGCCGATCCTCAAGAACTCCCCACTCCTGCAATGTATGCAAGAAAACTGTGTCGTCAGCGCCATCGTGAAGTAAATCCAGGGTCATGGCTCGTCATAACTCAACGCGTCGCAACACACTCATCTGGTTGAAGAAACGGCTGATGCCTATCCGTTGAAGCATATAAGTACATAGCTAGGGCGACGTTCGTGGATCATATATGCAGAAATCTTGTATAGTAATGTGGCACTGTGAGGCTCCGCTTGTCAGTTGAAGATGGACAAGAGACAAAGGACGTACCTGCCACTACAGTTCCGAGACTTGGCCATCAAGTCCGAGGTTCTCAGAGACATTGCTCTTCGAGGCGTGACGGTGGCCAGAGGTGGCGACGTTGTTTCCACGTCTGAATTCTCTGCGACTCGCCCCATTGTCGAGATCCAGGAGGACGCCGTAGGTGCGGCTCGCTCCCGTGGGTGTCATTTCCTCGAATGTCATGATGGCCTCCGGATAGATATTCCTGTGGATGAACCCAGCCTCGTAGTACCCTTTGTGCGCTGGAGCCTTCTCAGGAAGAAAATGTATACCCGCGCACATTACGACGTACCGGTAATAGCATCAGCCATGGTGCGCACGAGTTCGAGGGAGGACCTGAACTCGATGAGCCGTCTCGGACGCACGCGTACTGTGTGCCAATTCGGGTCCAGTTTAGCAGTCATGTTTGGCGGACAGCTCAAAGACGAGTAGTTCTTCAGATGGGTTTCACGACGAAATGGAATGGAGGAACGGAGGAGGCCATGCGAACGCCATCACACGGTGCGATTCTGTGGCGCAAGCCTGCCAGCGTTCGCACGTGACCGTTCAAGAGAGCATTGTTCTTTGAGCGCTTGTACACTGCAGGCCGTCATCACAGCGACCACCCGTCTCCTCTCGATGCCCAAGAAAATAGCCATGCCAGTGAGTAGGATGATTTCTGAGCGCATTGCAGTCTGCCCGTACTCTTGTTTTTGGTGATATCCATGGGCGCCAATATCCTATGCGGATGCTTTCAGCAGGTGCTACATAAGGCGCCCACCGTTCGGAGAGCGAGACGCAGACGTCTCCGCCCCCGTCCATAGTGCTCTGTACGTAGGAGATCAGCGACTAACAGTGAGTACTACTTATCACTTATCGAGTATTCTTTACCTGAAGCACCAGTACTCTATTTACTGGTCACTGTGCTTGGGACCAGCCTCGGTCGCACAGAGTTCAGTTTGGCAAGTCTGATAACAGACTTAGTGCGTTGTCGGACCAGACGTTCCTGTCCGTCGCGCACGCACAGAATACCAAGATGTCCCAGGCTATAGGCCTTCAATCGTTGAACGACGATATCCTCAGTATCATCGTCACCGCATGGCTCTCCCAGCGAGACGCGGCCAATCTAGCCTTGACGTCCCGCACAGTGAGCACCGTCGCCAGGCGGCGCGTCCTCTCCTCCCTCCGACTCACGGCGCCAGTCGCCAGTTCCCGATTCCACAGGTTCATGCTCAAGGAGGACAGCGGCTTCCGCCTGCACTGTCTGCAAAAACTCTCCATCTTCCGCTCGAATCTCTCAGAGGTTGAACCGGACGACGGCTATACACCACTTGCCCGTGTCCTCGAACGGGCGCGAAACTTGCGGACGCTCGTCGTAACATACGTAGAGGACCACCTGGAGACCTCGAAAGGAGACGTACTCGGCGACGCCATCGCATCCCTTCGCGACCTCCAAGAGCTCGATCTGCATGATGTTGGCGAGGAGGGTATGGCTCTCTGCGAGAGGCTGACCTGCAAGCCGAGAGCAGTCCATTTGCGGGCATCGTGCTCATCCTTTGAGCCACATCTGGAGGTGGAGCATACAGCGTTCGCTGAGCTCCCCGTCCTGCAGGCCGCGTCGGTGGTGACTTTGCAAAACTTCACATTCGTGTCTCTCGCTGATGACGACTCGGAGCCACCGCCGCCACCAGGCCCTCTCCCAGCCCCGACCAACTTATGGCTCGACACGCACACCCTTCATCTAAGGAACGTCGATCCCATGGCGGTCGTCAAACTCTGCCCAAACCTCTCATACCTGCACATGACATTCGTAATGCTCGCTCATGATGGTCGAGACTTTTATCCCGGGGACTGGGATAATGCGTACAGCACTACTATCGGCCTTGTACCTGATATCATCGCGCGCCTGCGCGTCCTCGACGTCTTTGTCGACAATCCGGAGTCTATCCTCGACAAGACCATTGTCGCATCTGTCCGCGCGACTCATCCCGTGGTTCTCTCGATGCAATTCCATTATGGGGACAAGGGCCTGTGGGAACAACTCGCAGAACTGGCCAAGGGTCCTCAGGCGAGGTTGCGCTATCTCGACGTGCTGCTGCACGACGATCCTCTGCTCGCACAGAAATGGCTGGTACGCTTAACACCGCGCGCTTCCTAGTAACAGTTATCTCACTCATATGCATTCTGCTTCGGCGCAGGACGAGTGTCTCCCGCTGTTCTCTGACAGCAACCTCCTCTGCGTGGGCCTCAGGCTCGTCGAGTACATCGGGGACACCATCACCGCGCAGAAATACAGCGTACTCGAAGCCAGTCCGGACGACTCGAACTGGATCGAGGACAGCGAGTGGGAGGGCTTGTGGGACACGGCTCCGAAGGTACTCGCAGAGGTGATTCCATCCCTCCGCTACGTAGCGGTGTCGTCCGGGTGCATGGTGGAGGGCCGCGTGGACCGTGAGCAATCAACTTTTAGGGGGAAGGCACGATGGTGGCGCGTCGTGCGCGACAACTCGAAGGCAAATCCGGGCACGCCTGCGGGCGCTGCCACTGGAGCTGAAGATGGGATGGCACCGGCAGAGCTGACAGAGATCAATGGAGAGGAGGGAAGAGGAATGGACCAATACATGCGTGGCGAGGTTTTCGCAGACACTCTGCGACTTAATGAGTAACAGTCAAGTAGGTGTACCAGAGGAGATAGGTTCGAGCAAGAAACTGACGCGACCATGGCCCACGGAACCTCACTAAGTTACTTTGCTACTACTTGCATCTCGAAGCCCTGACACTCGAAGTCTCTGTTTACTATCATGATTAAGGACCAAAATTAAACATGGTAGTATCAAAACACATCGCAGAGCGGCTCATCGAATGTACTACTGGCAGTAGTACAGTAAGTAGTACTGCACTTAAATTACATATGTACTGTGCAGACCGTGAGGGTGCGCCACACTGCCGCCGTTGCAACTCAGATTGGCTACACCCGCTGGTCGCATGATAGTGGCCTCGAGGTACAGCGTCAATGATTGATTCTACAACACTGCCCACCGTTACGTGGCCCCACCTAAGTGAACAACATGAAAATTAATGGGTGTAGTAATACGGTGCTGCTACCTGTATTATCCCACACAAAGATTCTGACCAACTTGCAAATCTATTGAGCACGTCAGCTGTCATCCTCGGTGTGGTATAATCGTGTCTAATACTGACCACACGACGAATCGAGCCAAGGGTTTAGTGTGTGCAACTGTGCATCGGTAAGACCATAAGAAGACTCGATGTTCGAGCAGGAATCACCGCTAACGACGGTGTAGACATTGTTGCACGCCGGAGAATTTTGAACGCAGTAAGCCTGCGAGAGCGCTGTCAGTGAAGATAGACAGAAAAAACAGTAGCCGCGCACAGCCAACTGTAGATCTGGGGAGCAGAGTGAGCAGAGAGCGCAAGCGGAGATCCCAGCGATAAAAACACGTACTGTTGCAAGTCGACGAAACTTCAGGGTTCCAGCGCAAGAAGTCGCTCAGCGCGATGTTGTATCTGTACGTTGTATCAGCGCAATTAGTCATCATCAGCTAAAAAAACAACTCACTTGGAATCGATCGTGGTGCATGAGTCCCCGGACTGCACGGTATCTAGGCAACCCCTGAGACAGCGATCGCACGGAAAGTTGTCTGACTACCTACAATATGCAGTACAACTACCAGGAGAGAAATGATTGGTCAATGAATTACTTCACTAAGTCTTCGCACCACTCACTTCGTCCAGCTTCCGCTTGCGATGTTTGTGGGTGTCGCGACTACTGACGTAGAGGCCGTGGTTGCTGATGTGGTTGTTTGACCAATCGTTGTTGTCTGCGTCGGTGTCGTAATCGAGCCAACACAGAGGATCTGACCGACTTGCAAGTCGCAATTGGAGTCTAACCAGGGGTTGAGGTCCTGCAACTGAGCCGCAGTGATCCCTTCGTTCGTCTCAATGAGACCACAGTAGTCGCCGGAAGCGACAGTGTAGAGCTTGGGACAGGCGTCACCTGAGAGGTCTGATCAGTCGACCGGATCTTATGAGGCTCGTGAAACATCAAACCTCCGCCACCAACGCAATACGCCGCATTGAGCTCAATGGTCTCACATGCTGTATCGAGCTATCCATTCACAATTAGAATTCGGTGTAGTCGAATTACGGAACACCATACCTCGGGATTCCACCGTAGTAGATCAGTAAAGGATATGTTCGCTGCAACCTCCAGTGTCGAGCATGTGTCCCCGCTGACTACGGTCGCGTATGATGTACAATTCGTGAACGATCCCGCTGCAAGATTGCTGGGAGGACCGGTCGTCGTTGAGGAGGGCAGGTATATCGAAAGCACGCAATAGCTACGGAAGTCTGTTAGTAACATCGAAACGAGACGAACGGCATATAGAGAGTGAACGTACCTCACCCCGAGCTGTAGGGTAGTACAGTCAGCACCTGCGCCGGGGTTCAACTCCAGAAATTGGTCGCTCGTGAGCCCGAACTCGGCCTCAATGCTCGCGCAGCCATCACCGGCGACGACGGTGTACCACTCCGCGCAGTCCGGTGTACTCTTCGGGTCGGCATTGGACGGGCGCGTCGCGTTGTAGAGCGTATAGTTCCCTGTGGGGAAAACGACGCAGATGCTCGTGTTCGCGATGGGTGCCGCATTTGCGAGCTGTGGGTTCCAGGTCTCGAGTACGGATACGTTGAGTCCGACCTCTGAAGAAATCGAGTCGAGGGTGTCATTGCTCTGTAGGTCGAAGAGATCCGTCAGCGAGCAACGAAGGATGAAGCTTACATCATCATGATACCTGAACATCGTAATAATATCCGCATTCTAGAAAATATGATCAGCTCAGACGTGGGAAGGGTGCACAGCAGACTGACCTAAAGTGCGCGTGCCGTTGGCTACGTTTGTGGGCACGGCCACACCAACCGGGTCCAACGTCATCGTGTACCAGATGGGCGTGTAATTGGCGGTCGGCAACGGGTCGTGGTTCATGCCGCCATTGCTGAAGTTCCCGGTCGGGATCGGGGGCGCTGTTGAGGAGGCCAGCGGTGGGTATGGTGCAACTACATCAATGTCAGTGGCGTGTGCATGTTCAATGAGTTAGATGTGGCAGACCGCAATAGTAGTACCTAAACGACCCACGCAATAAGAAGCCGAATGATGCGATTAAGATGTATATACATACGCAAGCCAAAGGTTTGTACAATCGGCGTTGATCTAACAGTCTTTGCCATGAGGTCGCGTTCCTGAACCCCGAACAAACACTTGAAGTATCTCACCTCAGGGTTGATCGTCAAGAAGTCAGCAAGTGTGATGCCGTTGGCTATGATGATACTGGTGATCGTCATCAGCAGAGGAGACAATTCCACCGCAACGAGCCTGACCTGTTACAGTAATCGCCTATACAGAATTTCAGTGTTCGAAAACGCACTGAAGCTCATCAACTTACCTTCCTTCGTCAAGTACCATCTTCCGCAATTTGGCGTAGATCCCGGTCCCGTCGGCATGGGAACTGGAGCGACAGCAGTCGGCGTCGGGCTCGGCAGGGCAGTCGTAGTCACTCCAACCGCAGGCCATCCTCCGTTCGGACTGAGACAGATTGTGTCTCCCACCAACGCCGATATGCTCTGGCAATACGTCCCCAGCTCCGGATTGATCGAGATAAGCTGTACTGTCGTGACGTTTGTACCCGTCAGCGAGCCGCTCGCAGCGGCGACGGAGTCGCAAGTATCATTCGTTTGGACCGTGTATAGGTTGCACGCGGGTGGGATGCACAGCGTCGCGGGAGCAGTGATTGCGCAGGTACTGTCGACAAGTCCCGGGTTGCTTGATCGGATGTCGTTCGTGGATACTTGATACTGAGTGCCGAGCGCGGCGCAAGTGGTGTTGGTCGAGATAGTGACGTTTTGGCCGGTGTAGGCACAGGTGGCAGACATAGGCGGCGGGCCGGTCACACCGAACGTGGCGGTCGGCGCGGCGGAGACGACCTCAGAGGGGGCGACAGTAACGTTGTATGAATCGTACGCGCTGGAATACGCGGTCAGATAGTGGCAGCGAGGATAGCACATCACGTACGAGCCACATTGTTGGACAGCTTCGGAGAGCAGGTCCTGTAGCGGGTACGAGGATGAGACCGGGTTGGACACAGTGATGTTGAGCGTCTCCAGAGTGCAGAAGGTGCACAATTCGCTGCTGGGAAGGGAGAGCAGACCGCCCGTCGCGTTATATCCGTTCACAACAGGACCACAGTACTGCGCGTCGGACGCGTCATAGAGACACTGCAGCTCGTATGCACCTAGGACGGTGTCGATGACGTACGTCGCGGGATATGTCGCGTTCGTCGAGTCGGTGAACGTGTAGCCCGCGCAGTTCGTCGCGACAGCAGCACGGTAGCCTGTCAGGGCGGTGGAGCACGCGGATGTGCAGACAGCCTCGAGATCGGCGGTGTCCTGGAACAGATAGTCGTACGAGCTACGAGGGCGTGTCAGAAGCAAGCAGCACGAAGCAATAGCAGCATACCTCATGAGAGGAACAGTGGAATTGCACTGAATTGCGGCAGTGAGTGAGTCAGCGCAGGCGGACGGAGGGGCAGGGTTGGTCGGCAGGGCGTCCGAGGTGTACAATACAAAGGACGTAGTACTGTTATCGGCGTACGGACTTGTAGCATTGCTTAGCGTAGTGTCAAGGATGTGCAGATGAAGAGAAGTAACGGTCGAAGGCGTCGGTGCAGGGGAAGACGGCGACGGAGAAGCAGATGCACGCGCAGATCTCAGCTGCCCGAGAAGCCGATCGTGGAAAAGTGCATTGTGTGCGTCGCTGATCGACGTCAGCCTATGTTTGAAGGAAGTCAGCCAGTCAGCTGCAACGCCAGACACGATGGTGGCGACGATAACAAGGCGTAGCACCAACATAGCGAGAAGCGGGGAGATTGAGGGGGTGGGCAGATTGTGGGGACTGTACGGAAGAGCCAAGGCTGGGAGTATACATGCACAAGACTCGATCTTCAGAATTGGAGGGTGCACAGACGCGCACCGGGCGCGACACTGGGAACAGGCTTGAGATTCGTCCCGAAAGATGTTGTTTTATCTGCATCAATCCTAGTCAGCCTGCCGCATTATCGCCGCAACAGCCAGGCAGTTGGCAAGGCTATGTTGACAGACGCATGGCCAGAACGTAGACATCAGATCTACATGGGTCAAACCATGGATACTTCCATTGTGGCTAAGGCACGGTGGTCGCTGAGATTGCCGCTGGCGGGATTCTACATAGTAGTTAGTGCGTATGGCAACTGAAGAGAGAACGCCGGCAGCACTGTACAGATGCACCGGGCGGTCCGTTAATCGGCGAAAAGCTTGCTGATGTTGTGAGAGATCGCTATGGTCGTCGGAAGACATTGCCGGGCACTGATTAGGCCGCACACATACTTTGCAGAGTCCCAAATGATTGTGGCAGGTGCTCTACGTGAGTCACCGCTCCGTGATCTTTCTCTATCTTAGACTTGTGGTCGCGGTTGCTGAGGAACACATGGCTACAAGAACTCAGCTTGGTAGGCGTGTGCTGTAAGTTTCGCCGACGCACTTAGCTCCCGAAGACGGTTGGGGAAGAGGGACAGCGCCAGTTGAAGGACGGAAGAGACGGAGGAGACTTCCGTCCGAGTCCAGAGCAAACGACAGGGAGATTCGTATCAGCCGGTTGTTGACGCTGACAGAATAAAGTGTGATCCGTGCTTGAACCGGAGAGTAGTAGTTGGACTGTACATGAGTCTATAACCAAGGCTGGTCAACGCGTCTCAGTTGCCAGTGTGACACGTACCACTGGGTCGCCGAATTTGCCGCTGACGCCGAGGTGTGCGCCCGGCGCCACGTGCTTACGTCAGCACTGATAGATACATCGCCCCAGCCTGCACCGTAGTTCCTCGCCACCAGTATTCGGGTTAACTCCGTATCCGTTCTCGCTCGTTCAGTCCGACCGCAGCCACTGCAACCGCCCGAGCCGCTCCTGCTCGTTACAGGAGAGAATCTTGTCAAAGCACAAGAGGTGCACATCCACTGCTATTACAACGACAAGTTCTGGCTTTGATCACAGTCGGTCGTACAAGTCGAGCTGAGTCAAATCCTGTAAGTGGCAGTGACAGCAAGGACGGAAGCCTCAGAACTGGTGTACTTACCTTCTCAGAACCAGTACTAACAGTTACTAAAGACACTTCACGCTCCATTCGATCGCTCCATTCACAACCCGATTGATCATGACTTGATTCGACTGTCCTGAAAGAATTGCATGAAACGGCGCCGCCTCTAGGTCCCATCAAGGTTGCATGATGATCTGTAAATCATCTGTTCATCAAACGTACCTGCTTCAAAGCTTCACTATGTAGAGTATCGGTCTGACCACCGATCGCGACTGCCACGCTGGGAGTGGCCTGCGCTGGCACTGTAAGGTCAAACGTCAAACTCGCGGCGAGATGATCGACCCATTTCAGGCTGATAATTGTCCTTCGAGCCAGCGGGGAACGCGTGTGAGTCAGATGTTTTGTTTGCCAGTCGGTCGATAACAAGCCCTGATGTGAATGTCTAGCCAAGTCGCACCCATCCGCTCAAGTGGTACGTAGCCGTCGAGTCACAAACCAACGTTACCCTATGGCCTTTCCTAGATGATGACAAGAACATTTAGTGCGTGTTCCCCGAGTCACTTTCCATCCTGGTCCTGTCGCGTCAAAAGCGCTGCATGTATGGCAACATGTGTGTCTTTCTACTAATCTCCCTTGTCATACACCGCTCGGCGCCGGCATAGCCTCCACATTCAGTTGTCTAACGCCCGGCTGATACCTTGCTCTTCGGATCGGCTTTCGACGCTCATCCCGACTTATGTCCGCCCACATGGAAGCGTCTATGCGATGATACTGACTAGCACGAATGGACTGCGAACATCCAGCGCCCAACATTTACACAAGTACTGCCGGTATGAGACTCGACAGGGCTGAGACCTCCTTAAGTCAATCCTCTCGGTTGATCCTGAGTCTATGCGCTTCCTTCAAAGTCTTGTCGCCGGTACGTATCGATCCATCGTACTATGATTCCCCAGCTGATTATAGTCTACCGTGACGCTAGCTCTTGCGGCGACAACCTCGTTTGTGGTCTCTCAAACGTCGACAACTTCTCAAACATCGACTTCTCAAATATCGACGCCTTCTCAAACATCGATGGCATCTCACACGTCGACAACCTCCGACACCAGTCTTCCTCAGCCTACTATTCCTGCCAGTGGACTTCCGGTCGGAAGCTGTACGGCTGATATTCCTTGTGCTAATGGTATGTTCTTGAGACTATGTCTTTGGACAGATTTAATACTGACCGAAGACGAATCTCGTAGGCGCATGCTGCAATGCTAACAGCGGTTTCTGCGGATACGGCCCAGAATTCTGTACCCCCATAAGCTCTCTAGGTGGAAATTGCACATCGAATTGCAACGCGGTTGTAAGTTATATACTGGCGTTACATGTGAACCGCACTCTCATTCCTGTCGCAGGCAGAATGTGGACAATACGCGCCCCCTGTCAATCGTACATGTCCCCTCAACGTCTGCTGCTCGCAATACGGCTTCTGTGGAACGACCTGTAAGACCGTTATCATTATCGCGACGCTCTCGGCAACTAACTCGTAGCCAATGTGTACCCGTAGCGGACTTTTGCGGGGTAGGCTGTCAAAGTGATTGTAACCCCGTACCTCCGACTGGCGGCGGTGATGACATCTCCGGGGGCGGGGCTACCCACCGACGTATCGGCTACTACGAAGGCTGGGCTGTATCCTCTTCGCGTTCATGCGACTACTACGAGCCCGAGCAAATCGCCGTTGACATCCTTACGCATGGTGTGTATTGAGTATATGTTCGTGTAACGAGAACTGACCACACAACGAATGTAGTCAACTACGCATTCGCTCTCATATCGTCTGCTTATGAAATCATCGAGATGTCACCAGGAGACCAAAACCTCTGGTCCCGAACGACAGCGCTGAAGCAACGAAACTCGGCTTTGAAGGTGTTCCTGTCGGTTGGTGGCTGGTTGTAAGGATGTCGAGGGTTAGGGTTCCCAAGGCAGATAGCTCGGACTTCGTAGCTTACATAAGACTAGTCGTTTTTCTTGTACCGTCACTACGCTGCGTCGTTTACCGCTATGGAACGGGATCTAACGCACTTGTGACGACCGACGACTCACCACCACCTCCAGCAACCTTACACTGGTCCTTCAACGACCCGCCGACTTCGACGATCTTCAGTCAACTCGTTGCCAGTACAGAGAACACCAATACTTTCGTGAAGAGTGCCCTGAATACGATGCAAGCGTATGGGTTCGATGGTATCGGTGAGTGGATCGTCTCATAATTCTTGGCATGCAGACGAATAACACACTGTGTATAGATATTGACTGGGAATATCCTGCTGCGTACGATCGTGGCGGGAATCCCGCGGACACAGATAACTATGTTGCATTCATGAAGGCTTTGAGGACTGCCTTTGGTGGTGACTACGGGATCTCGTTCACGGCCCCTTCCTCGTACTGGTACGTCTACCAGCGTCTTGATGCTTGATGTATCAATTCACTCTCTCCGTCCCAGGTACCTACAGCATTTCAACCTCACAGGACTGCTTCATTCGGCAGACTTCGTCAATGTCATGACGTATGATTTGCACGGCGTATGTGGTACATCTCTTCATTGAAACATCACTGATTGATACAATTTTAGGTTTGGGACGGTTAGTGCTGACGTATCTGGGCGCGTTCGGAAGATCTGACCGGGTTTAGGAAACGATCCGTACATCGGGAGCATCGTGCTCGCGCACACGAATTTGACGGAGATCAAGAGCACGCTACAGCTTTTCCAGAACGTCGATGTGGACTGGTCGCAAGTCAACATTGGGTATGTTCCCTCCGCTTGCTGATGATCGACATCAACTTACGCTGTTGCGCCTCGCCAGTTTCGGGTTTTATGGGCGCAGCTTTGAGCTCGCAACGGCTGAGTGTACAATTCCCGGAGTCAGTTCTTCCGCGCACGATTCTCGTTGTGTGCTCATGTGATGATAACAGTGTCCATTCAGTGGTCCTGGTGACGCAGGACCTTGTACCCACAGCCCCGGCACGCTTTCATTCGCAGAGATCGAGGTGAGGTCGTTCATTTGTCAATTGATTGTACACGGATTGACGGAACGTGAAGGACATCATCAACGACAATGACTTGGATCCTGTGCTTGACGAGGACGCTGCCGTCAAGTATATCGTGTGGAATGATCGTCAATGGGTGGGTGCTCCGAGCCAAGGCTGCATGTGCGAGTTCATGTTGACGTATTCATGCCGCTCTAGGTGTCATACGATGATGCAGAGACGTTCAAGCTCAAAATGGACTATCTCGAGACAATCGTTGGCGGCTCATTTATTTGGTCCGTTGACCAGGACGACACGCAATACACGGCGCTCACTGGGCTGTACCCGGACATCGGCATCAACAATGCAAGTTCCACACAAACGAATGAGTGCCAATACACGGGGTGCGGTGAGGGCTGTCCATCAGATTGGACCCTGATGACGACAGTGACTACGCCGCCGACGGGTTCGAAGTGCACTGACAAGAATCGCGCGAGTCTCTGCTGTCCCAAGGCAGCCGTGCCACAGGGCTGTAGTTGGCGTGGGGGCGGAGGTGAGCTTTCTGTCATCATACGTCGTTAGCGACAGTAGGCCCATCGATTGAATACTGTACAGGAACTACTTGTGATGGTTAGTGCAACGTCGGGGAAGTGACTCTAGCACTAGACCCTGCGGGAAACACTCAATGGCCAACCTGCGTTAAAGGTGGCTTCATGCGTAGTGTATTTCCATTCGTCTTTAACACGCTATGCAGGACAACAAGCCTATTGCTGTGACTCAGGTTCCTCGGCACTACTTGATTGCTATGCGACGGGTTGCAGTCAGACACTATCGGAGTGTCCTAGTGGCTATACTGGCCTGACGTTTGTCAAGCAAGGAAGCACTGTACGTCTATTGCAACGACATCTCGCGATATACTTACATGATGTGGTGTATCCTAGGACAACGGTGGATGCGAGGCAGAGAACGAAGACCCGAACGTCAAGGCAAAGCAGACATGCCCAACTGTCTGCCCCTCGAACAATAAACCCGTCTGTTGCGCATCAGAAAGCAGTGGGTATCCCGGCTCATCCTCTGTCTACGTTGTCGCCCTCTCCAATGCTTTGCTAATTGCTGGTTTTGTCAGGTTTCACGGGTTGTCATTGGGTTGGTACCCCTCCTGCATGCACAGATGCCGCCTGTGCTGTTGGGGAAGTTAGCGTCTGTACGTCTCACAACAACTTCTCACAACGCACATCATTATCTCATGAGCATGTCACAGTTCAAGATATCCAAGGCGATGCCAGCTCGACCTGTACGGGAAAAGCTCGGCGGAACTATTGCTGTACACCACCTGCGAGCGAAGAGTTTCTACCGGTGCCCGAAGATTGGGTTATCCCACTCGGTCAAGGATACGGCGCTGACCAGCCTGCGTCATTCACTGCAGACTTCGATGATAATACTGTGAGTGTATTGTCAGTCCATTTCCTGGCTCGCTTCTCAAGCGGTCTGTCATGTAGGGTCCATCGGATACCACCAGTCAAGGCGCTGGTTTCACGGGCATAAGTGACGATGGTCAAGAAAACGACTCGCCAGTGAGTGAACAGCGTACTGTCGTAAGAATTCTTTCCGCATGTCTGATAGCACGATAGTTCGGTGAGGTATTCATCACATCACCAAACGCGCAATCTGTGTCAAGTCTGGACGTCCAGAGCGATTGGGTGCTTGTCGGCTGCGACGGTCGAAGCGATCAGGCGCAAACTGTCCTTGCGTATTGTTCCATGCCGATAGACGATGATAATGCGGGTTGCGGACATGTCTTTATTGGACAAGCCCAACATACAATCGTTCGTGCCGCCACTTGCATGTATCTGAGTTTCGCTGACATTTTCGAAGGTTCGAATGCCCTCCTCATGTGGTGCCGGCCCTTATGCGCGTGTCGTTTCCATGGAAGTGCATCAAGATCAGACGGCGTTGCCAGCTGCACATCAAGCTAGCCTACCGGCCACCGAGAAAGTCTATTCGCTCGCATTTGACTACCAGTTTGATGCTATTCCGGAAGATAATGGCCCTGTCTAGTGAGTTTCTCGGGGTGGCTCGAGCGTGTTAGACATGTCTAAAGCTCGAAACGTGACAGTATGCGAGCGGATATTACTGATATACCTGGCTATTGGGATGAGATGAGTACGTCTATTGTGTTTCCACCGACGTGTATTTTTGTGCTTATGCTTTTGTAGTCGACAGGTTAGAGCATGCACCGAGGGCAGGCTTAGATTATCAATTGACCACCGCTGTAGCTTACCAGACAGCTCACCAACTAGCCGTAAGCGAGACTTGCACTACAAGCGCAACTTCCACCAGCCCCTTGAATACGAGAAGCGTTGGTTTGGCGGCTTCACAGAGTGGTTACAGCGCCTCAATACGATCACAAACGGGAACAGCATATCGCGGAACTTCCACTGGTCGGACACGTATACGATCTATCATGCTCAGGTAATTGCTAGTCATATAGTCAGTGATCGCAGCCTGATCAGGCATCGCGAGTTCAGGAGTCCTGTCCGAACTTCGAGTCAAGTTTGGACATTTCGGTTTATGGAAACGCCCAGATCTCTTCGCAGTTCGGTTACTACCTTGAGGTGTGTTGATTTCGAGCAGTACTCTCAATGTCCACTTACTCAAATATCGTCGTGAGGCAACGGTGGTCCCACCAGCTATACAACAGGCTTACGTATATGTAGATGTGGGCGCATCCGCCTCCGCGACCTTCACCATACAGGGCCTTGCGAAAGCGGAATGGAATTCGGGCCAGTATGAGCTCATCAGTTTCGGCTTCCCAGGATTGTATTATCCTGGACTGCTGACTCTTGGTCCGAGTTTGCACCTGTACGCAGAGCTGTCAGGCGAGATATCGCTCACCGGACAACTGTCAACGACTGTCGGATATACGTTCCCCGTAAGGCTTAACACTAATGTCGTGGAACAGGTGCTAATATTGTTTCAAACACAGTGTACACTACGCCTTGGGCTCTACTTCTGACGAGCCCACTCTAGGACCCAATCTGACAGGATCAACTGCCAACAACAATGGATACAACTATGGTACGCGGCCCCTCTGATGGTCATTGTTTTCCTAGACTGAAGAGTTATCAGACTTCGGATACAACGTCGAATTGAGTGGAGGTCTCACCGCATATCTTACCCCTAGCCTTGAGCTTGGCCTCACTGTGCTCGGGGGATCTGTTATGGACGCGACGGTATGTTTCTGGTATGCCTAGCTTCACTGTGATCACTGATTCTGGCACATTCTATAGGCCTACGTTCAAGCGGAGCTATACGCTGGATTGATTCTGAATGGTAGTGTGTCGGAGACGGTGAGTACCTAAAGCATGACACCGTCCGACTGTACTCGGGCCATGCTGACTTCTTACAGCAATCACCCAAAATCTGTATTCAGCCTCAGTACGGTGTCAATCTGCATGGTGGATTGAAAGGCGCAGTCGTATGGTGGAACGATCAGTGGGATGTATGTGGGCTTTCTGCATCTCTGCGTCCGCTGCCGCTGAGAACACATCGTTTCCCAGAACACCTTCTACCAAAACACCTTCGACTTCGGCGGTGCTTGTTATGACTCGGCTTCGAGTTTCAACAGACGCGATGGCCAATTGTACGCAATGTCTGATTCAGCTGCAAGTGGAAATACACTTCCCATGCAGCATCGTGATCCGCACGCATTCTACTCGAGATGGGAACATAGACCGGACGTTCCTCGAGCCGCTGAGCAACCAACACTTCCCATCAAGCCGCCGGACTCGCCTGAGATGGCCAAGCGGAAGGCCTCGACGTCGAGCTTGGGGCGGCGGGATACTATTCCGTATCTCCCAGGATCTCTCTTCTGTCCAGAAGAGTCCAGCGATCTTGATCAAACCAATTCACTTGGACGTACGTAGTAGTACCATTTCTGCACGACACGGCGGTGGCTAATGGTGTTCATAAATATTAGAGGATTGCATATGTTATAGTGATACTGACATGGATCCGACCGGGCAGCTCATTGATGTCCTGGCGCGCCGATACCTGTCACCAGACGACGCCAAGGCAATGTACGCAAACACCTCATTCATTAACAAGAGGTCCAATATTAGCACGCACCCGGTCAGCTTGGCCAAGTACGCTAAGCTGCAGACGTGTGATATCAGTGTAACGTCGTTGACTGTATTAATGCGCTCAAGTAATGCTGATTACTTTGTGTCCAGGTGTCCGTTCCGGAATATGCCAGTACAAATATCATCGCCTACTACGATCACGAAAATCCCGGAACGCTTTCCCCTACGATGGGATCGTACACGCAACTTCCGCTCAATTTAGGGGGCAACCTCGTCACAGTAAGTATCGAAGTGCGGTCGGGAACTTCAGTTGTCATTGATGATATGATCTAGGCGACCGGAAAAAACATCTATGCTCGTGAACATGTTTACGAAATGAGCCTGTCATCACTATTTGTTGATTATCTCGCTCAATTTTCGCAGCTATGGCAAACTGCAGCTGGGCTGTCCAGTCCCGCTAGCGGCATCGACTTCTGTGCCTGGGTGGAAGATAACCTTGTCCAAGTGCCAGCCTGGTTGCCTGGGTCTCAATCACTCTTCAGTATGATAGGTAACTGTTATCCGGGTTATCTTCTCAACGGTGCCACTGGCAGTATGGTTATTTTGTACGTGTCCAACACATCTGGATGTAAGCCATATATTCACTTCAGTCTACGCAGGGAGCAGACGGCCAATGAGATTAAGAACACTGCCTTCTACGATGGCGAACAGCGGCTAGATCCATTTCTGACGGCGAAGAACATCCGAAGTCAACAAGAGTTCGCGGACTACTGTCCGCAGAAGCAAGTCGCAGTCATCAGAGCCGCGGCAGGCATTCCGTCCTTCTTGAACCAGGTACGTGACGCCGGCTTCGAAACGAAAGGCATTGCTGACTTCAAATCAGTACCCAGTTCGTCAAGAAGCGAGCGTACATTGTTCCGATCTGTACGATATTGACAGCCTCCTCCAGTTCTTGACTGCAAATACGTGTATCCGCTCAGCATGGACGAAGTGGTATGCTGCCTACTTAGCGGCAAATGTAGACGGTTAGTGGAATTCATGCTATATCATTTGATAGGCTGACACTGCGTCTTATAAGCTCCGGACAGGGATCAGGTTGACATACCGACTTTGTACGACAACTGGAGTGCGTTCCCGATCTTCTTGAAACGCGCAGGAAACCTGATCAGGCTTGTTCAGTCTCGTCCATTATGAAGAACATGAAGCCGTATTTGGTCAATCAAATAACTACGCTCATTTCGTATTACGATGACACGGTGAATGGTCAAGCTGGGGGAGCCCCTCCCGTCGACTTGGTGTGCTTAAAGTCTTGAACGGTAGCCGCATCCGTTAACATTTCGGTTCTGCTAGTCATTCTATATCTTGATGGACAACAACCAAGTATTGAACGCACAAGGACAGCCTCTGTACACGCCTGCAGCTGTCTACACGGTGCAGCAGCCCGTCAGCAAACAAGATCTAACCAATCAGGTTCTCAACCAGATACCTGATGTTATGCTGGGTAGTATCCTGCCGTCACATTGAAGGGAATGAAATGGGAGGTGGTCGAGATCCTCGGGGTTTGACTGCTCCTTCTGGCATCGGTAGTTCCGATTGTTCTTTTGGTAAATCAGTATAGCATTGTCCCAACAATGGTAAATTATCGTGCAGCTCGAAATCCATACGGACCATCGAGGGGTATGCGTTCGAAGTTCGCACGTCAGGTTTCGCCCACGATGTGCAACGAGTCTGGCAGGTGAGACCTAAAGCCACTCACGCTGTGCCTTCCCGGTCCCAACAGAGGATTATTATACGACACAAACTTTGGCTGATGAGAAATTGATGACTCGCCGTCAGCATTCGCTGGACAGAGTATGATCCTCCAGTGCAACAGTGTCCATTGAGTATCAGGCGACGGCACCAGACACTAGCCCTCGCCGTGCATATCGAGTCTATATAGGCATACAAACCCCATGATCCGATTTCAAGTGTTTCATCGAATGCTGGCATTGGAGCCGTGCACAAGGCGGGTCAAGTTACAATCCAAGCTGACCTAAACGTTGAAACGTTGAACGATCACTTCACCGCGCCTGTCACATACTAGTACGAAGACGTTCGCATCACGCCTACGTTAGTCCCTGTCATTGATCTGAACCGCGAAACCCAATTGTACGACCACCGATTCCCTTTCAATCTGTGCGCCGAGACATCAGCACCTAGAGCTCAGACGACGTAAATTTGTACGCACCGTGAGACTCCGCGATTTGGTGAACTTGAAGGAGGTCCACTGAAAGGCTCAATACAGACCATCTATATGAGTGATATCGAGCCCCTGCCCACACGAGCCCACGGGATGTGGAGTGCATCGGTATCAATGTGTGACCACCCCCGGGCCGAGCGTAGCGACAACCAGGCTGAATGAGGCGGCCCTTCCAAGACTATGATGTGTGATCTGTTAGTCGATACGAGACAGACGTCACCAGTATAACACAAAGAGAGGGCCTGTGATCCTTGAACTTGTACCGACTCTAGCATATCGCCATGACACCTATAGCACACGCAGGTTACCTGTGCATGTCTATCACTGGCAGCGGTCGCTCGACACGGAGGTATACACCAGTGACTCACTCTAGGGCCTCAAAGTCTCCGCAGAGACTTCGCTGTGCATGTACACGTCGATCCTCGATCCCGGGCCTCCGCGTCGTTAATCTTCACTAAATCTGGCACGCCTTCCTTCAAAGTGCCCGCCAGACCAGAGTCCGCTTTGGAACTGACATCCGCCATCCGCCACCACCGTGGCTGTCCAACAAATGCCGCCTCTTTGAAATGAACGCGGTCCTGTACCATGTACCCGGAGGGCACGGCGAGGTACCGGAGCGACGGGAGTGTGTTTGCAAGAGCCGTGTTCCGCAGCTCCTGTCACTCGCTGTCCGCACACACGTCGTCAGAATTGACTTCGAGGTGCTCTCCACTCATGCTCGTTGAGGGCGTTCCCGCGCTATCGTGGAGATTGAAGGATACGAGTTGGGCAGTTTGGACGCAGATACATGCCAGCAATCCAAGCTTATGTCGATAGCATTGAGATCTGAGGGCGGCCTGGGTCTGATGCAGCAAGAACCTTGATACTTAGCAACAGTAACAGTCTACGAGTGCCGACTTGTCATAGTATTCTGTGTCGCCAAATGCACTCTTCTGTGCCTCCTGTGCCCCCTTCTTCTTCTGCAGTACCAGTAATAGTGGTGGCGCTAGTACATAAGGCTACTCAGTAGGTCGAGGCACCGGCTGGCGTAGCATTGCCGAGCCCCTATATTTATCAGGAAGGTCTCGTAAAGATGAACCTCGAACATCACCTGCCGGACGGGCGGATCGCGACTGCATCAGCACAAATCGTCGAACACTCAGGAGGGTGTGCACGTCCGTTCATGCTCTGCGTGACAGATCTTGTACGAAAAAGCACGGCTGCAAGGCTATCTGAAGGCTTGGTGACCTCGCTGTGTCCGGATTCTATCCCTTGGATCGTTCACTTGCAATACATTTACGCGTCTTATCACTGACCGTCGCTCTCCGGTAGAACTCACCACGTCCGACATCGATGCGATCGACTCCGCGGGCCTTGCTGGTGTTGGTGGTGGGAGATAGATGGTATTAAAGCACCGTCGTCTGTATACGATAGCCTGGCTAAGCTATATCGCTAGGAGCCTCATTCACTTCTCTTCGCTCGCCTTCCGTTGCAACTTATCGTGCAAGTCGTCCGTCGACTCGTCATGGTCTCTGTTATAAGTCGCGAATGGCACAAATGTGATATCAGTTGTGAAATTCGCTGGCTTGAATGGGACATGGATACTTACCCGGCCGATGACGTTCCGGAGTGAGCATCGAAGCTACTCAGTTGACTTGCGATCAGGTCGCCTCTGCCAGATCGTGCGTTCAATCTGGTGATCGGTCAGAACAATCAGATGCGTAGATACACGCGTGGTCGCAGAACGTACGTGGCGAGGGCGCAGTTGACGTTCACTGGCAACGTCGGTATCAATATCATGTTCGGACTACGGCTGACGACTTACGAGTTCCGGCAAAGCAGTAGACCCCGTCGAGTGCTTGAGTGCCGTTAGGTTTGTACTGTTGCATGGCGTAAGCAGCGATACTATGCAAACCTGCCGGTGAACGCACGAACCGTGACTATCACCAACAGCTGTATCACACTGTGACGATGGTTCGGTGAGCATTCATCCCGATACAACTCGACGATGTCCTCACAAGAGTAGAATACCACGGTTAATTGTGAACGCCATGAGCTTGAAGATCAGATTCTCCGTCCTGTCGCAGAGCTAGGTTATCCGTTGCATGTGTCACGTCAGGAGACACTCACGGTTCGTACCCCGTCCGAGCGCGATGGAAAATGAAGCAGAGTACAGCGGTTATGTAAACATCGACTGCAACAGCCGTGTAACCCTCGATCCTGCCCGATACCTGACAATATACGGAATGTAAGCTAAGGACAGCGGTAGAATCAGAAACACGATACCTCGACGCGTTGGATGGCTTCGACGTCGCTTATGCTGGTAAGACTGACCAAAACGCGGCGATGTCATCGTCATGCGGATTGACCATAGGCTGCAGGACGTACATGTCGTGAGCTGCGACTATTGCCTCGCACGACTGTCAGATAATGCTCGCTCGGATCCCATTCATGCGGAGAATGACTCACCGAGCCCGCATGCTACGATCGGCGATTAGGTAGGGCTTCAGCGCGTCGCAGATCAAAAACGTACCCAAGGATATAGTAGCCAGAGCAACCTACGCATCGTCAGCAATACGTATTTCGGTCAATGAGGAGAGTGACCTACCCCCACCCCCGTAACATAGTTCTGGTACCACCGGCCTCGCAGTACTATCTAGTAGTCAGGTTCAGAGTACATCAGATTATTATTACCACTCACAAGCCCATATGTTACGGATATAGAGACTATTGAGGATCAGTCACAAGAAGAACATTGAGAGGGGCGTAGCTCACCCTTGCACGAGAAACACACATGTTGTCTACTATACATGAAGACCTGTACGCATATACGGAGATGGATGACTTACGGATATGATGAAGTGGACCTGAAAGGCGCCTTAGTTCGACGAGTACAAGACATACGGTTGTACATACCGTGTACGACCTGTGCGATGGGTCATCTCACATGTCAAGAATATATATCGGTCGCGTACTCACAACGGAAGTAACAATAGTATAGAAGCGTCGGAATGGTGGTTGACAAACCAGTACGAAAGCAACTATGAATTGTGATGAGACAAGCAGCGAACTGAGACGAATGCGAGTAACCTGTGCGTGGAGAAATGCCTTCACAGTGTCTAAAAGGCTGTCGTAGTCCAACTGTGTTATTGTGCTCCGTGTTTATAGGTCCACTCGAGACTCACAAAAGACTGACAACCTATGACGGCAAAAATAATGAGTGAGTGACATAGAAGATAGCTTGAAGACTTACCAGGCCCTTCAGAGTGAGCCCGTCACGAGTGAACTGACGGAAGTAGTAGATGCTTTGCCCTAGAGTGCCTCCGAAGAAACTGCCAGCAATGCCAGACGGGTGAGTACAATCAATGAGCGAGCGAGTTACACACTTACATGAAGCAAAGGAGCATCCCCACCACGGTAGACGTGAACGCATCTGACGCGTTCATGTCTTCGCTCGTAATCATGTTGAACTGGGGAATCTAGACAAGCAGGTCAGTACTCACCACCGTGTTTATACCCTAATAGCGTGTTCGACCGTGCGGTAGATGCGAACAGCTCTCCGTACGTGAGACACAACAATTCGAGCGTATCGCGGCGGCCTCGCTCCAAGCAATGCGCGGATTGGTTGAGAGATGGAGAGGACACTGGGTGCCCGCACGATGAGTGCAACAAATAGATACTTTGAGCTACCGCATGCCCCGGCCACCGAGCATGCCTGATTCCGAGAACGAAAGATGCTGCGCTTCCCTTCTTCCAATCAAGATGGAGTGTTGCGCTCCTCCGGGGACCATTCGAACGCGAGGTACAAACTGGTGGCCAAGGGTGACAAATGCGCGTATGCAGGTCACGAGAGTGGCTCGCTGGAGCGGTGAGCTTGTATAAGCTGCCTTGCGGACCGAACAGCTGGACGTCAAACGGAACAGCATACCGACAAAGAAGGTGTTCCTTCGTACTTCCCGGGACCCGTGTTGTGTGAGAACGAGCGACAGACATGCCATGCGGAGGCCGTGGCTCTAGATCCCCAAGGAAGTATCCCAGATCGTTGCTCATCGTGATCGCGTGGGGCCTTCGGCTACCCTGCTTGTGGATTGTGGATCTGGCTGTACGTTAACCTGCCCACAGGAGTTAGCTGACGATGAGCAAGAAGCCGTCATGTAATCAGAGGACTCTGACACGCACGTAAGGAGCGCTAGATCGTCGCTATGAGCGCCGCCATGTTTTCTGTGAATATCCCATGCCGAGGCAAGACCCCAAAGGCCAAAGGCGTCGCTCAAGTGAGCTGCGGACACTGGAGACAAGCACTGGAAGGAAGCGGAGAATGTCAAATCTCGAGGTAGATGCATTCCCATCGTACATACTCGGACGCTTCGCTCGATCAGCCCGAGGATATTCCAGATGATAAGGACCGTCCGAGACGTTACGGGGATGTCAACATCATCCAATGAAAGGCGAATAGCCTTCAGCGGGTGCTCGGTGTTCAGCTCCGAATGGGGGTACGACACAGGTCGACTATCTCTCCGTTCTCCATTCGCATCGAGTGCACAGGCTTACGCCTTGCAGACGCGCAGGTCAGTAATGTCCACGCTGTCAGACAGCCAATGATCAGCGCTCAGCACTGACAGCAGGCATAAAAAGTGTGACCAACGTACATAAGTAGTGTTCTGCACATCTTCGTCTCAAAGCAACTTTGCTACTGCCGTCGATGGAATTGTAACTGAACGTTCAGCAGCTTGCCTCAGGCTCGCGCGCTAGGGCTTTTTTGTGGAGCTTTGCGTTTCTCGACTCCCCTGGGCCTGGCAACCGACAAAACCGTCTACAGGTGGTCCGCTGGCGGTTCTGCGAGTCTAAAATCCAAGATAGAGCGGGCGGGCTAGACTTCGAGGTATTCAATAGCAAGTGGCATGCTGCCAGTGGAGGTCAGCGCGAGGCAAGCGTTGGAGTCATAGGGTCCGTAAACAGTAGTCAATCACGCTGTATTGAAGGTGATATGTACCAGATATGTCTCAAGTGCAAGTGTAATGGCAATGACCCGTTCGTACTTACGACAGAACTTGCCCGTCGTCACCCCAGTCGGCCGATGCCGGTAGTTCTAGCGGAGCCTGGATCTGCGATTGCAACTGTACTGAACGCTCGTTGCCTTCGTATCATCATCGTCTCGGATCCTGGGCTACTGAAAAAGGTTCGCTGACCAGCCATGGCTGGGATAGTAGTATAATAGTCATATACGAGTCTATTCTGCGTAATCGTCGAAGGGTGACTGCCAAACACTATAAGGAACGCTCCGAGTCTCCCGGTCTTCAATACTGTAGATAAAAGTTCAAAGCGGCGCGGGGTGTGACGCGTGACACCCGAGCAACCATCAGGCGGCGCGGCGCAGGCGTCGGTGACCTGTGACGGAGCCCTCTTGGGCGGCGGGGCGGCGGGGTTTTGGTCAAACGGCGCCGCAGGCGGCGAAAATTTGATCTGTCACATCCGGCGGGCTCGACGGTGACCAGTGACAGTGTAGCATCGCCGGCGTGGCGGAGGGTCCTGTGACGCGTGACCGCCGCTTTGTATTTTTATCTACAGTATCTACTCACTGGTACCGCACGCATGCTTGAGCGTGTTGCGAATCTTGAAATCAGATTTACTCCTCATGCACAAACTTATATATTATTTCTACTATAACATTGAACCATTGAAGGAAGGTCATGAAATGTGATATTGTTGTTGCAATCCCAGTACTACTAGACTACTACTTACTAGTACATCGTAGCGGCGCAAGCGCCGATCCCCGACTCCTGCATGGCACACAGCTATTATACTCAGCCTGCCACAGCGGCACCATAGTATATTATGTGTGTATTTTAATATTGTAAGTACCATCGGAATGGTATGGAGACTCAATTGGAAGCCCTCACGCCCGCGGCGGCTTCGCCGCCCGGGCGTCTCGGGCTTCCACGAGTCTGAGCCACACGGCGAACTTACTTACCGTAATACATACTACAGTACATGCGAGGGCTCTCAACATAATAGAGGCCCTCCTACCTTTGGGAGGACTTATTCGATGGTCAAAGATCCAGGCGTCCAGACGCAGCCAGAAGCACGGAAGGATCCAACCGCCTCGAGCTGCCTCGTAAGACACTGGAGCATTGCTGCGATACCGCTTATGGGAATTATGAGTCACGTGTTTCCCACGGAGGGAGCGGCATCGCCGGCTGCGAACGACTTATGGTCGACAAAGCCCTCCTCTCTCCCTCCGGTCGGAGTCGGGGATCACGCTCATTGATGCCTATTCAAGTTTGGCGATTGACACGTTTGTTACGCATAAATTGATAGTGGTTTGATTGCCGACTGACATTATTCGACATGGATGCACCAAAATCAGTACAAGTTGGTTCAGTACCAGCGTATAATACACGTACCGCCGTTTGGTACGATCTGAATCTAAACAGCCACCGGAGAGTGCCGACATAGCCGCCACCGCCACCGCACGCGTGTCCGCCTCCGACGAGATCGTTGGCTTGACCAAGGCTTGACTCGGGACATGCGTCGCAGTACTGTGCACTGCTGTACGTAGCAGCAATCACTTCGACAGGTGTCATGTGACAGCTCCGTTTGCTCGTTCATAGCCACTCTGCTGCCTACCGTCGCAAAATGCTGATGACGCGCCACGGCACGGATAGTTCAAGTTTGATTGTGACTTGTTGCCGCAAACTCCGAGACGAACCACTCAGCGGCCAGGAAACCTCGCACAGAATCAAGACTGTATAAGCTTCGTTCGGTTTCCCCCCGGATATCTATGGGCCTAGACTACATCATTCTTCATTCCACGAACAAGGCTCACTAGAGGATGTTGTCGGGGCTCGGACTACGTGGTAGGTGGGCAGTGCGTTGACCTTTCGTGACATTCGCATTATCTCATCTGCCGCACGATGATCAGTGTCTGTGACGCCTAGTGTCGTGGCGTGAACGATCTCGTGGCTGAAAGTACGTAATGTGAATAATCGCACCGCGGATACAAATGGCGTAGTCGGTGTATGTGCTATCTTTGCGAAGAGGTACGCACGACTGGATGCGTTTCCGTAAGGTATTAAGAGCCTCCAAGAGCTCTAATTTGTAAATCAGTCGAGTCTGGCGCCCGCGCAAGCCCTCCGTAAAGCTACGGAGTCTGAAGTGTTCGCTGTCCGTCGCTCGAAAAGGCTAGATGAGACTGTGCCGTTGATGTCCGCGCAGATCGAGATTGACGACACGACCATGGGCGGGGATCAGGACATATATTGGTGGCGTTTGCAAGCCTGAGACCGTTGTAAACCCAGAGATCTAGCCAGGGGGGTCGGACCCCCTTGCTAGACGTATGCATTATGGGACCGTAGTAAAGCCTCGTCATGGATCCACTTCCTTATTAGGGGTGCTACGCCCGCAATAAATCATGGAATATATGAATATCTTACATAGGCTCAGTGTCTAGACGTGCATACTGCGCCGTGAATCGTGATGCACTTGCTATCCCGCGAGGTGATTCGGAGAGAGGTCTCGGAACAATTCCGTGCGGCTGGCGAGTCACGGTGGTCTCCTGACGCAGTAATTGCAACAGTTGCGACGTGAATTGGCAGCGCGCAGTTCCGAGTCGGCGAGGGGCCACCGCCGACAGAGTCACAGGTCGCAGATTTGGTCTCGGAGTTGTGTGGGTAGGCATATCAGGTGTCGTGTACTTCGGGGTAAGCATGCCGTGCAGAGCGGGGGTCTAGCATATAAAAACAGTGAGCAATGTGTTCGTCAAGCATCAAAAAAACTCGTCCACTCATTTGCTTCTCTTTCTCTTTCTGAACTGCATAGATATGAGCCGCAAACCGATGCCAGTGTCAGACAAAGCCGCGGGCAAGCGTAAGGCAACCCAGCCTGAGGTTCCTGACGAAGGCGAAGCCCCACCGCCGTCGCAGCAGGAGCCGCCACGACTGCATGTCATGGAACACAATGGTGAGTCAGGGCCTCAGACATCGTCAGCTGAGCTAACCATCCACTGTATAGCACCGCCGCACGCAGGATTCCCAGGCCATGCCATGGATTACCTGTTCCCGCCCTCGTCTGCACCTGCATCATATGGTTTCGGACACTCACCTTCGTTATATCCTCTCCATCCTTCTCTCCATCCGCACCATGCGGCTCACCCTCCCATGCCGAATCCTTACTATCCTCCGTATTATCCTGCTCCTCCTGTCACACATGCTGCACCTGCCAATGAAGGTGAACATGATGCCGATGAAGAACAAAACTCACCGGAAATCAAAGAGGAGTCCGACGACAATCTGGTCTTCCCCGAGATCAAGACCATCCTTGCTGAGACTGCGCCTGCTGCTGGAAAGAAGCGGGCAAGGAAATCGGCGGGGAAGGGCAAGGCTACAGCTGCTAACCCACCTACTGTACCAGCTCAGACTCACGCCGCCGTCCCAGCTGCTGGTAGTCGCCGAAAGCCTGCGGCGCCAGCACCAAAGCGCGGAGGCCGGCAGCCAGGTGCAACGGGTTATGGCGACGCTGACCTCACGGAAATGCTACGTCTTGTTCGGGAGGTTCTCCCTCTAGGCCCTGATGAGTGGGTGACCATTGTCTCACGATTCAACAAATGGGCGCGGACGAATAATCGTGGCGAGCGCCAGGTAAAAGCATTCCGTTCAAAGTGGGACGCGGTGAGTTATTCTTGTATGCAGTGAAGACTTCGAGGAGTACTTACTATTCTCCCACTTCGCTTTCACGCAGATTGTCCGCACTCCCAAGCCGACGGGTAGGGCAGAAGTCCCATGGTTTGTCGAGGAGTCGTGGGAGATCAACGACCTCATTGAGCAGCGTGCTCATGTTCGGCCACTGAACGATGCGAGGATTGACGGTGTCGAGCGTTCTGAAATGGATGAGCGCGACATCATCGAGATTGAAGACACCGATGATGAGGAAGAGGCGAAGCGCTATGTCGTCCGCAAGAAGGCGAGGGTGGACACGTCTACAAGTGCGGTCCCGGCAGTTGCCGGAGCCCGCCAGACGCGCGCAGGCATATCGTCTAACCTTGTCACCTCCATCGCATCCGCATTCAATCCAGCTGCTCAAACAGCCCGCGATGAAGCCCGTGCTGCTCGTCAGCATGAGAACACCTATCTTCAGGCTATGCTCTTCGAACTTCGTGACGCACGCACCCGGAACGAAACCCTCTCGGAACGCCTTGCAGAACAAACACGACGGGGAGATCGCCTCGAGGATGAGCTCCGCCGACGCGATGAAAGTCAAGCCATTGCTGCACGCCATGCAGTGAGGGCTCCTGGTGCGTCCGAAAGCATTCTCCTGATGTTTTGTGTGACTGACTGGCCCTCAGATCTCCATCGCACTCTCATTTCGCCATCGCACATAGTTCCTAGTGCTTCGGGTTGGTATCCGAGTCATCAAGGTATGTGGCTTAATCGTAGCTATGAGCCTTCTCACTCATGCATACGCAAAAGCGGATGATTGTCCCCCGACTCCCGGCCCATCAAACTGGACAGGTCACCAGTATCGTAGCCCCTCTCCAGACCGTGCAGCCATTGCAGCACTCGCAGCACTCGCTCGTGAGGAAGCTGGCCAGGCGCACGTCCCCCTACACTCTCGCGCTGACCGTGCACAAGGCCCAGCTGCAGCTACATCGGGCACGGGTCTTCACATGCACGAGGCAACAGATGTTGCGAGCTCCGAGCTAGCACTGGAGACGTCGTACGACGTCACCGTCACTCCTCGAAAACGTCGGGCTCAACGTGAAGGCGAAGACGCTTGATCGATGGCATGTTGTTGCGATACTTATAGCTGTGAGTATGATTGCTTATTACCATTTTGTTCGTACTGTATATGCTCGGCGCTGCTGCACACTCACATGGATACTTACTATACCATTCAAGTCCTCGCTAATCCACATTCCGTGCGTTGTAGATTCAATACCCCTGTGCATACACCTAGCCTGCCTGAACAGTAGATACTAGTAGATACTTTATGCGCATTTTATTCCGCCATAGGCATTAATATATTACACTTCACACTGTAGCTTCACCGAGATGGTAACGTGCGACCCGATCACCTCTGCGAATGTCCCGAATCACCATTCTCTCGTAGTTATCCCAGAGCTCTGCTGCTTCGGACCTCTTCCACAGTGGTTCGTACACATTGCGTATTTGGCTGATCCCGACACGAAGCACACGTACATTATTCATGCGCATGCATGTCTCTAATACATCACCTCGCTCCTCCTCATTATCGGCATCTAACGGCACACGAAGGCGTCCGAATGAGCCCCGCACCTGGCGCATGCCCCATTCCACAGTTTGGCGGTACGACAATAGTTGATTATCGAAGGCAAGTGTGGCTGCTCGCTCGTGTGGATCGTTAGGGAGTTCCGCGCCATCGGTACGTGCAGCTCGGATTCGCCCTGCAACTTCTGCAGTACCACGCGGAAAAGCGGAGTCTGCAACAAGGTAATATCCTTCCGGTACTTCGTCTCGCAACTGCTGATAGATCGGTCGCGCGACCCTTGCATCGTGCCAACTGCCAGGCGCGTTCAGATTGCATGCAATGATCACACCTACGAGCAGATAAGTAACACTGAAATAACCCCAATATGCGATACTTACCCTGAGCAGAGAACACCAATACACAACTCGTGTAATGGTCGTGTAACCAACCATTGAATGTTGCATTTTCGATCGCTGGGTCATCGGATACCTGGGTTGCGACATTCAGCCCATCGATACCACCGAATGCACCATTCAGCAGAGGATGGCGGCGCTACTTTCCTATCAATACGAAACCCTGCACAGTGATAGGACGACGACTTGCCTGTACCAAACGTGACAATTCATTGTACTCGTCATCCTTCGGAAATGCCACCCTCCCCTCCGGTATTTCTCGCAGTACAGTCAGCATCAGGCTGCGCGCGAATCGAAGATAACGGTTGGTCGTGCCCGGGATGAGTGCGAAGATCTCTTGCAGTGAAACCTCCGTCATCGAAGAGCCAAGGTAGTGCAGGTATAAACCGAGTGCACCAGCAGCATCCAATGAGCGGCGACCGAGACGAGGTTGCCCGCGAGGGTTCGTGTCGGACCGAGGAATGGCAGTAGAGTTCCACCCCCGTGTAAAGCCGTTGTCGAGGAGGTAGTGGAAGGTCTCGACATCGACGCCCATAGTGGTTATGAAGGCACGGTCGCTCTGGGTTTCCCAAAGTCGTTGCCAGGGTGTGTCAATACGAGGGTCAGGCAAGAGCTCTGCACGAGTGAGGTAGTGGTCGCGGCGGTGAGCACGCCGCCCTTCACGAGATTCGAGTGCGCCAAGAGCGAGAAGAGCGAGAAGGGCATCCCGCTGCATGTCGTCGTCGTCGTCGTCATCGCTAAGCTCATCTTCCTGCTGAAGAGTCGGGAGGTGTTGCATGGCGAGCACAACAAGTCGCAGTCCAACGGCAATTCAGGAATCAGGACGTCTCTATTGCCTTCACAGGTTGCTTACGGAATACAGATGCTGTCGTATTCACACTTCAAGCTCCGCCGCAACCGCTTTAGAGACATCGCACCGTCTCTAGATCCTTACGGAAACGCATCCACTATCGTCGACAAAAGCAGAAGGCACTCTGAAAGACGCTTACGTAGTTTCATAAACGAAGACTACACGCGTGAATGCTGTCAGCTGCGACGATGTTCGCGCGAGAGCATCTTCTACGCACCGAAGCCTGCCGCTAAAGTCGCATAGCAGGCGGTTGAGGTACGCGCAATATGACTAGACATTATGACTGAACACGAACCTGCGGAGAGAATTGCAAATGTGGCCTACACACACGGAAATGTGAGTTCACGCTGACCGCGTTGAATGACGTACTCACGGCAACGAATGTCAACACAACGCGGCCACTCTTGTGGGCCATGACTGGAGAAGTGAACAATGAAGCTGTCAGCCGCCTCTGCCGCCGGTGGCAGTTTACTTACGCTTCCAGATGTTATGGATGAAGAAGCTACACGGAGTGTCAGTAACGACCTTGAGGTAACATAACCTACTCACAACTGCACAATGAAGATCACGACAATCTGAAGATTACATGTCAGCGTGGGCATGCTGTGCCTGTGCGCGAATTCGGACTGCTTACTGAGACCACGCAATGGGCTATCTGTCAGACGTTCAGTGAATCCGGAAAGGGCGATGAGAGATTACAAGTGACGTGCCGTGCTTTTCCTGACAGACGTTCATCAGTGCAAAGATAGACCTACCATCTCTATAGGCAATAACGGAGTAGTGTCTCACCCTTGCTGTTCTTCTAGGGACATCGCGTTGGCGTGATTCCGTACCAGATACCACCATTCGTTCTATCGTTGTTGGGTGGTCAGAGTTTCCCTCACAAAGGTCGCGCAACTGACATTCGTCACCAGTACGGCTCTCGTTGTATCCAGTGCCCTGTATCGGTGTCAGATTATCAACTATTATATGAAGACAGCATAGCAACTACGAACCATAATACCCCCACCTGTGATCATCGGTATCCGCATAAGCCGCAGTAGCGCACGTGTCCTCGTCGCAGAGCCTTACACACCAGAATCTTCAGCACGACGCTGTCGCCTGGGTAGTTCCAAAAATAATACAAAGTCTGAGCGAGTGTACACCCGTATACACTGATTCAATCTCAATCAGTTCGCGGTACAGGGAGCAAGGGAACGGCTGAACGTACAGCATAGAGAAGACGATCTCGACGAACACTCCTCCTATGGGGGCCGTATCGGGATATCCATGACTATCACCCATGCCGAAGATAAAATGGGAAGCAGAGAACTTGAACGGGCGTTGGCAGCGCGGGGATGGAGGCGTCAGATATATACTGGTGCAGCCTTGTTGATCAACCCTGTCATTCAGGAACTCCAAGTGGTTGTTGCCTCCGGTTGAGATGAAAGGACGTCTCGTAGCCATGAGCAACCGTGTTATCTTGCGCACGACTTGAAGTGGTCCTACAACTGTCAGTAACAGATCAATCAAATAGAAGGGTGGAATGAAGCGATGACCGTGATATGTCACTTACGGATCGAGTCGTAGACGGCTTACGAACATCTTGAAGTGATCCCCCCAGAGCCCGTTTAAAGGGCAACTTCGAACATGGGTCTCCATTTCACGCAGACGCAGACTCGGATGATGTATGAAATTGGAGCGAACAGAGTACGCGTCGCAGTAGTCCTGGAGTTTCACGGCGCTAGATACGACGCCGTGCTGTACCACAGCCCTCAGTTGTCCGAGGGACCTTGACATTGTGAAAAGCAAGGTCGTACGAGCTGCATAGCACGAGTGCAACGTTGCTCGGTCGGCGACTGATCGGCCACAGACACGCGAGTGCGGCGCTGACGTTCAAACGCAAACGCACTCTGATACGGTCACTTCGGTGACTGATCTCGGCCTCTGCGAAAGATGCCCACGTTTCTCGAGTCGCTGCACAGAGATTCTTCTGCTACTCCTGCCAAATGGATTTGGAGTCAGGTCAGATGTTCCATGTTTTGCGCGAACCACATTTGCCCAAAGGAGTTTGCGTCGAAGGGGATGCTCTGGGCGAACTTGTGATTGCACCTGGTGGGAGTATGATCGCATTGACGCATAGCCATGGCTTCTGTTTCTCACAGGTTACACGCACCCCGGAATGTCCGTGCGATTACTGGCCATGGACAGACATGGCCGTAGACGTCGTGAGAGCGCAGTGTACAGCAGTGAGCCAGTACTGTCGGCCTTAAGAGGTTTGTATCATACGTGCAAATGGCATTGACATACCTCGCTTGCCTCTTGACTTCCGGAGCCCATTTCTAGGTTTAGACGAGTCATAATTTGCACGTATGAATGAAAGTAAGTGGATGCGTTTCCGTAAGGATCTAGAGACGGTGCGATGTCTCTAAAGCGGTTGCGGCGGAGCTTGAAGTGTGAATACGACAGCATCTGTATTCCGTAAGCAACCTGTGAAGGCAATAGAGACGTCCTGATTCCTGAATTGCCGTTGGACTGCGACTTGTTGTGCTCGCCATGCAACACCTCCCGACTCTTCAGCAGGAAGATGAGCTTAGCGATGACGACGACGACGACGACATGCAGCGGGATGCCCTTCTCGCTCTTCTCGCTCTTGGCGCACTCGAATCTCGTGAAGGGCGGCGTGCTCACCGCCGCGACCACTACCTCACTCGTGCAGAGCTCTTGCCTGACCCTCGTATTGACACACCCTGGCAACGACTTTGGGAAACCCAGAGCGACCGTGCCTTCATAACCACTATGGGCGTCGATGTCGAGACCTTCCACTACCTCCTCGACAACGGCTTTACACGGGGGTGGAACTCTACTGCCATTCCTCGGTCCGACACGAACCCTCGCGGGCAACCTCGTCTCGGTCGCCGCTCATTGGATGCTGCTGGTGCACTCGGTTTATACCTGCACTACCTTGGCTCTTCGATGACGGAGGTTTCACTGCAAGAGATCTTCGCACTCATCCCGGGCACGACCAACCGTTATCTTCGATTCGCGCGCAGCCTGATGCTGACTGTACTGCGAGAAATACCGGAGGGGAGGGTGGCATTTCCGAAGGATGACGAGTACAATGAATTGTCACGTTTGGTACAGGCAAGTCGTCGTCCTATCACTGTGCAGGGTTTCGTATTGATAGGAAAGTAGCGCCGCCATCCTCTGCTGAATGGTGCATTCGGTGGTATCGATGGGCTGAATGTCGCAACCCAGGTATCCGATGACCCAGCGATCGAAAATGCAACATTCAATGGTTGGTTACACGACCATTACACGAGTTGTGTATTGGTGTTCTCTGCTCAGGGTAAGTATCGCATATTGGGGTTATTTCAGTGTTACTTATCTGCTCGTAGGTGTGATCATTGCATGCAATCTGAACGCGCCTGGCAGTTGGCACGATGCAAGGGTCGCGCGACCGATCTATCAGCAGTTGCGAGACGAAGTACCGGAAGGATATTACCTTGTTGCAGACTCCGCTTTTCCGCGTGGTACTGCAGAAGTTGCAGGGCGAATCCGAGCTGCACGTACCGATGGCGCGGAACTCCCTAACGATCCACACGAGCGAGCAGCCACACTTGCCTTCGATAATCAACTATTGTCGTACCGCCAAACTGTGGAATGGGGCATGCGCCAGGTGCGGGGCTCATTCGGACGCCTTCGTGTGCCGTTAGATGCCGATAATGAGGAGGAGCGAGGTGATGTATTAGAGACATGCATGCGCATGAATAATGTACGTGTGCTTCGTGTCGGGATCAGCCAAATACGCAATGTGTACGAACCACTGTGGAAGAGGTCCGAAGCAGCAGAGCTCTGGGATAACTACGAGAGAATGGTGATTCGGGACATTCGCAGAGGTGATCGGGTCGCACGTTACCATCTCGGTGAAGCTACAGTGTGAAGTGTAATATATTAATGCCTATGGCGGAATAAAATGCGCATAAAGTATCTACTAGTATCTACTGTTCAGGCAGGCTAGGTGTATGCACAGGGGTATTGAATCTACAACGCACGGAATGTGGATTAGCGAGGACTTGAATGGTATAGTAAGTATCCATGTGAGTGTGCAGCAGCGCCGAGCATATACAGTACGAACAAAATGGTAATAAGCAATCATACTCACAGCTATAAGTATCGCAACAACATGCCATCGATCAAGCGTCTTCGCCTTCACGTTGAGCCCGACGTTTTCGAGGAGTGACGGTGACGTCGTACGACGTCTCCAGTGCTAGCTCGGAGCTCGCAACATCTGTTGCCTCGTGCATGTGAAGACCCGTGCCCGATGTAGCTGCAGCTGGGCCTTGTGCACGGTCAGCGCGAGAGTGTAGGGGGACGTGCGCCTGGCCAGCTTCCTCACGAGCGAGTGCTGCGAGTGCTGCAATGGCTGCACGGTCTGGAGAGGGGCTACGATACTGGTGACCTGTCCAGTTTGATGGGCCGGGAGTCGGGGGACAATCATCCGCTTTTGCGTATGCATGAGTGAGAAGGCTCATAGCTACGATTAAGCCACATACCTTGATGACTCGGATACCAACCCGAAGCACTAGGAACTATGTGCGATGGCGAAATGAGAGTGCGATGGAGATCTGAGGGCCAGTCAGTCACACAAAACATCAGGAGAATGCTTTCGGACGCACCAGGAGCCCTCACTGCATGGCGTGCAGCAATGGCTTGACTTTCATCGCGTCGGCGGAGCTCATCCTCGAGGCGATCTCCCCGTCGTGTTTGTTCTGCAAGGCGTTCCGAGAGGGTTTCGTTCCGGGTGCGTGCGTCACGAAGTTCGAAGAGCATAGCCTGAAGATAGGTGTTCTCATGCTGACGAGCAGCACGGGCTTCATCGCGGGCTGTTTGAGCAGCTGGATTGAATGCGGATGCGATGGAGGTGACAAGGTTAGACGATATGCCTGCGCGCGTCTGGCGGGCTCCGGCAACTGCCGGGACCGCACTTGTAGACGTGTCCACCCTTGCCTTCTTGCGGACGACATAGCGCTTCGCCTCTTCCTCATCATCGGTGTCTTCAATCTCGATGATGTCGCGCTCATCCATTTCAGAACGCTCGACACCGTCAATCCTCGCATCGTTCAGTGGCCGAACATGAGCACGCTGCTCAATGAGGTCGTTGATCTCCCACGACTCCTCGACAAACCATGGGACTTCTGCCCTACCCGTCGGCTTGGGAGTGCGGACAATCTGCGTGAAAGCGAAGTGGGAGAATAGTAAGTACTCCTCGAAGTCTTCACTGCATACAAGAATAACTCACCGCGTCCCACTTTGAACGGAATGCTTTTACCTGGCGCTCGCCACGATTATTCGTCCGCGCCCATTTGTTGAATCGTGAGACAATGGTCACCCACTCATCAGGGCCTAGAGGGAGAACCTCCCGAACAAGACGTAGCATTTCCGTGAGGTCAGCGTCGCCATAACCCGTTGCACCTGGCTGCCGGCCTCCGCGCTTTGGTGCTGGCGCCGCAGGCTTTCGGCGACTACCAGCAGCTGGGACGGCGGCGTGAGTCTGAGCTGGTACAGTAGGTGGGTTAGCAGCTGTAGCCTTGCCCTTCCCCGCCGATTTCCTTGCCCGCTTCTTTCCAGCAGCAGGCGCAGTCTCAGCAAGGATGGTCTTGATCTCGGGGAAGACCAGATTGTCGTCGGACTCCTCTTTGATTTCCGGTGAGTTTTGTTCTTCATCGGCATCATGTTCACCTTCATTGGCAGGTGCAGCATGTGTGACAGGAGGAGCAGGATAATACGGAGGATAGTAAGGATTCGGCATGGGAGGGTGAGCCGCATGGTGCGGATGGAGAGAAGGATGGAGAGGATATAACGAAGGTGAGTGTCCGAAACCATATGATGCAGGTGCAGACGAGGGCGGGAACAGGTAATCCATGGCATGGCCTGGGAATCCTGCGTGCGGCGGTGCTATACAGTGGATGGTTAGCTCAGCTGACGATGTCTGAGGCCCTGACTCACCATTGTGTTCCATGACATGCAGTCGTGGCGGCTCCTGCTGCGACGGCGGTGGGGCTTCGCCTTCGTCAGGAACCTCAGGCTGGGTTGCCTTACGCTTGCCCGCGGCTTTGTCTGACACTGGCATCGGTTTGCGGCTCATATCTATGCAGTTCAGAAAGAGAAAGAGAAGCAAATGAGTGGACGAGTTTTTTTGATGCTTGACGAACACATTGCTCACTGTTTTTATATGCTAGACCCCCGCTCTGCACGGCATGCTTACCCCGAAGTACACGACACCTGATATGCCTACCCACACAACTCCGAGACCAAATCTGCGACCTGTGACTCTGTCGGCGGTGGCCCCTCGCCGACTCGGAACTGCGCGCTGCCAATTCACGTCGCAACTGTTGCAATTACTGCGTCAGGAGACCACCGTGACTCGCCAGCCGCACGGAATTGTTCCGAGACCTCTCTCCGAATCACCTCGCGGGATAGCAAGTGCATCACGATTCACGGCGCAGTATGCACGTCTAGACACTGAGCCTATGTAAGATATTCATATATTCCATGATTTATTGCGGGCGTAGCACCCCTAATAAGGAAGTGGATCCATGACGAGGCTTTACTACGGTCCCATAATGCATACGTCTAGCAAGGGGGTCCGACCCCCCTGGCTAGATCTCTGGGTTTACAACGGTCTCAGGCTTGCAAACGCCACCAATATATGTCCTGATCCCCGCCCATGGTCGTGTCGTCAATCTCGATCTGCGCGGACATCAACGGCACAGTCTCATCTAGCCTTTTCGAGCGACGGACAGCGAACACTTCAGACTCCGTAGCTTTACGGAGGGCTTGCGCGGGCGCCAGACTCGACTGATTTACAAATTAGAGCTCTTGGAGGCTCTTAATACCTTACGGAAACGCATCCAGTCATCCTGTCTTCAGCGCAGACGCGAGCGTGCCCATCATACTCTCGGACGTCATCGTACGTATCTCAACTCTCATGTGGGTAAAGCATATTAAACGATCGTGACCACTGCAGCCATCAGGAAGCGTACAAGCTGTCACCGCGCTCTTTACTGATCTGTACATCACTGTCTCTTTATGTCTTATCTTGCAGGGTGCAAAGACCTACACGGTCGACGGGTATTGTCTTCACGATCCATTCATGAACTCATACTCAAGCGGTCACAGGGCCCATGCTATTCTATCCAAGCTAATCATATACACTGTCAACCGTGGGCTTCTCATCGTGTACGTGCTTCACTGTGGAATAGGTGTCGCGCTCAAGATCTCCTCGTCACAGCGTCGTCCAGTTTGTTCAATACATTACGGTGAGTCCAGTTACGAACCATGCAGAGGCACCTGCGCTGATCGATCTGACTCAACTAGTATGTCCCACAATGGCACGACGTCCATATGATTGTGGACCTGTTCCACTTACATGAGCCGTCATGCACGGGTAAGTCGATACAATAAGTATGTGCAGGAAACTGGTTCTGATCGACTGCTTGCCCCAGTATACGTCAATGCATTACTTGCAGTGTACGTTTGACTCATTCTTCTACTGAGACAAGCGCTGAGTTTATACTAGATTGAACGTCCGTCAGCATCTGAGGGAGAAACGACGAGCTATCTCGATGATGTGGGAGAAACCGCCCGATATGAGCATCGACGAACTACTCAACAATAGCGACGCCGTAGACGTGGGCTCCCCGGAATCCAGGTACGGTTTTGAGTTCAGTACGTCGATATGGGAGGAGCGCTGAGTGATACTGTTTCCTGATTGAATAGCTTCTTCTCACTGCTCGGAAGGAAACCTAAACACAGACGCACCTCTGTTGTTGTCGATATTCTGGTTACCAGGGAAGTTCTCGTGGACGGCCAGTGGAGTACATTTGATAGCGGGCCAATGTCTGCCGTGGACGGTGCGCATCTGTTCCCGAGTTTGTTGACGGACAAGCCCCTCAGTCGGAGCAACACTGTGTAAGACCTCCTCAGTATTCCGGACATATTGCTGTCGTTTCGTGATGAGTCACACATGTCTATATGGGCTCGCGTACACGTTCCACATGCCAGTGGTATATGACTCCGATGTCGCTGCCGAGAAGGTCTGCGACCTGGCAGTCAAAATGACGAGGTATGCATGACTAGGACAAATCACAGCAAATGAATAGAATAACTGGCATGTGTTATATATTGTCAGCTCGCGCCATATCCACCTTGCTCACGGTGTAGGTAGTGCTGCCTGAGCTCTGTTCTTGGGCGACCTGAGGCTCACAAGAAGGGGATGCCGTTCCTCGCTCGAGAACTGTTTGATGGCTTCACTACAGAGGATAAGGCGACATGACATGTTACATGTCGTACGTGGAACTCTGGTGTAATGGCAACCTATCATGCTCTGAGTTCGTGCTCGGCGAAGTCCATGCCCTTCTCCTGCGCCTCGGCCGCACCATCTGCCAGTACCGCTAAGTTTGCCGTACTCAGCAGGATGTGGTCCGCATTCGGGACCATGATCAATTCCACCCTAACGCCAAGCTCGCTCAACCGGTCGTAGGTCGCCTGCGACTCCGACGGCAACACCACACCGTCGGCCAGGCCATGCACGAGGAACGTCGGCGGGAACGTCGCGTCGAGCTGCGCCTCCAGAAGCGCAGGACGCAGGTGCTCAGGGACCGCCGCGAGCCTCTCGGACGCAGGCAGGTCGCGCAGCCCCGCAGACATGGGTTCGCCGAGGAGGTTGTCCAGGAAATCCCCTGTCCTGAACCAGTACGGGCAGAAGTACCATCGCCCGTCGGGATCAAGTAGAGACCCGTTTCCCCGCAGCTGGAACGGCGCGTCAGCGATGGGAGGCAGCCCACCTGCGAGCTGGGCGCGCATCTCTGGGTCGGGAGGGACTGCGGCACCGTAGACGGGCATGGGGTGGTCCTTGACTGCGACCCACTGGTCGCTGAGCATGTCCCCTCCTTGTGCGAAGTACAAGAGGGCGGCTTTTGGTTTGGGGCTCGCGTAGATGCCCGTAGCGCGAGCGGGGTAGCCTCCGCCTGAGAATCCCGCGACCGCGATGCGGGCCGTGTCGAGCGACATACCGTCGGGGAGATGCCTCGTCGAGAAAGACTCGTCCCCGAGGAATCTGAAGAGCATCTTCACATCCTCGATGATGTCGAAGCCGGTGCACGGATGAACGAGTCGATAATCAGCCGCCACGAAGATGAAGCCGCGCTTTAGCACCGACTCTGCATAGGCAGAGCAAGGTTGAGAACGTCCGGCTTACTGCACAGTGCCTGCACGTACCTCTGAACCACTCCGGGAACAGAGCGTCTCTGCGAGAGCCTGCGACCATCCCACCGCCATGGAAATATATGACTGCTGGTAGGGCACCAGAGTTCGGATGCGCTGGTACTTCGATGTCGAGCTTTATGTCAAGTGAACCGACACGAGAGTAAGTGACAGTCAGCATTGCGTGCGGTACTGAGAGGAGAGGCAAATCATATTGATCTCAGTGAATTCGCTGTCATGTATGAACAGTCACTCACCTGTGGATGGTAAGACCTGGACGACCTGTTGGGGAATGATGTGTTAGCTGTCGAGGATGTAGTACATGCAATTCTTATATGCGGCATCCTGAGATACTATTGACGCGGACACTTGAGCCCGTATGAGTGAGCATAATGAGATCAGACCGATGGCGCGATGCGACCCCTTGTCAGCAGCGACGCAGTCGCTTATCGGCAGGAGCACTATCAGAGTCATGGTGACTCGGACGAGGGTTGGGTGAAGGATTCTTGCCACTCGGGCATTGATGGACCGACAGCCGCGCGGCACTGGCGTCGGTCATGCAAAACTAGTCTTCTACTACAGCACTCACCTTGCATAAGTAACTCAACCAACAATTTCATACGCTAGTCACGGCAAGTGATATCTACATAGTTTGAGCGCATTGTGGGTCCATCCGTAACGGGTGTTGCCGAGGCGCGGACCTATAGATCCGATAGTTCGATGACAACCCTCTCCGGAGCCAAAGATCAGGTCCGCGTTGCATTGGGTGAGGCGTACCGTCGTTGATTATGCCTGCGCATGAGTCGACAGACAGTCAGTATACGTCTGCGTTCGAGTGCCAACCGGGAACGTCTCACATTGACGATGGCTATCCATTTCCAGCGCACTGGAGCGGGACGCTGAGACGGCACGCGTGGCACAGATCTCTCGGAGGCTCGGGCGAGACGCGTAAAGACCGTAGAGGTTCCACGAAATGTGGTCGTCGGAGCGACAGCGCTCCAGGTATTCGTACCTCAGCGGCCACGGGCTGGAGAAGAGCGCGGTGGCTCAACGGGCTGTCGGCTATGTCAGTGAGACGTCTTGCAGCGTGACTCCGTGATCCCGCCCTCCTCGTCTGTCTCGGGCAAGTTGTGCAAACTAGTTCATTCGTCATGGGCAGGGTTCGAAGCATACGACATGAAAATCTCTTCGTCCGTAGTTGTGGACGCCGGTCCGCCGTGTCGCCTATCAGACGCTACCCCCTCGGCCGTCGGATCATAGGTCTTGAGCTTGAGTGCGGAACTCAACTTCTCCTGGAGTACCGTCCTCAGCTCCTCCAAGACCGCAGACGGCACGCCGGTTGGCGGCGCCCAAGGGTCGATCCTGCCATGAGATCCCGCGACGTGGAACTTGAACGTGAACGTCTGGTGCGGATCCGTGTGGCGAGCGAGATGCTCTGCGAGCCAGGCGCAGCACCAGCAACACTTCACCGCGGAGCCGATGACGCCCGTAGTTCCCTCGTGGCAGAGAGCTCGCTCAGTCGCGCAAATAGAAAGATACACGAGAACCTACCTGGAGAGCGTCGTCCAGGTCGTGAGCGGCGGGGCTGGAGACGAGCGATCCTTCGCCCCGGTCCCGGGCGCGATGGATGAACGCCATCAACGCGGCCTCCGAGTGCACCGCACCCCTGACCTGCTCCGGAATCCCCAGCTCCTCCATAATGGCACTCGCCTTTGCTCGGGCGTGTCCTTCCGGTGCGGCGGGCAGATTCCTCGCGATTGAGTCGAGTGGCGACACCGACGAAGGCACGGGAGGCGGGCTGTTCACCACGTGGATCGTCGCGGGTATGCTGCTCCGCACCAACTTGGACAGATTGCTGTGGACGGACCTCGAGGCGGGAACCCACGCCACGATGGAGCGCATATAGCGAAGGGCGAAACTTGCTGTGGTGTCTTCACTCTCCTCACCGCTGTCGGTGCTGACTTCATCCATAGCTTCCAAGACTTGTACAGAAGAGGCGCGATCGTCGTCCAGCAGATTGACGCGGGGGTGCGATTGTGCTGCATCAGGCCGGGTTAAGGAGCGCCGACGGAAAGACGACAGACCGATGGGCGACATACCAAAGTAGGATGGTAACCGTACATCAGGTACGGTCGCCGATGCAATCCTCTCTTTGAGAGAAGGTAAGGTGAACAGGTACTGCGTGCCTTCGTTGCAGAGCATGGCATTGAGCCTCGACATGTTGGCCGCCGCGGCCATGGTGGCGGTATCCTCCAGCTTCGCTCCAACCGCGTCCTCAACGTCACGGACGGTCTTTACAAAGGCGTTTCGTATCATCCTGAGCCAGTTTGCGGCACCTGCGGCATCACAGAGCCATTCCTTGCGGTGACAACCTTCATCGGATGTTCGGATCTGCAACGGACACGGGACTGTTTGTTCGAACACTTCTGCTAAGGTGAGGACAAGGGGAAACCAGAGGCCGTCGATTAAAGAGTCGCCTGGCTGGGGTCCCCAACCATGGAGGATCGCTCCAAGCGAATCCTTCTTCCAGAAAGTGCGCTCGAGCTTGACGCGATGGCGAATTTTGGGAAGAGAACGATGTATGACAAAGAGCTGGAATTCCTGCCCGGATAATGGCAACGCCTCCAACAACTCTGTAACGTTGTCACAGAGGTCTCTCGCAGCGCCCCTTGAATTGCAGCAACCCTCTATCACACAACGGGGTGACAAAGTGTCAATTTGAACGCACTCACTCAGCTGGGCCGTGTCCCCTCGGATTCGAGAGGCTTATAGCGATTGCCCCCTGCGGGTTATTCGAGCGATGTGCACCCTTGGCTGCGGGCCGAGGATTCTGAGACGTCTCTGTCTCATCCTCGTCGGAGGACACTACGATTGAGGCTCCATGGCTTTTCGAGACAGCCCCAGTCACTGAGATGGCTCGCACTGCAGCACCCCCACAATCCCTTTTCTCTCGTCCAGTGGTAAGGACGGTGGCGATGTGGTTGTACAGCCGGGCGGTGCTCTGCAGCGACTTGGGCAGAACAAGGGTCTGTGCGGTGATGGGACTGGCTAGATGAGGGCGAATGCGATGCAAGATGGTGGTAAGGGTGCGAATGTCGTCGGCGACGCTGTCTTGCCTGGGATCCGGAGGAGTGGCCATGATGTCCGAGCTTGGTCCGAGCTTGAACGCAACACGAACATGCGGTAGTCTCGATCAACGTTCCACGTGCCACTGTGCAGCACTCGCTGAGCGTGCACCGTCTTGTTTCCCATTTCCTGACAAGTACTCTCCGCGGTCTCATACGTATGGATAAGACCCAGCGCCAGCTCCAAGATGAATATCTGAGGAAGGTATTTCAGTACATGCGTCTCGTCCCACCTCAGGGCGCAGACTCTGACGGCCGCAGTGGTCAAATGCTGCACGATTTGCTTCACATCTCCGACTCCTCGCTTCCACACCACTTTCACTACTCACACGAAACGAACAACACCCTCTACTTGCACAAGCTGAGGTCTGATGCAAGCAAGGTCGTCTGTAAGATGGCCGTGGGGAGCAGCGGAGGGGAGAGACTGCGCCATGAGGCTAAGTTCTACGAAGCCCAAGCGACCGCCGTGCTTCGAGGCAGCGAGATGCCGAACTACTATGGACTCTTTCAAGGAGGTTCGGAAGACGATGCAGTGACGTGCCTGGTGCTGGAGTACTGTGGGGATGCGTTGCCGAGTGCGCTGCGGAACCAGAAGAGATCGTTCAGGTACGAGTCCGTCCTCTCCCAGTCTACCGCCCGAGCCTCATCATATCTTCGTCGCTGTGGCGATGTCGACAGAGAGGCAGCTGTGAGGGCATTCGAGAAGCTGCACTCGCGGCCGGTCAATATCATAAAGGGCGGATCATACAAGTCCGAAGATATAATACGTCGTCCGACTGGCCAGCCTTGCATAGTCGACTTCTCCAGCGCACGCTACCACATGAATGCGTGCAGGAGCCCGGAAATCAAGTTTGACATCCCGTCTCCTATTCCAGGCCATTATCCGTTCTGTGGAGAGCTGCGGGCCGTCGCTGAAGATGCATGGGCGTGGTACAATAGTCAGTAAACATCTGCACTTGAGCGCCTGGGAACATCTCATATTGACGATGTCTATCCGTTTTCAGCGAGGCTCCAGGTCCCGAAGCTGGGGACGCCGTTGTACTACACTGGAGAGCCGTTGGAGAGTTACTGGGAGAGTGTCGACGACATCATGAAGACCACTAGGGAAGAAGGTCTCGCGCTGATAGCAGCAGCTATCGACAAGTACGAGACGATGATGAACGACAGAAAGGAGTTATTCGATGCAGTGGAGCGCGATGAATAAGGCAACCTTCCAGCTGCCCAGGAGTCCTGTTTTGAGGCGCATATACTATCAGTGGCCCTGCAATGCAATCGCGACAGTAATGCAATTACTCAACTCCCATTTCATCCGTCCCGTTAAATATTCTGGGATTTTTGTACAATGTTCTTTACTTCGTACTCAATGTTTATGTGCACTTTGATGAATTGAATGTGTAGCGCATTTGAGGAGAAGAAATCGATGAATGCCTTCCGCGCCTCAATAATCGCACTGGTACAGTCTCGGCTGACCGCATCCCTTGGGCGCTTCATCTGTGGGTCTCAAAAGTGCATTGAACTACCATATAATATGTTCCTCATATTTTTCCGAAGCCTTTCGTCTCTTGTTGCGACTTCTGAGCAGGAAAGACGTCTGAGCGGTGGTCAGAGCGTGACGGAAAGCCACCCAAGATCAGCAATCTCAACTCCGCTCCTTATCAGTTACCATATGCGGTTACGATCGCAGCAGTTGCACTACTGTTGCTCGCCCGCTGGACAAGGCATTGCACGCATTACTGGCCATGCCACCCTCCATTTGACACGCGGGGGAGCTACTAACTACTGGAGAAAGATAGAACTCGTGAAATGAGGGAGGACCGGTGTATAGTATCTCCTGAGTCGAAGTAGTCGACTCGTTATGGCTTTCAACATTATGACTTACTATACTGTAAGGGATGCCGGTCCTCTGAGTATCATTACAATAATATAGATACATCCACAGCCTCTCCAGCAACTGAAAAAGGTGTTTGGGATAGCACAAGGTGGCATGAACATGTTGGTTGCATTGCTGTATCGCCGTGCAGCCACAATAGCCACAGTCGGCAACACTCGGCAACACTCGGCAGTGTGACAGGAACTGTGACGAGCCTCGGAGAAGAGTTGCATTACTGTTCCAATCCTTGCTCCCTCTCGGCATCCCTCTCATACTCCCTGGACAAGGCCTGTAAAATCATACACCATATATTCAGACCTCAGGAATCCGTCAGTGCAAACTCCGAGAGCTTCCGGTGAGCGGTTCGTCCTGCAGAGAGGAAAAAGCGCGAAAATTGCACTTCTGGTACAGTGATAGTAGCTCACTTCCCTGAACAGCCACACACGCTGGCGCTGGAAGCGTTCGTAATGAGTACACGGAGGCTCTTATGATCAGATCAGGTGATATACGATAGGTTCGACGCGTCTCGAGATGCGGGAAACAACCTTGGCTGAGCCCGCGGCACATATCTCGTCACATCTATTCGCATCTATACGTGCACTCAAAGCAACGTGAAGCAATCGATACAGGGTATAGCAAACATACATGTGGGCCAACGTTACACTGCGACGGGTATGAGTACAACACTGACTTACATTCCGACCAGCCTTCTTCGCATTCCGTCGTTATCATTGACATGAGATCTATCAAAAGTCGTCCTCGCCCTCATCCTCGTCCCACCCGACAGCCTCGAGCGCCGCCTCGCCCTCATCATACAGCTTGTCGAGCCCCGTCAAGGTCTCGAGGAAGCCCTGTTCGTTGAACGCCTTCAGGAGCATCCCGAAGCCCTCCGTCTCGTACGCCTTGATGACCTACACGCTCGCGTAAGCTCGAATCTGGCTGCACGCTGTGCCGCACGGGCTCACCGTCTCGCTGCACCCTGTGCACCTATCGTAGGCGGCACCCGTGATGGGCATGTTCCGGAACTGCGCGAGGAAGCCGCGGAGCTGGTGCGGGACGATGCCCAACACGCCTTCCGTCCCCGGCGCGGGTTCGCCGCCTTGGTTCTGCGGCGGCGGGGCGGGCGCGTTGATGCTGTAAGCCCGAGCAATGAGATGAGATCACGGCTGCAGTGCGCGAACGTACCCGTCAGGGTGCTGCAGGAGCGAGACGAGCACCTCCACCGCGGTCGACGCGGCGATCGACGCCAGGCCAGGCCTAGTGACGGTACACATCTGGTCGAGCGTCCTGTCAGTCAACGACTGCACACACGGAGGTCAGCAGGTTTCCACGACGCATACAGCCACCCAACACGCACGTCCGCAGGCGCGACGATGTCGTTGCAGTAGTAGCACCCAAGGCGGTCCCCCTTCGCGAGCGTCGCGCGGACGCCGTGACGCATGACGAGGAAGGTGTCGAACCCGAGCGCGGCGTTCATGACGACCTTGCCCTTGGCCGCGCCCATCACGGTCGGGAGCCACCGGCTCTCGCGCGAGTCCATGAGCAGGAACACGACGTCGTGCTCGTCCACGAGCTTCTCGAGCGCCGCCACGTCCTTCTTCGCCTGCTCGACGGACGCGGGCGGGATCGGGTGGCCCGGCATCGGGATGCTCAGGCTGTGGCCGGAGGAGTTCTGTCGCGGGGGTAGTGTGAGACTCGACAAGACAGGCAGACGGGTGGGGGATCTACGTACGACGCCGGGGAAGATCTTCTTGAGCCGCTCGGCCGCGCACGCCGCCTTGGGCTTCCCGCCGTTCAGGCAGTCCTCGAACTCGAACAGCGGCTGGCGGACGGGGTTCGAGAACGAGACGCGGGCGGAGTCGACGAAGGTGATGGTGCGAACGCCCCAGCCCTGTCGCAGATGAACGATGTCAGAAGGATACCAGATGCCCGATGGGCGGACGACGAACCATCAGCGTGCGCGCCACATAGCACCCGAGCGTGCCGGCACCCAAGAGGAGACACCGCGTGTTCGCGACCTTCTCAAGGTCGAGCGCGGGCAGGATGCGCCACCGCATGAGCTTCAGGTTCAGGTCCACGGCCTGGTCCGCAAGCCTTGCGCATACACGCATGAGCATACAACCGACCCCATATCTAAGTGGATAGCTCACCTCGTTGGGTCCATCATCGGCGCCAAGTCGGCCACGCGCGGGCCCAGCTTGCCCTGGACGTTCTTCTCCCAGCCCACCGCTGCGGGCTTCTCCGTCTTCACCGCAACGTCGCCGGTACCCTGGGAGACGACGCCGAAGCGGCTCTTGAACGGTGCGCTAGAGGGGCGCTCGGAGTCGCGCCAGCATAGGATGCGGTACGACGGTGCTGGGTGGAGGGTATGGAGGTAGGTCAGGAGGTTGCGCAGTGGCCAGCCAGGGTTGGAGGGCGTCGCGGAGGGGTCGAGGAAGGCGATGGTGCGTTGCTCGGGGGCGACGTTGGCGAAGAATTGGTCGTACTCTTCCACGGGCGCGATCTCGGGCGCGTCGCTGCCTGCCTTCGGCCGGACGAGGAAGAAAGCTCGTGGAGCAGCCAGTTGTGTCGCTTCAATCGCAGATAGCTGAATGCGTGGTTCGTCAATGCGCACATGAGAAATGACATGAGCCAACAGTCGACGTACGAAGGAGTCGCTGAACTCTTCTGACGCGGCCTTCCAGTCTTCCTGGATCTCCCATGCAGGCTTGACTACGAAGGCGGGGAAGGCAAACCAGTAGTAGTACTTGTACTTCTTGAGATCCGCGAAGGTGATGAGCAGAAAGTGGTTGAGCCGCGCCGTCGTCCGCTCTACCGTTATGGTCTTCCAGATCTATGAAGAGCGGTTGTCAGGCAGAGATCGTCGGTTGGGCGTGCACATGTGAGGTTACTGAATCATTCACATGCAGGGACTAGCCTGCAGCTGCTCACTCGCCTTCCTCGCCAACATGTCAACAACGGAAACAAGGAAGCATTACTGACACTGCCGCTGTCTCACCCGGGCTGGCGAACAGTACGAACCAGTGCTCAGGTTGTTATCAAGGTAGCGGACACTAACGCTGCAGAAGACACAAGGAGTACGACGTCCGTAGTCTCCTTGGTAGTGCTCGCGCTCCAAGTCTTGCTGGCCCGGCGACACCACGAGAACTGCGAATTTGTGACTGGTACAAACTCATTGCGGTGGTTCCGTGCGTCCAGACATGAGAGCGAGGATCCATGCGCTCATCGCCGTGATGCTACCCGAAAACCCAGGGGATCTAGCTCATCGCGATCCTCAACTCATTGGATGACGCAGCGATTGACGACGCAGTACAATCCCACATACACCATATATGCGCGTAGGTCCATTGGCAGTGGGAGAGACTCAGAGTGGAACGAACACGTACCTCGTCCGACACTTGTGCAAACAGCGCGGTCTTGTCTGCTGCTTTGAACTCTTCGACGGTATTGTAGTTCTTGAACACGCCAGTCACCAACGCTGAATGAGCTGGTGGTCTGCAAAACACAGGTCATGCGTCCACTCGAGGGATACAGTTCCGCCACTCACTTATCCGCCTTCGAGAACGACTCGCCACCGACTGTGAGATTACATCCGAGCGCTATTTCGGCGCCAGACTCGCGATCCTTGACGGATCGACCGGCGGCATACGAGCCATGGATCGTTATGGCATCGTCAGAGAGCCGGAGCACATCGATCTTGAAGTCCGTGAGCGCGTGCCAGAATGCCGGTTGGACGAGAGACGAGAACGGCGCAAATTGTACTATGGGCATGAGCTCTGAGTAGAGGTTCCGTCCCGGCAGTCTCGACGGGGAGAATGTGGTGGTACAGTCGCGCGACGAAGGATCAAAGGGTGAGGCTGAGGAAGGGCTGAGGCTGAATGGAGCAGGCTCAGGCCGCGTTCCCCACGCGTCGAGAAACGCTCACGTGACGACTAAGTAACGCGCCCGCGCGTTCGCGAACCTCGAACGTCGAGCGACGAGCACGATCCTTTCAGTCTAAGTATACCGTTGATTCCATGAAGCGGGTCGTAGGTACGTCAAGCAAGTTGTGCAGCATACTATGACCGCCGATATATGAGGGATCCGGATCTCGGTGTCTTGATCTTCCTACGAGTTCATGCAGTCAGCACGGCGGTGCTGTGTACATGTCGCGCGACTCGTGCGCGTGAAGACTTGGTGAAGACACTCTGACGGCGCGCGAGCACCAAGAAGAAAATATTGCAATCTATCCTCTTTGGCTACGCAAATACGATGGCACCTTGTCGGAGTCTTCTATCGGCCGCGGTCAGCGCGTTGGGTATGTTATGTAGATCTCAGCTCGCCGCTCCCGAGTCGAACTGGCTGAAAGGGATTTCAACCCTGAAGGGGGTCCAGGGTGTTTGTCAGCACCCAGAGCTCGTCTGAGTCATGGGTACGAGATACCTAGGTTCTGCGGATCTTCCGAGGCAGCGGACGAATTTTGACGAAGCACGACGAGGTTAGTGCGATTAGAGTATGGCGAAAAGTACTTGCATCCCGAAAGGAGAACCAACTGGCTTATTGACGCGAACCTAGTACGTATGCCAGTGTCTTCTTCAGCGCGCGTCACTCAACCTCACTTTATCAATTTTCTAGCAACATACACGGGGCCGGACAGCCTCTGTGAAGTCTAATGTGACATTGAGCCTGCGAAGGCCAGTAGTGCGTGCACGCAGTCCGAGATGTGACATGGTACGAATACCCTTCACTCAAGTCCGTCCTATGGGCTGACCGCTGATGCTAGGGAAGCTAATCTGTGGATGAGTACGGGTATCTGTAGCCCAACTCGACCACCCTGTTTGTCGAAGGTGAGACTTCTTTGTTATATCTTTTCCGTCGTAAAGACTTCACGTGCACGTCAGCAACCCGTATGTGACGCCGAGCTTTCAGGCTGTTGGGGCATGAAATTTTGAAACACGGTCGGGTTCAGAGTAACTTGAAACAGCATGGGCTATTGTTGTGTGTCGTTGCTTGCCAACCGATAGATCAGTTCAATCATAAAGGCAGTCTCTCTTTTGTGACTGTATCATCACATCCCGGGCACCCTCAAGCGAGCCACCGTCCGCGATGGATTTGATGGGTAAGCGTGGTAATACTTCCAATCAGTGGATAGTCAGGCTGAACGCACTGTTGCTAGTACGCCGTGTTTTGAACGCAATACGGTAACGGGACTAATGCTGTAATTGACAGGTGTACAAGCTCATCGATGTGCGTGACTGTACTTCATCAGAGCAAGATGTCATTGAACCGCTGCGCCACTGTGGTAGGGGACCCGCCGGGCACTGACGGGCGGTCATGCCCCTCGATATTCGATCAAGACGTACTTGTTATGCCTCTGCGTTTCACACCGTGGCGAGCAGCTAATCTTGCCTCCAATAGGACGGGGTACAGCACGGCAACCGTCTGTAACGCGCGATAGCGCTGCCCGCCACTCCGTGGGTCCTCCAGGTTGTGATACCAACTGATGTCTGTTGTTGTTTGTCGTGGCTTAGTATGCTTGAACGAACAACATCGATAACAAGAAGATAAATTGTTGGACCAACCAATCCGAATTTTCGGATGACAAGGCGACCACTGTTGACTGTGTACGTTACGACGTGGGTGCGATTAAATAGTTACAATCGAAAATTGATGCTGATTGTGTGCGTTGTAGCTGGGCGGCCTTCTGCATCGCAGCCGTGGTACGTGTAGCATGCGTGTTGTTGTACTGTGGGTGCACTATCAGCGGGTGGCACTCTCCGACACGAATGCAACTATGCACGGGAAAAACATGGAAAGAACGTTTCGTAAACAGTCTCGATCTCGAGACAACCTATTGTTTGCTATACAAGTGTGAGTAATATGTTTCATCGCATCGCCCATCAGTAGAGCTTGTTGTCTCTGCTGACGTGAACTAATATACTTTTGTCCCTCGCATGTGGTCGACATTTCCAACAGCGCCACGGTATCCGATACAACACTCGAGTTGACGATGTGGCGCAGTGCTACGGGTATATAAAGATGCAGGTTTGTGGAACCTTCAACAGCGTTCAAGTTCGTGCACAAGCATCTCCGAGTCACCCCAACTACTTGTGTCTGCATTCAATCAACACCTCTCGACCATGTCTCACCAGAGTCAAGGTCAGAAACCGCGTCAATTTGAAGCACTGTCTGTCGAAGATCAGGAGACAGTAGACAAAAACATCAAGGACGACATCGGACGTCTCAAAGCCGACTCTCATCCGCTCTCGCCCGACATCCTCGGACAAGTCATTTACACCGTGGTGTCGTGGTTTCAGGGAACATCGATAGCCAACACTATCAAAACAGCAGGACGCCCGGAAATCAAGCAGCTAACCTCAAAATTATCTCAAGACAGAATCAATGCATACTCTGAACTCTTCAGAGCCGCGACCGACGAGAATGGGCCGGAGACCTGGGCATATTTTATTGACCAACGTTGGTTGCCGATCTGCTACTGCCCTGACAGTTCTGACCATAGCCGTTATAGCGGAGTTGCGGAAAGTCCCTGATCACGGTCAAGCCGTCCTTGGTAAAAATTCATCTTTGCAAGGCCTACTACGTATCGTGCTCATCGGTCGTTATAGCTCGAGATCGTGTCTTCGAAACGAGCATTGATGACCCCAGAATACAGATCAAAGGTACGTCAACATGCTTCTGAGAGATCTGGCACGAATGACTGAAACTATGACATCAAGCAACCGAGGCATCTTGGAATTCCGAGTTCCAGGGCGATGCGCATAAGGCGTTGTGGACGTATCTCAACACAAGCTATAACCCAACCAAATCCAAAGTCAGCACGGAAGTATTTACCCCTTATTCAGCAATTATCCAGTCGACAGGCGTTGGCAAGTCGCGACTGATAGACAAGGTCTCGGAATCACATTTTGTTATTCCGTTGAACCTCAGCGCAAATGGGACTGGTACTGCGCCCTCATTCATTCAACTGAATGCACTACTGATAATCAGTTATATAGGATATCCTCCTGGCGACGAAGTTGTCTTGTTCTTCCTGAGTTCGGGAAAGACACAGAAAGACACATTCAGACGATGTTGCGCATTTCTGCGTGCTCTGTTTGACCATGCTATAGCTATTATTCAAGGAGACTATTTCAAGGAAGCACGGGAGGCTGGTCTATCAGCATTGGCCAGTATGTTCCGGTTGACAATGTCAGATGGTATGACGTTCGCAAGACATGGCGAGTTCAGACGAGCCTTCTATTCGAAGGTGCTCACATTGGCCGAACAATATTCCACTGAGGTATGACGACTTGCCTTGATTTCGATCTTTTCAGTAACTAATGGGGCCATTGCATAACTAGCAAAATCTGCATCAGACCGGCTACAAACATCCCAAGTTTTCAGAGAACAGTGTCGCGGAGGAGGAATATCCAGAAATATCTATGGATCAGGCTGCTAAGTCCTGCAAAACCCTCACTGGCATCCTAAAACAAGTTTTTGAGGGGAAACAGCCAGCAGGTGCTGATGCTAAGGGACGGCTCAGCCAGAAGAAACGGAGCAAGGCCACGGAGTATGAGCAAAATCGGGTTGCCGAGCTTCAGAACCCTCTTGTGACCCTTGCATTCGAAGAGTCACACACCTTGACTGACCAGATGGGTGATGGAGAGCGTCTTGGATCAGGGAACTTGAATGTCGACGAGCATGCCTTCGCCCGGACATGGTCAATTTTTGGGGAGCTTCGAAGGGCTTTGCGTGGGCTCAACGGCCTTAGTATTTTCGCACTTTTCACGTCAACAACTGGCAAAATTGCGAATTTGGTTCCATCGAGGATGAAGGACCCATCAGCACGGGTGATGGAGGGCAAATACCATGCCGTACTCCCATTCACGGGTGTTGGCCTTGACCAACTAGCTACGAATCATAAACTGTCACTTAAGAAAGGATTCGCACTGTCCTACGTTGCAAGTGGTCAGTGGATGGCGTACCTTGGTCGTCCCCTGTAGGTGTTCTATACTTCTGACCATGCAACAGGGATACTCATATGATGTTTCCAAAAATCAGATTTGGCTCCTTATATGAAAATTATGCTGCTCATGCATCGACAGAGGACTCAATGCGCAGGACTCTGCACTTCGCTCAACAGAAATTGCTATGTGCTAATGATGTTGATGGAATGGAGCCATTGACTTTGGCACAACAGTTGGCATGTCTCTCTCAACGGCTGGCTCTCGAGCTCAATTGCACAACATACACGGCCCAATGCAAGGAGAGGGAACAGGTTGAAGGTCATCTACGACTCTGTCTCAAGGTTGACCCAACATTCGAGACGATGGTTACACTCTCAGCCTCAGAACCAATTCTTGCGGAAGCGGCATATGTGATCATGCAACAGAGCCGCTTCAACGTACCAAAGGCATTGAGATCTGTCCTTGACGGTTTTGCTGTTGACAAAGGAGAACGTGGTGAGCTTCTGGCGACACTCCTGCTGACGCTCGCCCGTGATGAAGCTGTCAAATCACAACTGCCCTGGTGGGTTTCAAGCTCGGCCGGCACCAACTCAGATGACGTACCTGGACCTGTCATGACCACGAATGCATTTTTTTCAGGACTGCTGGAGCTCTTCAAAGCCGATCCTTCCGAGATTGAGGCCGAGGATCAGAAGACGATCGATGCCTTTGCACAGGATTTCGATGATTGCTTCATGCACTTCAATCACTTCATCAAAGCCCAGCAGCTGGATGTTTTCCAAGTTGATCATCTACTCGGGCTGCTGGCACGTGGAGCTGCACTACTTTGCGCCAACACTTTCGGTGGAGTCGATGCCGCGCTGACGTTCGTGTCGGGAGCACATGCGTCGGAAGACACATTGTACCCAATTCTAGTCCAGGTCAAGAACGATAAGAAATACAGTGACAATGTCAAAAATGCACTCTTTGCCCCGATGGACCCCTATCGCACGGGATTTTGGAATTTTACACATCAGCCCCAGAAGCCGATCATAAGGATAGTGTTTGCGCTTGCCGTCCCCGATATCAAGAGCAAGGTTCGCATAACGAAGACCGAGAAGATCGTCAGCAAATTCGAAGATGGCAAACATGCGGGAAAAACAAAAACCTTCGACGCATACGACATATGGATCGCGGGATTGTCTCCAAGAGTACTTGGGCCCATAACCCCCCAGACGCAGGACGTCTGGAAATCACTTCTTGATGCCTCATATGGATGGGATAAGCTATACGCAAGTGTAAGCGATGCCGAAGCCGATCAAATGAGGTCTATGACCCCAGGTGCAGGCACAGGACTCCGGCATTGGAATGGCTTCATTGAGGATTATGATGCGAGTAGAGCAGCCTAGGATCAATCTGGAGAGGGGATGGCTTACACGATCTTCGGCAGAGTGACATGGACACGTCGCATCGGCCGCCATGTAGTACACTCTCCGCAGTAGGCTGTGGCGTGATTGATACTAAGTTCTATGACTCATGTAATGTATTGCTTGATGGCTACATACCAATGGCATATGAAAGCATGGGGAACGATCCTGAAAAGCGCATACACGGGCCCTAATCATGGTACGGACGTACCGTGGCGATCTTTAAGTACTAAGTAAATTCACGTTGGTATTGACTTGGGCGTTCGTAATCGTATCGTCACGCAACATCCAAGTCATATTTTGTCGCGGAACTAGCGTAACAAGAGACTGACCTCGTGAAGAGCCGAGTACTGAGTACTGAGTGCGTGCGTTCCGAGACAGTGAGATAAAGCCGGATCACGTTGGGCCACAATTTGCTGTATCGCCGTCGATGATAATCAAGTATATACTTAGACACCGCGTCCTGCAGTTAGTTTAGGTTAGTTTGCGCTGCAAACGGGCGCTCATTGCCACGTCGCGCGTCAGCGCTTCAGCGAGCTTCAGCGGTCAACCGGTCAAGCTTTCACTGAGAGGTCAGAACCGCGCCGCTTCCGAGTCCGCTCCTATTCGACTTGAGCTGTACTACTAAGTACTGACGTCCTACGGTCACGGTCCAAGTACTGGTATCTGGTGAATATCACTGTCGGAACTACACCAATGGATGATTGCCACATAATCAACGTCGGTGAGCAGAACTGCTCACACATCTTAAACAACATTGCAGTGGTGTTGACTGTCAATCTCCCGATACCAGCTCGCCAGTATGCACGGGCTACATGGAGTGAGAACTATGTGCCAGGAGATCTCCATATGGATCTCGTGCATGAGCTGCAAGAATACTCTACAAGGCGCGGGTTTTGTGAGCCATTCATAACAGTTGTTCAATCCGCCGGGACGGGAAAATCAACCGTGATACGTGCACTTGCAGAGAGCATGTTCGTCATCCCTGTGTCCCTGGGATACAAAAATGTGCGTCGTCTCGGAAAGACCAAGTTGTCCTCAGGTAGAGATGCTCCACACCCACCATCGTTTCACACCTGATATTCCGTCCAGTTCTGCATCCTCCTCCGGACGACTATGTTCTTTCATGGCTCAAAGATTGGTCCGAATATGGAACTGCCTTTGACCGTTGCAGTGCCTTCATCCAGGCTCTATTCCAGCACACTCTTCTTGTACTGGAGCGCGACTTTCCGGAAGAATGTGCCTCGGGAATGGACGCGCTGCTGAAATCCTTCAACAAGAAGATGCACGAAGTGCCAGACGATCACTTCGACAATTATCGAGCAGACTTCTATGATGATGTGATTGTATATGCCAAGGCGCTTATACAGGTACGTTTTGCGCTACATATGCGCCCAGCGTTGTTGATAGTTGTTCGTGTAGCAAGAACGCTACCCGGAAGTGTTGAGTCGTTATACATATTTTGGTCCAAGGGGCACCAAAGAAAAGCCCGTTCCCGAGCCCTACTCACCCAGGGCAGCGTGCCGCCAACTGAGGGAGCACCTCACACATGTCTCCATGTGCGGTACGACTGGTATGAACGAAACCGGTCTCTCGACCACAGGCCCTGAGCGGCAGCTCCCGCTGTTTCTAGTCGCTATCGACAACGCAGAACCCATACTGCAGGACGCGGGCACAGAACACGAAAACGGGTACATATCCAGAACGATCAACAAGTCATTGTGCGTCGCGATGCGTGAAGCTCTCTGTCGTTTGGCGCGTATGTCCGTCTTTTTCGTATTTCTATCGAGTGCACCCGGAGACGTGTTGCGCCCTATGCGACCTGTATCCATTGGAGGACACTTGCGCCCCACACGTCCTTTCACAGAACTTGGGTTTGACGTCTTGGCGCAGAGGATATCCGTTGCCAGCTTCTCCCTTCGACGCGTGGTTAGT